TTATGCACTTACATTGGCTTTCTTGATTACCACCCAGCATGCCAAGCAGATTAAGTATTCTGTGTGATTTGAGTAACTTCGGTTTCTAAAAGAAACTATAGTGTTGAAATTTTACCACCTCGAACTGTGCAGATTACCAACTAATTTGCAAATTGAGAATTTAATTTATTGTATCACCAGTTTGTCCAGGTAGGCTAACAAGCCAGCCACCCACCCAGCCGAAAATCGAGCGGTTTGCACTGATTCGTCTCTCTCTCTCTCTCAACTGAGTTAAATCGGATACACCGCTAATGAGCGAAACTGTTTCGATCTGGTTGGTTAGTAAGTACTACTGCTCATCTCAGTCAATAAGTAATATATAGTCTCTCAGATTTGTCTGTTTCTTTGATATAAACTTCGAGTCACATAACCCGTAGATTCCAAACACTGATTTCGAATGTCTTATGAAGTTGATTTCTTGATAGATCTCAGTGACTTTATTGGTTAATGTCTTATTATAATCTTGCCATTCTTAATTACCTATCGCATATTGATCCTACTTCAACGGTTAAGCATACTGATCTAGATGGTGCTGCATAGACACGCTTTTTTTTTACGCAGGTGTAAACCACCCAATTGACATTTATGAGTAATCCCTATCAGATGGTTTGTTTTATTGAAAACTCTGTGCTTAGTATCATTGCTGCTTTGTTGCTCTAGCGCGAGCACACACACACACAAGTCATTACAAAGAAGCTAACCAGTAATGTCTGTCAGCATTGGTTTGTAGGGATTTGATTGATTGGTTGGGGGATTTCATCGTTAGCTGACATCCCATTGGAAAACCTGAAGGGAGTACTGGACAGTTGTTTCGTCATAGTGCTGGAGACTCTTCATCAGTACGCACCCACCGCCAGGGTTCTAACCCAGGATCTGAGTTGTCTACGAACTCGCCTTCTAACGAGGAGGTAGTGGGTTCAAACCGTAGAGGCGAATGCGTGCTGATGAAGACATATTGGAAGCCGGATTCCAGGTCGCCTATGTATTATTGGGAAAAGGAGTTCATAAAAACAAGGAAATTTCATGTTACCTTTTGGCGCCTTCTACTAGTCTCTGGTAATACACTCTGTGGTTACATTTAGGAAGTCTATAATGAATTTTGTCAAAAGCTTCCAAGTTTTTTGTTGGAAGTATAACTTATTAAGTGATAGCGATACCGAAGTAGAGAATTTGAATCAGCTGGATAACCCCACTATACCGTACCAGGCCGTCACTAAATTCAAACATAAGAAACATTTTCTGACCTCACGATCATCATAGTCAGGTCAAAGTTAAACGTAAGTTGGCCATTTTCCTACTTGTAGTCGATGACGGAGAGGACTTGCGGAAGATTGTTTCACTGTTTGGAACATATTTACGTGGACTCTAGACCTTTCTTAATCTTCGCAAGTGTGTATTAGATTGTGAATCAGTAAACATAGAAAATAAGTAGGAGTGACTGACTGACTGGTTTCAACGTAGAACTCTGCTGAGATGTGCAGCAGTTCGAGTTACCACTCTCCACATCCATGTAGCACACGCAACTTAAGAGAAGAGATTGAAGAGAGATTCAAAACAGAGACATTAAACAGAGATATGAAACAAAAACAACAGTAATATGGAACAACAATAGAATTTTATTGGATATGATGAATCACAAAGAGTGAATGCATCTTCAGCAACCATTGAAAACGATTTTGAACCGTATTACCAATCGTCTCCAACCTTCATTGGTTCTTTCCATCCTGAAGACCCCAACCAGTTAGGAAGTTTACATCTACCTCCCTACGTAGCTGACTGGCTGGCTGGCTTAAACTAACTGTCATGTATTTATTCCATCGACTGATGAGGCCATGTTTTAGCTTGATCACCACTAGCTATTTCCTCACCTAGTCCTATTTCAGCTAACATTTCCCACTGTCGAGGAAGGCGGTGGCTAGGCATGCATAACACATGAGTAGGAGCGAAGGTATTACATCTCCAGACTTTTGATGGAAATGTCACTTCTGTATTTACTTAGGAGTTATTATTATTATTGTTCCCTTGGGTTCCTAGTGGAACAATGGGGCTTCAACTGCACGCCTCCACTTGCTTCTGTCTTGTGCTGTGCTTTTCACTTGCATCCATGTTAATCCATACTGTTTCAGTTCCTCATCACACGATCTCCTCCATGTCACCCTTGGACGTCCCACTCGCCGCTTCCCTTTCGGGTTCCACTCGAGGGCCTGACGCGCGGTCACCCAACGGCCTCCTCAGCGAGTGTCCAATCCATCTCCACTTTCTCCTGCATATTTGTTGGGCGATTGGTTCTTGTTTTGTTTGTTCCCATAGTTTCTTGTTGGTGATTCTTTCCGACTATCTGATCTTCAGTATAGAGCCAGCGAAGACAGTTGTTGATAAAGGTGTGCAACAGGCTGTTGGAAATATTCTTTGTGACCCGCCAAGTTTCTGATCCGTATAGCAAAACTGACTTGACGTTTGTATTGAAAATCCGAATTTTGTTGTTGATGCTGAGTGATGAAGATTTCCAGATTGGTTTCAGGTTGATGAATGTGTTTCTCGCCTTCCCGATTCTCGATTTGACATCCTCGTCCGTTCACTTAGGAGTTAAGTAAACATATACCCCAATAATGAAATATACTCATGTCGAAGAAGCGCTTAGCAGCATTTCCAGTCTTTTCCAGAAACATTGATTGGTGCAGTTGACAGTCTATCTACAGCGCAAGGTTGTTAAAAGTCAGTGACTTTTTTCAAGCCTCAATCAAACTGATCAATGCATGGTAAGGATCTCTGAACATGACCTAGGAGCCTACGCTGTTGGAATATAAACTGACTGAAAGGCTTTGTAACACTAATGATGGCTGGTGATGAAAGCGAAAGAAATCAAAATCACGTTAAATAATACTTGACAGCTTGTTAAACTGTCTCTGAAGATGTATGAAACATTGATGACATTTGAAGAGAGAGATCTAAAATGTTGGCAATGATGATAGTGAATTACTGATTAGGTTCACTAAGATACTAATCAGTATCTGAGAATCCTAGATATCTGCATTCAAACTGGTATTGATCATTGATCATCCTAATCTAAAAGAAAGGCGACAAATCTGCTTGTGATAACCAAAATTTTTAATAATAATAATAATGGCTTTATTCCAAACAGTATTTGTGGTACAGGTATGGAATTTTCAGCGTTCATTACAATATTGCATCTAATTACCTCATAAATTTTATAAGAATTTAAGAATAAAAAGCAACAACAACAAAAAGAAAAAAGGATAAATAAAAGAAATAAAAAAGAACAGTGTTGCGTTCACATATTTAAACAATGCACCACAGGATATGAAATATAAAATTAGTGTGTAATAGAATATGTGAGCAACAATATAATAGTAACAAAGAAAGGAGAACAAAAACTAATGGGAACTATTTGTTAGAGTGCCATAGTAAGTTGATCGTGTCATACCTAACAGTTTTCTCATCACATAACAGCTGTGCCAGATAAGGTATTGTTGAGTTTTTATACTTGGTAGTCCTAGCATATAGCCTCCTATAGTTGCTTCTAGTTCTACCAGATGAAATGCAAGGAGAGAGCTGCGTATGGAGAGGGTGTTCGGGGTCTGACAATATAGAATTCGCTAGTTTCTTACATGACATTATATGTCTATCCACAATTGTGTTAACCAGTTGGTTTAACGAAATCCCACTTCCCCTACTAACAGCTTTTAGTGCCCTACTCAGCGAAGCAAAGTCTTTCTTAAGTAGTTCAGGAAAGATTAATGGGGAGCAGTAAAGAGGGAAGGTTAGAATACAAGAGTTGACAAACTGAGAAAGCAAAGACTGCTTTAACTTCCTAACATAGAACGTTAAGCGAAACATCTTTCTAGTAACTAGCAAGATGTGAGAGGACCAGGAAAGATCGGAGGAAATACTCAGTCCAAAGTACTTGACATTAGATGTAGTTTCAACCTCTATGCCGTCAATGATAGTGGGACCATGTGAGCTAGCTAGTTGCTGTGGGTCACGTTTTCGTCTGAAAGTGAAATTTACTGCCTGACATTTAGACGGATTCAGCTTAATTGAAACAGACAGACTTAGAGTGAAGTTTAACATCATGGCATCTGTAGTTATACGAAGCCTAATTTAGTTTTAGGCCCAGTAGACGATGAATCGGCTGTCTTCATCTGTATTCTGTCATTTGGAGTCACCATTCAACTACATGAATCGCGGATATTTTGTAAAGAGATGTTATAGTTTAATCAAGCTCATGCAGAAGTGTATTAACAAACGGAATTTCTTTTTATTTGAGGTGATGGAAATTCGTGAAGTCCACCATTGTTCTTATTTAATTTTATGATGAACATTCTGTTGGATGTGTGATTTTGTTTGACTGTAACATCTCAGAAGCCAACTTGCTTGTTATACCAGGAAAAAAGCTCGTCGTCGTCGACTCATGCCAAGTTCTGTTTTATTTTTCTTTAGTGTAGGCGTGATCTCTACTAGATGAGTATATTTGTGTACTAGGACCCAATCCAATGGCCAGTCCATGAATTCCAACTTCTGCCAATTCACGAAATAGCGCGGCCACTAGCCAATGTCATCGGTGGCGAGTATTTGTCCTCACACCTGACCTGATGTACCCTACTGGCAGGAGTTGGAAGTCATTTGCTATTGGATTGGATCCCAGTGGCAGGACGGTCTACGAGATAGCTTGCCTTGTAACTAGAAGGTCCTGGGCTCGAGTCCTGGACGGTGGGTGCGTACTGACGAAGAGACCCCAGCACTAGGACGAAACAGCGGCCTGTCCAGTACTCCCAGGTTTTCCAGTGGTTTCTCTAACCGATGTCAGCTCATAATGGGATCCTCCAACCAATCAAGAAAACAACTAATTGCCATAATGGTTTTGTAATTTCGTAACTATTCGATCAAATATTAATCACAGTTGATATGAACCAATCAGCATTTTTTTCAAATCGACAAATATGAACACTTTCATGTTATACTTTCATCTATCTGTAAGATATGCGTCGGTAGGTCATTGGTAGAATACTCACCAACCGCGCCACATGTATGTGGTCCGGCCGACGCACTCCTAGAACCTCACTTAGCCTGTAATAAAACCTGAAAAGGGAAGGTTGTGGGCGAGGCTAGCACCAACCCCACTCCGAAAAAGAATAACACTACTGTTACTGGAACTTCAAAACTCATGGTTGAAGCCGTATGTTCCACTCGGTATGCAAATAAATAGAAAAACAATAACAAACTCTGTAACATGCAGTTTAGACGATGTATTTTCGATGCCCTTATCTTTCCGGATAGGAATTCTAAAGTGTGAATAGCCCATAACTCATAACTCTATGAAATATAGAGGCAAAAAGTCATGAAATTAAAACACTCCCATTGTAGTAATGAGTACTGTAGAGTTCCCAACTATAACAGAACACAGCTGTTCACTTCTGACTGGTTCTATAATGATTCTGTCGACTGAAATCAGTTCTTGAAAAAGTCAAATCCTCTTGTTCCTTATTTTTTTATCAAACTTCTTATTTACCTTTTTGTTGATTTTACCTTGTAGGATTTTATCGAGCAAGCCGGTAATATACAAAAAGAACTACAGAATGTTGAACGTTCGAGTGCTCAGTGTTTAACGTGTGTGGATTCAGAGACAAGTGAAGAATTTCAAATATTTATGCAGTAAGTAAACTTACGTATAGTAATAATAATAATAATGTCATATACTTGGTACATTTATGAGCATCAAGAGATACCCCACACAAAATCTCGTACTTTGTGCGAGGGCTCCATTACTGCCCGATCATCCGGGCCTTTTAGTTGAAGTCTGGTTCAAAGGGAAAGAAGAGCAGCGTTAAGAGCTACATTCTGATGACTTTTGGTGACGAAAACAAATTCATACGCCATTCTAACCTTTGGGCTGCTGGAGTCCATGTACACGATAAGTTTGGAATCAGGGTTTTGTATTTTTCCTACGTAAAGACCAGCATGTCCACTAGTCTGGTTATAAGCACCAGACGTTTGAAATCACCTTTTCATCTTTGTGAGGGACACCCGTCCCTCGTGACAAAGGCTATGAAGGCATAGTAACATGAGGGCAGTTGGAGAGGAAGACTGGCGTCTACCCATTCTTCACCCTCCAGGTCGTTCATAGGGGGGGGGGTGAAATCCCTGGCACCCCGTAACATATATATATGCGTTATCACTTTTATCTGTTTATATAATAGTGAAGTAATATACTGTGACTGAACACCCATGTGTCTATTCCCTCGCTTAGTGCAAACTGTTTTGTATCAGTGAAGTTTCAAATGTAGTCACCATGCCGCTAGGCGGCTCGCCATCATGGTGCATTCTGGGTTTTTTTTGTTATTATTAGATGGTTGGAAGCAGTTGGCAGGAAGCCTTGGAATCTCAGAAGGGACATGAGTCCCTTCAAGATTGTAGATACGCCTTCCTTGTTGATGGGTGTTAACAATTACGAAACCTAGGCTTCAAGATTTCCAGGAGATTGCCTCCAATCATCTAAGTGAAATACTGTTGGTAACATGACCGTTTCTTTAAGAAGTGATTGAGAACAGAACACCGCATGGGAAAATATATTTGTTGTTGATATCAAAAAGTCAATTTTTCTCCTATAGGTTCGACCTAACCCATATAATCTGCTGGTTAGTGTTTATGATGTAGGATCATGCAGCAAGTAGAATACGTTGAATAGTTTGGAGGTGGTTAGCAGGAAACCTTGAATCAGTATCTCGTGCTTACTGACGCTTATTAGTTAGGCGTATCTGCAACCTTGAAGGAAGTGATATATAGCCTGAAAGTCTCATACTCTACTGATCCTTTTGAACTGGTGATTAGTCTTCTGTGGGACTGTAGTGGTGACATTGATTGGTCACTAAGGGGAGTGGGATAACCAACATGTTAAGCACATATCCTTTTTTCATTTATTAATGTATACTACTGAATGTTTTATTTCAGTAGTTGCATGTACCAATCACAAAAACCAGTAGTAAAAGTGCTTTCTGTTGGCCAACCAGATCGAATTGATCTAAACTCCATTGTACAGCTGTTTCACTGGTTTACTGGGGTGAGGTGGGGGGTGTAGCTCATTAGATGTGTAACTGGTTTCAAGTGATCAGTTCAAACCCTCCGAATTCTCTAGCTAGCTACCTCGAACTGCTTAAATTACAAATGGCGCATTAATTTTCAAATAAAAGCAACATGTATGTCTTTTTTCTTTCGAATTTCTGTAGATTAAAACAAAATGAATTGGATAATGTCTATAATTTGCTTCACAGGAAATTGAATAATCACTATGATGCAAATTCAATACAATTTGATATTTGTTTAGAACAATTAATGAATATTGATGAAAGATTATCAACTATACACAGTATAATGATGACTCCTGTAAATATTGATTTTACTAATCATGATGATGATGGTGATTCAAAGAATAATGTCATTTCACTAATCAATAATCATGATGTAAGTTTATTTCGCGAAGGCTTTGTTCGATCTGTTCGTATTCCTTGTGTACAACCGAGTACCGAGTGGAACACGGGGCTTGAAGTTTTCCAGTGTTCAGGAGTATTGATAGCTAGCCTTATGTTCAGTTTTGCCTCTTCTCCAGCCTAGCTGGCATCTGATAGTAGTGAACTGGATGAGGCTTTAAAGTGAGTCGGGAGAAGTTAAATTGTAAGCACCACTAACTACCAATCAACTAACGACCTTCAGCGAACCAATCACATGAAAGAGGCTCTTTCGGTTGTGAAAAACGTATATTTATTTTTTTAAATGCATAAAACTGTCACATAGGTTGTCTTTCTCTGACATGTGACAGGAACATCTCCCAGTTTAGCATAGGAGTATCAATAGAAAAGTTACACCACATTCTATACATATATTCATCCAAATGACTATAAATGGCATCCTTTTGAGACCCGTTTATAGCCCTAAACCTGTCTTTTAATCTTCCCCAAAATCCTTCTATAGAATTCGTATGTGTCCCTGTAATGGGATCCATAAAATCACTAGATTGGTCCACCCTTTCCACTCATCGATGTGTATTAGAGATCCCTGTTTCACCATTCGAGTGATAATAAGTACTAAGGTGGTTGACTTTCTGTCTGCTATTCTCTCAACGAATCCTTTCTGTAGAAAGGTGTCATGCAAGCCAATCACCCATACATTGTTTACTCGCTCATAACCACGGTTGTATTTTTTCTTCAATAAGACAGTTTCGTCCACGTGTACAACGACACCTTCTTTTGCTAATAACGAAGTAATTCTCTCCATTTCCCATGACACAATGTCTCTGCAGTGCTGGTACCACTGAACTGTTGATATGAGGCTATTTTCAGTTTCAGTAGCTGAACCTCTCACAGGCTGTTTTAAAACCCGGTGATTACAAATATACAAAATCCGGGTTAGTGAGAGATGGCACCTGGCAGAAAATGTTCTTACGAAGTATTAAAATCATCAGCTTACCTTCCCTAACACTCACTCATCTCAAACAAATTGCACAACTATGGACATATCCATCAGTCGACCTGCTGAAGCTTTCTATACTCATGACACCTCCACATGAACAAATCCTCTTCTTCCTAAGCAACCCCACATCCAAGCAATACTCTAAAACCTTATCCTCACCAAACTGCAAGCCTAGCCGCATTAGAGTAGACATTTGACTCGAATCAAGCGGAATACAACCTTCAACTAACATGGATGAAACTCATTGGACACATCAAGGTCATTCGCTGATTGGTAGTTAGTGATGCTTAAAATTTTAACTTGGCTATGGATCGGTTGGGAAATCAAAACCTTTGATCTTCGGTGTGGCTGGTGAGCATTCTCTTGCTGAACCACTGCTGATGATGTACAGTTACCATACGTAGAGGTCAATAATTTTGTCGGAATTCACTTTTCCATTCAACTGTTAAAAAGAAACTAAAATTTCATTGTCTTCAGGATGTCATATGAAATAACAGAATATGTGTTAGGGGTATTTATGTAACTCAGACTGCTTTACTATCACCGACGTTGTTATTTCTGATTGTTGTGGACTCGACTATGGAACACACCGTGCTTATGAGCGAAATTGACAGGAATACACTGTGCCAACAAGAAGACTCTAGAAGATTTTGACTTCGCAAACGATTTAGGCTCAATGTCACACAAGCTCGAAGATCTCATAAGTAAAAACCAACAAGTTCGTAATAAGTAATTAAAGATAAAATAGTCAGAATAATAAAATCATATGTTTTGTGGAAAAGGTTAGTCGTAGTTCACCTGCGAAGAAAGTCTTCCTAAATGAGCGCGACAGTCGATTTTTTAGTGTTTCCGCAGACATATCTCCATTGAATTGAAGGTTCATGTAGAGTAGTTTTTTCGGGACACTAAGCATGGGCGGCTTTTGTGGTCTAGGATTCATAGATTTTGCAATAAATCTTTCTGGATAACAATTCTCAACGAGGATTCTCTTGAGATTGTCCAGTTCATCTTCTATGGTGTCCGGGGTGCAAATTCTGAGGACTCTGTAGCTTAGTGAACGGATCAGGTTTCGTTTGGTGTATAGGGGTACCCAACTGTGAAAGTTAGTAAGCTGTCCATTCCACGTCAACTTTCTGTGAATAGATCTTTTCAGTGTTCCATCCTGTTCTCGTCTTGTTAGTTGGACGTCAAGAAAGGATATTTTGGAGTTGGACTCTTTCTCTGACGTGAACTGAATCCCGGGGTGGCAGTTGTTAAACGACTTCAAGATGTCGTCTAGATTTTCTTCATTGTTGACGATAATGAAAGTGTCGTCGACGTGTCTCTTGTAGAATTCGAACGTATCGATCATTTTCTTCAGGCATGTGTTTTCGAGTTTTGCCATGAAGAAATCTGCAAGCAAAAGGCCTAGTGGTGAGCCCATAGCTATACCATCCTTTTGGCGATATATTTCGTTGTTGAAAGAGAATTGAACATTCAGGGTACATCTCAGTAGGAGTTCTTTAAGACGCTCGGTGGGTATACCGATGTTTATTCCTTTGGAGTGAATAAGTTCGCATATATAGCATATTGTTTCAGTCAGTGGAACGTTTTTGAATAGTGATGTGGCATCTGATGAAATCATGGTCTTGCTGGATACGTTAATGTTTTCGATTGAGTCAATAAAGTCGAATGGATCTCGAACTGTGTGGCAGGAAACTTGTCTTCTGATTGGTTCTAGTAGGTCTGTCTGCTAACCATTGGGCTGTGCGGTGATAAAGCGAATTGGTCATGTCGAGGATCGGCCGAAGAGGTCAAAGAATAATAAAAATAATGATTATGATATGAGCAGCAATAAATTGTGCTCGAAACGTTGTCATCAGTAAGTATTACTGAATAACACACTGTGAGACTTTATCAATATAAATTTTCTCCAACAATCGACTTATATTGTACCACAGTGCCGTAGATCTACTCTTATGTCACTGAATATTTTTGGTCCAATATATTCAATCGACTGGAAACTTCGAAATACGTATATATATATATATACGTCCTACTGGAACTCATCATCTACTGAATGGATCTGCATTCCCCCAGTGAGTTAGTAAGTGAGTGTTTGGGTGATTGGCGACGGTGTTCCTACCGAGGCTCGACTCTAGTATCCGTGGTATTTGAAACGCCAAATCATCATCCACCACCACCAGTCCAGTGAATTCGAAAATTTTACGACATATATATGACTTGTTAAGCGGGAAAATCATTTCACTTATTCAATATGTATCACATTTCAACTAACATTTAAACCATTTATTAATAAACAAATATCGTTGTTTGTTGGTGTTACTTTATCATTTCTTTTGAAGGTTATCACTTCAGAAATTTATCAACTTCGAGAAGAAGCTTTCACTTTAATTGCTAATTTCCCTACATCATTCCTACTACAATCATCATCATCATCATCACCATCATCAGCTTCGAGATCGTCATCACTGTCGCCGATTTTCACGGGAAAGATTCATCTCTATGCTAAATTAATAAGTCAATTGAAATGGAAATTTCGACAGTTGAATGATTTAGATTTTTATGATCGAAATCTGCAATCGATGAATCATTTATTATCGCTATCATGTGAATCACCATTGATGAGTATCTACATTGGAGATAACTTGAGTTACAACTTGAATAGCAGTCTTACATCTAGACGACGTGAATTCTTATCACGATATTATATACTGAGTAAAGAATTTTTTGATAAAATCAATTATGTTAAATTTCAGTTGGATAACTGCATTACAGATAATATATCTACTTATCCGTCTGACTCGATTGGTATTCACAATAATAATGATAGTGTTGGGGATTCACATTCACCACCGTATTCTGGTGTCCGACATGCTATGCTTGCTTTGAAACACTGTTTGGAATCACGTTATGAACAACTTAAAGTAAACAAAATTACCTTTTGTTTTTGTTGTTTGTTTTTTTACTAAAAATCATTTTATATTTCTAAATTTTTACATCATTTTGCATCACTTTTTTTGTTTATCCCATTTCGGTTCTATTCTGAAAGTTCATAAGTGTCATCGTTACCGTTTTCAATGTGATCAGATCGTAGTGTGATGAGAGCTGTCTGCTAGCCAAAATTGTAGACAACAATTTAGGCCAATGTTCACATCACGAATCAGGGTTATGAGAAAAAAAACAATAACAAAGCTTAACCTTGAGAAAATCACCAGCCAATCATAGCGGCGTTAAAGTTTGAAAATATGATTCGCAAATATATGGCTTGATTGTAACGACAGAAGACAAGGACCAGGCAACAGATCGTTTATTGAGGAAATCAAGAGATATCTAAAGATTTTTGTATACATTATTATTCGTTATTATTAACAGAGAAGCAACGTCTTCTGATTGGTTGTTTTCCTGATAAAGGTTATTCTCTTTGTTGCCGCCCACGCACAGTCTGCTGTGATTGGTTGTTGAGTTAGCTTTTGTTCTTGGTTTTTTTTCATGACTAAGATTTAGGATGTAAATATTGACGTAAATTGCTGTCTTCCAATTTTGGCTAGCAGACAATTCTCACCACAGATTTTCTTAGAAACCAACTCAAAGAAATAACAGAATAACCTTCATCAAGAAAACAACCAATCAGAAGACGTTGCTTCTCCGCTAACAATAATACACATAAAAATCTATAAATATCTGTTGATTTTCTCAATAAACTATCTGTTGCCTAGCCCTTGTCTTCTGTCGTTACAATTGTAAGCCATCCTGTTGAATCGAAAAGAAGATTGTAGAAGATTTACAGACCATTTATATTCAGTGTCACACAAAATCGAAGATCTATAGGTGAAAACCAACAAGTTATCAGAAGAAGCAGACAGGTGGTGAATATAGGACTTCAAGTGAATATAGAAAAGATAGAAGTAATGAAGATACTCACTGACTTACAACAACAACAGCAAGTACCAATCACTGTGAATGGAAAACATGTGCAGGAAGTCACTTCTTTCACTTATCTAGGAAGCGTTGTTTCAACTACAGACAACTCCACGGATGAAGATGCCAAAGTCAGTCAGGATTGCAAAGGCAAGACATAGACCTTCAGTACTTTGAAGTTAGTATAGAAATCTACTGTACTAACTAAGCATAAAGAACAAGATCCAGATTTTCAACACTAATGTCAAGTCAGACAATTCTATATGGTTCAGACACAGTGTGCTTGTCACGACAAACACTTCGAACTGGTTACTGTAGACTTTCGTCAACAGTTGTCTTCGGTAGCTTGGCACTGAAGTTCATATCATCGACTAGCCATCCAGAAACGATTAGCAACAAGGAACTTCGAAGTGCAATCAATCAACCAAGAACCTATTGCACAACAAATATCCCGAGGAAAATGGGGATGGATTGGACCACCACCACACTGAGTGACATCGTGCACCAGACCATCGTCCGAATGAAAGATGAATGCGAAACGACAAGTTGAGTATTGGTCCGAGGGTGACATGACAGGGATTATTGTGGGAGGAGGAGATAAGAGCTTATGTTCTGCTGAAGCCTTAGAGGTTCCACTTGACACCGAAGAGAATAAATAATCAATAACATAAGATATCGTACATATTCATTAGCTACAAACTTAACAGTTTGAGATGAAAATTCAGCATAATTTTCTATCGAAATGCAAAACATTTCAGATTACACTACGTCGTAATGTCTTTGACACAAAACAAATGATAATCAAGAAGGCGAGTGAAATTACAGGCGGGTATATACTACCGGTTGACATGGCTGATCTGTAAACACTATCGTTAATTAGTGGTATCATCTGCCAGCTGTATCTAGGGGATCTTGACACTGTATCGTCGTCAACTTGCTCGTTTGGAGACATCGTAGTTTCATTTTTTGGCAATTAAAAATATACACCATTAATGAACACTGTTCAAATCAATTCGACCTGGCTAGTTAACACAACTTGTGCATCGGTAGCACAGCGGTAGAATGCTCGCCAACCACGCTTCATGTGGTCCAGAGTTTGATCCTCAGCCGACGCAATCCTTTACCTCGATAAGTTAGTAATATGACTGGTGGAGAGAGAGAGGGAAGGTTGGGCATGAGACTAGCAACCCCATCCTGTAAAAACAACTGCTGCTGAAACTTCAAGCCTCTAGCTTGAAGTAGCCCTATGTTCCACTGGGAACGTAAAGGAATAAAATGAAAAAAAAGTTAACACCACTTATTGACATGAGTGCTATCCCACTACTCATATGGATCAGAAGTATATGTGACTTAGCAACTCGACTGGTAGCCTTAATTTAAACAATTGCTAGGGATATGGCATGTCGATTCACTTCACCTCAATCAATAAAATACTGTTCCCTAAACATTCATATAATTTGTAATCAAGTTCATTTTATAGACATGCAGTGGAAATACATTTTACACCATTATATGATGAACATATTCCGTACAACACATTTGATCATTATATATATATATATATATATATATATATATAGTACTTTAATTGGTGGATGGTGACTAGCAGTTGAATCCAGGATGTGCATTTCGTCCTATTTTGGACTCGTCATCTGGGTGTACCTGCACAAGAAGCCTATATGTCAACCTGAGACCGAGCACTTCGGTCCAATCGATCGACGGGAAAATCTGAAATTCAATTAAATAATATATATATATATATAGTACGTTTGATATCATAAAATGACCATTTGGAAAGCAAGCTTAAACTCATGGTACTATATACTACTGCCTGCTGATTGTTATGAGTAGTTGAACACCACTCACATCAACTGGTGGTGGTTCTTACTGACTAACCAGACCAAAGTTGTCTAAATAACTGGATGACCCTTTTCGCTTATTTGGGGCCCATCCTCACTCAGTTGAAAGAGGCAAATCATGTAAACCAAAACGAATTATGACCAGCTAATAGAGACGAAGTGGTAATACATACATTGAATCGAATTTACAATTTGCAAATCAATTCTCCAGTTTTTCATTTTATTTACGTAATTCGAGGTGAAATTTCATCTTCTGTTATAAGAAAGATATTAGTGTGTTACACTGCTTGCCAGCTAAGGTAGGTGTACACATTGTCCGTGTGACAGTTTCAATGTTAAGTTGCAATCCTTTTATACAATTTACAATTTTAACCACTTCTGCACCGGGGCGCTGGTCGGACCTCTCTTGACATATGTGTGTCGACTCCTGGTATAGATGCTTCGATTGACGCCTAAAGATTAACTTGAATGACATTGTCGGTGGTCCACTCGATTCCCGACTGAAACATTCCTAAACGAAAAGGCTTTCCTAATAATACACCAAGACAAGTTTTAAAATTTTTTTATTTTCTTCTTTTTTTAGAAGATTGAATCGTCTATGGAAAAGATTGAATTCAATTCAATTTTGTCAATTGGGAAAGTACTACAACTGGTGCTTACAAGTGGGGAATCAAAACAAGCAATAAATAGTGAATTATCTAGTAAGTTACTTGCTTAGTTAGTTACTTAGTTAGTCAACTGTTTGTCATAAAATTCTTTGGATGGAGGATTTCATCGTGAGCTGACATCAGTTCGAGAACCATCGGAAAACCTGCAGGGATTACTAGACAGCTATTTCGTCCTAGCGCCGGGACTCTTCATCAGTACACACCCACCTCCACGGTTCGAACCCAAGACCTTCTGGTTACAAGGCGAGCTACCTCGTAGACCATTAAGCCACTACTGGGACCCAATCCAATGGCCAGTCAGTGCATGAATTCTAACTTCTGCCAATTCACGACACAGCACGACCATTTCGCAATGCCTTCTTAGAATCCTGGGTTCGAAATCCCTACAAAACCAATACTTGAAAATTTAAAATTCTTTATATTTAATTGAATGATTTTCATACAATTGATTCCCTTGATTAGTTTGAACAATGAAAGAATGAACATAGGCAGAGTTAAACTTTAAGCATCACTAACTACCAATCAGCGAATGGCCTTGAACAACGCACCAATCACGTGAAGGAGGCATTTTCGTGTGTATGGAATACATGTAGTTATGAAAAAAACTGCATAAAAACTGTGTAAAATTGTTACAGAGGATACCTTTCTCTCACATGTGATAAAAGTAGCTCTCAGTTTTAGGTTGGAATATCAACAGAGTATCAAGTTTCATAGTGTTATGCAGTAATATTTACTGAGCAAAAGATTGTGCTCGAAACATGGTCATCAGTAAGTACTACTGTATAACACTGTGAGAATTTATCAAAATAAAATTTACCCATAATGGAATTATACTCTACAGACACAGTGCACAAGTTCTATTCTTATATCAACAGAGTAATTTAACCACATTCTATTTAGGTCTTCCAAACCCTACAATAACCCTAATCTTTCCATAACCTATCCGAAATGTGAAAAAATATCCCTAAACTAACTGTAATCTAACTCAAACCAACCCTGATGTTGCCTTTATTAAGTTAATCTAACCGTAACCTGCCCTTCGCTTAAAGCGTAACTGAATCTTTCGCGAAAACCTAAGCTGAAACTTGCCAGAAATCCCATTTAATAACATAACACCCTTCGATGAGCATATTTTAGTGATGGTGACAACATTATTTGCCGGATTTCACTAATTTGCTAAGTGGGCGTTTCAAGGTCATTGGTGCGGTCGCACTCCATTGGTAGTTAGTAGTGCTTAAAGTTTAACTTGCCCTGAACATATATTTGCAGGGTAATACGAACTCCCTCTCTCTCTCCCTCCCTATTTCATGGATTCTTTTCAACTGCGTACATTCTAAACAGCATATAAGTTACACATCAATGCTGCACGTAATTTTCACACAATGACGCCGAGTATCGACGATATAATTCCTAAGCGCGATATGTAACTAGACAAATTATTCAGTGTTAAAAGACTAACTGTGTTTGTAGTATTGTAACAGCAGAAGAAAAGACATGGGAGACAAAGTATTATTTTTGATTGATCAAACCGCTTTTTATATATGAGTACAGTTTATATTCATTAACCAGTTCGTTAACTGAGCGTGCGATTTTGGTTTAAATCAAACGACATGAAATAGAATGTTCAGGTGTACATAGTATTCTTTTGCTAATGCAGCCTTGAACTGTGGGAATATGTGAGAATAATATTCCGTTGGCACACATTGTCTGCATCAAACCACTACAGTATCATTCGACAGGCTAGGGGGTAGTGGATGACGGGGTTGGGGGTGGGGTGGCACAGTTCAGATTTCCACTGTAAACAACATAGTGAATTTATTCAACTCAGTAAGTAAAAATCAAAATTAATCTAAATGTTGAATCTGATATGTCTAGAATGTGGTGTAGAAGAACAAGGAAGTGTGTTTCTAGCTGAGAAGTTTCAATTGTTTACTTTTGGGGAATGGAAGAAATTTACTCGAAGAGACACTAAATCATAAGTTTATTAAGTACATCGTTTCCTGTGTTCAGTCATGAGTCTTTCAGATACCTGGAAGAGGATCGTTCATATGTCAGGCTACGGGCCACACTTGCTCGTGTGTGTGTGTGTGTGTGTTAGCATACAATCCCCATAGGAGTTTCTCGCTTGAATTGTAGACGCAAAAATAACGGCGCTTTATCTCTACCGTTCGCAGTGTTCCTATTTGTGACTATTATAACTGTATTTTGACTTTTGTAAACGTTTCTTGATATCTCTGTTCCCACTTAGAGTTCTTTGTCTACATAGTATTCTAAGGAAATCGACCTCGTTCTAAATGCTACGTACCTGATCATATCACGCTTGTGCTTCAGTCGTATGAAGCTGAGGAAGTTTATGTATATATATACTGAGCTTTTGTTCTGTACCTTTGAAAATATCGTTATTTTAATAGATCCATCCTCTCGTCTCGTTAGTTGTGAGACATCGAGAAAGTTCAGAGAGCAATTGTATTGTATTCTCCTTTATAGGTAGAATTTTATCCATCACATAACTGGCTATTATTATTATTACTGTAATGATAACAAATATTATATTTTATAGTTGTGAGAACCTGAAGAGAAGAATTTATTGGAAAGAATACTCTCTCGTCAGACTAACTTTTAATTGATTAAAAATTCCCATTAAAATTTTTTTCGAAAGAATGGATACTGAACAAAGAGTACTCTTTTCGATAACTTCATCATCAGGCTCTACAACTATATATTCATTTTAGTGAATGAATGAATGAACTAGTGTTATGAACAACATTAATGTTGTTTAAATAACATCGAATCAATAATAATAATATCAGTGGATTACAGTTCAATAGCATCAACATAAAATAAGCTGAATGTCAGAAAAATTAAGGAAGATAATATTACAAATTCATGAATTTATAGTCTCTACTGATGGCCAGGACAGTAGTAGGGGCTGGACATGCTTCTTTTGAGCACAGAGAACTGGTTGTTTGAGGTGAATTGCAATAGCCTCTGTTGTTTGGAGCATGCGGTGCTTCGATGATTTTGGTAATTTATCAGGCACCCGGTAGATGATAGAGAAGGATTCTTCCACGCTGGTTTTGTGGCCGGTTTGCACCAGACTGTCCACCTTTACTTAGCCATACTGGGAGATGTTCTCGAGCACGAAAAATCAAGTTCCTAGAGCAACGGCCAATTCACTGCAATTCCTTTTCATTCTCTCATCTTTATTCTTAAGGTTGTCGTTTTAAACAATTTCCTTCTTTATTTAATTTAATTTGGACTTTCATGTTGATTAGGACATTCTAGATTTCACTGCTAGTCACCATCCATCAAATTACTTCAGATTAAATCATCAGACATTGTCGAAACATTCACAAAATCAGCTGATATGTCAACCTGAGGCCTAGCACTTCAGTCCAATCACAATCAAGGGGGGGAAGTCTAAATTGAATTAAATAATTACTGATACACACTCGTTGCACAAGAAAGAGCCGGCTCTCTTGGCTCAAGTGGTCTAGTGGATGACCCTTTGGCGTTTGAAACAACGACAGGTTACTTACTGGTCTCAGTGGGAGTACCATCGGCACTGAGGAATGCAGCTACATCCAGCTGATTGACGAATCCCAAATGGGACGAAATGCATACTCTGGACTCCATGACTGTTAGTCATCATCTATTAAATTAATTTTCTCATTTGTTTTATCATTTTATTAATTTCTATAGATATTTACAATCGTATTGTTACTAATATGATTTATTGTGAACGAGAAATCAATGGAATTGCCTATTTACTCCGACGAATTAATCAACTTTTACATGAATATAACTTTTTCTATAATAAATTGGTCATTTCATCTTCTTCGATATGGAAACAGTTTTACTCAGAGAAACAATTGGAGGTATGTTAGTTAGTTAGTTAATGAGCAGGTATTTCTTTTATTTTCCCTATAATTCCATGTAATGTATGTGTTAGTAATAGTAGTGTAACGACAAAAGACAAGGGCCAGACAACAGATCGTTTATTGAGAAAATCAACAGATATTTATATATTTTTATGTGCATCATTATTATTCATTATTATTAGCAGAGAAACAGAGCCTTCTGATTGGTTGTTTTTTCGCTGAAAGTTAATCTGTCATCTCTTCGTGGCCATTTCTTTGATGGTTAGACCATATATCTGCTAATCGTATCCGCCCACGCAAAGTCTGCTGTGATTGGTTGTTGAGTTAGCTTTTGTTTTTGTTTTTTTCTCATGACCAAGATATGGGGCGTAAACGTTGACGTGAATTGCTGTCTACCAATTTTGGCTAACAGACAGCTCTCACCACAGTAGTAGTATCACATTGTCAGGTCCTTTTAATACACTTATTACTACCGCTGCTGTTTAACTTCAGGAGAATAACTTCAAAGACTTCTATGCATATTAAATTTTGATTGGACACTAGTCAGTAACTAGTGTGATGTGTCTAGTCCTTTCTTTGGTGCAGACTGAATTCTGTCAGTCAGGTTTGCAATGTGGCCACCAGTCTAGGTAGCTCGTCATCACGGTGCATATTGACACTGATACATCATACTAGTTACTAGCGTCCAATCAAAGTATCCAATACAGTCCTACAGGAGGTCAATAGCGATCCCAAATAGCTTAGTCGTAACGTCTCTTACTGCAGCACTGGGTGACGCGAGTTTAAATCTCAGAAGGGATATGAGTTCCTTCCCTCCTTGCTGTGATTGGTGAGTGTCAACAATAAGCACGACACCTAGGTTAGGCTGGTCTTCCTGTTCCCGATTGCCTCCAGCCGTCTAACATATTAAATTTGTCAGAAGTCAGTTAAATTCATGACCGTAAGAAAGTATGAATTGAAACTACCAAAACTGAAATTCACTATTTGCCTTTGTTATTCATTGTAATTTTTTACATATCTCTGGAATATGTGTTGCGTTATTTCGATTACATATACTCAGTTTTCCTTCGATGAACAAAGATTCCAGGGATTAGCCACTCACTCCCTCCACCTAATTATATTACTTTTTAATACTTTTACTCTATTCCACCCTATTGCGTGATTACATGGAAGTGAATGCAATGGAGTGGCCGAGTTTTTTTTCCTAAGTTATTTAACTTACCAGGGTCAATCATTCTAGGTCTAGTTAGATTTTTATGTTCCAATAATCAAACTGACCTTAATCTACTAGTTTGACCTATGTAATTGACCTCACCGACAGTTATTACATGATACTGGGTAAATGATAAGTGATGAATTGGATCTATCCAGTAATTCAGCCGGCAAAGTTTATTTCTGAGAGAGTTAGTTGGTTAGTTGGTTGGTTTAAATGCCAAACTAATTCCAGTCTCATTGACAATCTTTATATGGCAAAAATATTCATTCAGACATCTATAAAACACAAAATAATCGAGCGAAGAATATCCTTTTCGATAAATTCCTCTTCTGGCTCTACAATTAGATATCTGTATGTTTATATACATAGAATATTATAGATTAGTAGTCAATAACAATATCAGTATTTTTTAAATAATATTGATTTGTAAAGTTAGATCACAATGGAATTACAGTTCATTAAAGATGCTTAAATTATAATAATAATAATAAAGATATAATAGCAAATAGAATATCAACTGAAATTAGGAAAATTCCACAAAAATTAATGGTCATTCAAACCTGGATGGCCAAGGTAATGATAATGTCTGAACTCACTTCTTTTGGATGCATAAATTAGGCTTGTTAATATGGATCCCCACAGCCTCAGCAATATTTAGTAGTCGAACTCTTAAAGCAAAATTGAGATTCGTAGGTATGCGGTAAATGACCATGAAAGCATGATTAACGTCAATCTTGTGTTCTGTCTCCACAAGATGAGACAGAATAGCGCTCCGAATAGATTTTGTTTGTCCTTTGCTTAACCAGACAGGGTGATGTTCGGAAATTCGACGAGAAACATGCCTAATTGTACGGCCTATGTAACTGGCTCCACAGGAGCAGTTAAATTGGAATATACTACATGGAAGAGGCGAAATTAGGCAGTTTGTCTTTTATTCCCGAACGCAGAAGAGGAGTGGTTTTAAAGATACAGCGTAGTTCAGCAGCAGGGAATGCTCTTTTTACCTCATTAATAAGGCGCTGTGTTAGTATCTCACTGGTGTTGTCTCCTAGGAACTGCATCTGTAGGAATAAGGCCTTTTTTGGAACTGTTGTTAACTTGGGCTGCTTTGGTTCCAGATTCATATTCTCATCAATAAACTTTTCGGGATAACCATTCTCACTTAGCAACCGTTTAATATTGTTAAGTTCCTCGTCAAGACATTCGTCCGAGCAAATCTCTCTTGCTCTGTGGACCAAGCACTTTATTAGATTGCGTTTGTAATTAAAGGGCACAAAGCTGAGAAAATGTGTGTACTGGCCCGTTGATGTAGGTTTTCTATAAACACTTCTTCTTTATATGGTAGTACTATCAAGGCTTTAAATTTCTTATTACTTATGCTATTTTGCATTACTACTCTTATTTTCTTTATGGTTCTTCATACATTTCTAAATAAGTTCTGGTGGTTAGTTATCCACTAGTAATGCTTTCCTTATTCGTTTGATTTCATTATTCAAATCGTTCGATTTACTCGATTCCTTTGTAATTTCAGGTGTATGAATGTGTTTTCAATGCCAGGCATCACACAATATTTCTGGGCATAAGTTCGACTTTAGGATATCTCTGAAAGGCATGGATGCACCAATGATCTTTAAAAAAAAGACAAGCGATTATTGGGCTTCAAATTAAATTTGGTGCCCCTTAACCTAACCCTGGTCCATTCCAAATTAGGCTACCTTGCAGTGTAACGGGAGAAGATAACAGACTTGGTAACAGACTTCTTTATAAAGGAAAAACACTCTACATTTATACATTTTTTAGCCACATTTAAGGTCGGCTACGTCAGCGGACAATGAGCTCCTCTTCTGATTGATTGGTGATTGGCTCAAGGTTAAACCAAGAGGCGAAAAGTGTTGGCCAATGAGATTATTTACGGACCATGACGTTATCTACTTCCGCTGCAGCCATTGGTGACTGAAAATGTCGATTTCAGTTTTGGCTGCTTCTTATGGATTTGGGTCTACATACTACTGCTAAATCTTGTCAGTAGTGCACACTACAATTATTATTATTGTTCCCTTGGGTTCCTAGTGGAACATAGGGCTTCAACTGCACGCCTCCACTTGCTTCTGTCTTCTGCTGTACTTTTCACTTGCATGCATGTTAATCCATACTGTTCCAGTTCCTCTTCACACGATCTCCTCCATTTCACCCTTGCACCGACGTCCCACTCGCCGCTTCCGTTTCAGGCTCCACTCGAGCTATGGTCTGACGCGCGATGTCACGGAGCGGCCTCCTCAGCTAGTGTCCAATCCATCTCCACTTTCTCCTGCATATTTTTTGAGTGATTGGTTCTTGTTTTGTTTCTCCCCATAGTTTCTTGTTGGTTCTTGTTCTTTCCGGCCATCTGATCTTCAGTATAGAACGAAGACAGTTGTTGATAAAGGTCTGCAACAGGCTGTTGGAAATATTCTTGGTGACCCGCCAAGTTTCTGATCCATCCGTATAGAAGAACTGACTGACTTGACGTTTGTATTGAAAATCCGAATTTTGTTGTTGATGCTGAGTGACGAAGATTTCCAGATTGGTTTCAGGTTGATGAATGTGTTTCTCGCCTTCCCGATTCTCGATTTGACATCCTCGTGCGTTCCTCCTGTAGTTGAGACAATACAATACTATATACAATACAATACTACAATACCAATCCTAAATCTAACCTTAGTCTTTCCCTAGACTAACCAGATATCAGATATTCAAAACTTTATTAATTTTTTTTTATTATTGAATAATATAGTGTTATTCACCCGGTTGTTTCATTGCCGTGCTGTGTGTCACTGAGTATTATTCCAAAGTCTCATTGGTCGTATTGTCTCGCTTGTTGTATATGTCTAAAATTAAACTTCGTCCGTGTCTATTTTTTCAAAAATGCTAACATCCCTCTCATTTTATATTTTAGGATTATTATGGAATGTTGAATACTTTCCTTCTCTGGATCGATCATGTCAAGGAAGAATTTTATGAGATCACAAAAACTGAAGATCGTGATGACGATGATGATGTGAACACGTTCGTCGATGTTTATTGCATTACACAAATGCAGATATGCATGAAACCTTTATGTGAATCACTTGTGATCAATTTGAAACACGTTCAGATTGATCTGTTCAAGTGAGTTGTCTCTTTTTTTGTTATTTTCACGTATTGGTTTTGTAGGGATTTTGTTTGATTGCATGGAGGATTTCATCATGAGCCGACATCAGTTAGAGAACCACTGGAAAACTGGCAAGGAGTACTGGACAGCTGTTTCGTCCTAGTTTGGGACTCTTCAGTGGTACACACCCACCGCTGCCAGGGTACGAACCCAGGACCTTCTGGTTACAAGGCCAGCGAGCTCGTAGACCATTGAGCCACTGGGACTCGATTCAATGGTCCTTGAATTCTAACTTCTGCCAATTCACGACATAGCGCGACCATTTCGCGATGTCTTCTTCGATAAGTTGTTTTTGTTACATTGATTAGTCTCCCGGAGGGAGGTTTAACCAGTGTCTTATATCTCTAGTCCTTTGTGTGTTGAGCTGATACTGTGACCGAATGTGATCAGTCTTGGTTTTACCGTGGTGCAGTTTGTATTATTTATTTCTCGGATCCGATTAGCTCAGTGGTAACGACTCTTTGCGTCGTCGATGGTTCAAGGGTAAAATGTTCACCAACTACTATCATGTCCCGAGGTTCGATTCCCGGCAAGCGACGCACTCCTAAATCTCGCTTAATTTACTAGCCACCCTTAGTAAGTAATCGAGGAAAGGAAGGAAGGTTGGTTGGTCATGGGGCTGGTTGGCAAGCTCACTCTCTTGCCGAAACTTCAATGTCTGAGGTTCTATGTTCCACTCAGAATGTAAAGGATCGAAAGGAAACATCTGTGGGTGCAGCACTTTTATTATATATTTATATTATTTTATTTCTTTGCGTTCCCAGTGGATTCCAGCGGAACATAGGGCTTCAATGATGGAGTTACCAGCCACACATCCAACCTTCCCTCTTTACTGGGCTTACTACAGCTGACTAAGCGAGGTAAAGGAGTGCGTCAGTGGCCGGTGATCGAGCCCCGGTTCATTTGCGTGGTTGGCCAATGTTCTACCATTGGACCACCGACGCGAGTGTAGCACTCGGTTTTGCGAATTCAAATGCTTGAGGAGGAGATAATACTTCATTTCTTGCAGACGACGAGTAGCAAAATAGGCATAAAAGCTAGGTCCGCGGCTTTCTATCGATTGCCTTCAGCCACCTCTAATAAGGTTCTTTCTCTATCTAGTGTCTTGTTTGTCATATTAATTCTTCGTACATATTTATACCAAGTTTCCATTAATAATCAGTCGGTGATATTGCTAATACACTGAAATTTGAAACTAAGAAATGATGCTATCATCTCACGAAATGACATATTGCCGTGCTTTTTTGATTCAGAGTTAGTAGTTTTTAAAACCGGTGAAAAATTGCATTCCCTTTTTATTTATTTAACTTAAAATAAGGATTCATTAAACCTGTGTACTTCCATAGTCTCTTCGGTGACATATTCTCAGCTGCGAAAACTACCGTTTTCAAACTTACGGATGGGATGTATTTCATTCTGTGTGTGTGTGCGTGTGTGATTAAAACAAGTCCTACAAATGTTCCTAATTTGAACTTATTTTTTTAAATTTTCTAACTTCCGATTTTTAATATAATTGATACGTGTTTTGAAGAACAGAAAATATTGTTACATTTACGTTCGAATAAGTCATTTATTTAGAAAACAAATTTTGCGAGATGGTGGCATTATTTCGTAGTTTCTCTATCCAGTCATAAGTATAAAACTTGGGCACTGTGGTGCCCTGATTAATTTAATTTAATTTAACTGTACAACACTGTGTGATTTATTAAAATAAAATCTTATCCATTATGGAGTCTCTATCCAGTCGCTTTACAACTAGCACGATTCACAATAATAAAGTAAAATAAAATGCATGACAATCACTTAGTTATATCAAACAAAAGTACATACTAATGATCAATCATATTTAAATAGATCAAGTAGTCCATGGTAGGCGAAGGTTGAAATCTGTACCCCTGTGTTGACAGCTGGAGTTGTTATAATATTTAACCAATGAACATCAAGATAATAAAGGGCTTAATTTTTTATTGGATGTCCAGGGGATGGGAGAAAGGGAGTACAGTCAAAATATGATTGGTTGAATTCACCGTAGGTTGAAAAAATAATCGAAGTGGAGTGAAAGCTTAAAGGAAGCCTCACCCCCCCCACCACCACCTAGGCGGGACAGTAGTGTTTCTGTCCACTCCATTAAATAAGGGAGTTAGTTAAAGTGGCATATTTGATAAATGTTTGGTAAAATGTCAAGAATGCGTCGGTGGCATAGCGGTTAAGACACTCGCCAAACATGCACATAGTCCGGGGCTCGATCCCCGGCCACAGACACACTCCTTTACCTCGCCAAACGAGTAATAAAACCGGTAAAGAGGAAAGGTTAGGTATAAGGCTAGCAATCCCATCCCGTGAAAACAAACACCCCTGCTACAAAAACTTCAAGCCTCTAGCTTGGAACCCCTATGTCCCACTGGAAACGTAAAGGTATAAAATAATAAATATATGTCAAGAGTGTTGGTTCTCAGGGAATTGATTGGTTACGGGTCTGATCAACTAGAGAAACATTGTGGCAGTGAACAAATGTTTTGTCCTTGTTTGAGGCTCTTCAGCGTCCATGACCTACAAGTCACAAGGTGGGTTCGTAGACCATCATCCACTGGGACCTGATCCAATAGCCCAATACCAGATAATATAGCACAATACACGATTCACTTCAAGAAGTTTTATTTATAAAGTGAGGTCGTTCACTGATGAAATATGTAAACTGATTTCCCTTTTTTAATTGTTCTGATCCTCAACGAAATTAGTCAGCCGTTTTCATTCTTTTGAGTTCTGAGTGGAACATAGAGGGGCTTCATGCTTTAAGCTTTAGAGTTTCAGTAGCGATAATGTTTTCTGAGTATGTGAGGTCTGGGGATTTAACCCCCCCCCCCCCCCGACACCGGCTGTTATTTTCCTTGAACCACCTACGTACCAAACAAAGTAGTGGTGTGGTATTCAAAAATAAAAACGTCTATATATTTGTTCTCTAAATTAGCCATTACACTATGCATCATTCATTTGTTTTTTTATAGTCATTTGAACAACTTAAAGAAACTTATGCATTTATTCAAACAATTTGAAGTCTCTGAACTATACTTCAACAACTCCAGACATTCCCGTAGTCATCGTCGTAGTCAAAGCGTCTGCACTGTAACTCGGGACTACAACTGCTCATCCTTGAAGACAACAGTTCGAAGACGATGTAATTCACTCTGCATAGATAACCATCCAGCAAATCCAATCAGTTTATTACATTTGACATATTCAATTACAGATTCTTTAATGTTCTGTAGAAATGGAAATAAGCAAAAAGATCAAAATGATAACTCATCATTGGATGGTGTTCATGTTTCTACTAGCTATTCAGGTGAGCAGTTGACCTCTGTATATCGTGGCGCTACTTCACCATCACTGTCGTCGTCGTCCTCATCTGCTACACTATGTCATTCAGGAAACAATCAATACATTTCAGATTGTGAAGATGTATTAGGCGAAATGATCAAGTCAACGACAGTATCAACAAGCACTTGTCCAATGAACAGTTTAGTTTGTAAAAATGTAAGCATTTTATTTATTTTATTTATTTATTAAAAAAATACACCGGTCACTGCATTGCAGGCTCAACGAGCTTGGCCTAGAAACCTGAAAGTTCTGGGTTCGACTCCTCGAAGAGTTGTGGATATCCACTGTCATGGTTCGCAGACTAGAATGAAATATCTATATAGTGCTCCTTGTTTTTCAATGATCTCTCTATAACTGATTTTAGTCGGTGGTGAAATGTGCATTGAAATGCAATCCAGATCTTTTGACTTCAGTTTTTAAAAGAAGTACATTATTCCATTATGAATAAGATTTTATTTTGATAAATCACACAGTGTTTGCTATGCAGTAATATTAACTGATGACCACGTTTCAAGCACAAACTATTGCTCCTCATAATCATATCAAGTTACTCACACAACTTTTTTCCTTCATTTATATACATGACTGGAATCGATTAGATATTGGAATAAAAATCAATATGAGATAATGTATATTCAGAAATAGTAATAAGAGTGTTATTGATTCATTACAATTAGATGGGAAATAAGACGAGTGTTTTTATAGTCATAATAAGTTATTTGTTAGAATGTCGTGATGTGCTTGAATTGAAATAGAATTTTATGATTATTTATTATCCTCTTCTGATTTGACCGGCGGTAATAATATCTTCCATATTTCTGGTATTTGCATTGAGTCATTTCTGTTGCATGTGTTGGTTGTAGACTCGATGAATAAGGATTTGTAGGTTGAAAGACCCGGTGGACCCAATTAAACAAAATAATATAATTTACAAAATACCCTGCAATGACTGTGAAGTCAACTACATAAGTCAAACTAGTAGGTCAGGGATAGTCAGATTATCAGAACATAAGAATTTAGCTAAGGGAAGAATGGTTGACCCTGAAAAGATAAATAATTTAGAAAAAAACTCAGCTATTGCACTTCACGCATTAACAAACAACCACACAATAGGGTGGGATAGGGTTAAAATTCTAAAAAGTAATATAGGTAGGTGGAGAGAGAGGTTGATAACGCAATCCTGGTTCATTGAGTCTACACTCAACACATGCAACAGAAATGACTCAATGCAAATACCCGAAATATGCATGGAAGATATTATTACCACCAGTCAGTTAAATCAGAGGAGGATAATAAATAATCTTAAAATTCAATTTCAATTCAAGCACATCACAACATTATAACAAGTAACTTATTATGACTATAAAAACACTCGTCTTATTTCCCATCTAATTGTAATGGATCAATAACATTCGTATTATTATTTCTGAATATACATTATCCCATATTGATTTTTAATCCAATATCTAATCGATTCCACACATGTATATAAATGAAGGAAAAAAGTTGTGTGAGTGAGTGACTTGATATGATTATGAGTGGCAATAGTTTGTGCTTGAAACGTGGTCATCAGTTAATATTACTGCATAGCAAACACTGTGTGATTTATCAAAATAAAATCTTATCTATAATGGAGTTACACTCTACCACAGTGCCCAAGTTTTATACTTATATCAGAAGTACATTATTGTTAGTAATTTGCAAATAAACCCTTGAAAAATTAATCTGATGCTCTTCCAGTGACTGGGTTGCTGGGTAAATTTGCCTGGAGTTCTAGTGAGAAGTTGTGACTAGGGTTAGTCAGGAGAGTGAGGACAAATATTCACCACTGATGATATATTGGGTGGTGGTTGATCTAAGATTATGAATTAGTAGAATTCATGGACTAACTGACTGACTGACTGGCAGGTTTCAACATAGATCTTTGCACAGATGTGCAGCAGTTGGAGTCGCCACACTTCACTTAGCACACAAAACAAGAGAAGAAAGTAGAAGGGAATGCAAAATAGAGACAGTAAATAGAGATATGAAGCAAAAAGGATAGTAATATCGAAGAACGGTATAGTTTTATTGGAAATTATATGTCACAAGGAGTGGATGCATCTGCACCATCACTGAGAACGATTTTAATTGATATCACCAACTGTCTCCAACCATTGGTGTTTACCGTCCCGAGGTCCGTAACCAGGAAGTCTACACCTTCCTACATGGCTGGCTTAAACTAACTATTATGGATTTCATTGACTGATGAATCTGTGTTTTATTTTGACCACCATTGGCTTTTTTCCAACCTGATCAATGCTATGTCAGCTAACATTGCCCGTCGAGGAAGGCGGTGGCTAGGCATTCATGCGTAACACATGTCCTAACCATCTAACACAATCGATGTGACTTAACAACCTCACCGATTGATTTTCTGTCCTTACCTAGCACTCGACGCCTAACCTAAATATTACTCATAGTATTATATCACCTAGCATGGGAGATAGAACTCAGGCACCTATGATCAAAGGCAGCTAGCCTTTTTCATGTCTTCCACTTTCAATGGCCATGTCTCGCTCACAGACATAAAGGAGGACGGAACGGACTTCTGAGCAGAACACATGTCCTTTGGTTAATATCCAGTCGGATGTCACGTCTACGTCCGAGGCAGCGTAAACTGGCATTTGCGAAACGAACCTTCTGTATCCGTGCCGAGATTTCGTCAGCGACCAACCCGTTTGGCAACTTCCCAAATAAGCGAAGCGATCTACGTCATCTATCACTTCACCCCCTATTTCTAAGCTAGGAGTGAATGTAGTCCAGTAGCATCATCTTACATTTGACAGAGGGAGCGAATCGCATGCCAAGCATTCGAAGATTGCTGCTCCCCAAGGTGTTCAGAAGACTCTGCATTTTGTCAGCGTTTTCACCCAGGTGGGAGGACTATATCATCTGCATATTCTAAGTCAACGAGATTATTCCCTGGTAACGAGTCAGTCCCTGAGTCGTTGAAGTCACTTAGGGTTAATTCCATTTGTGCGTCTATGATGAAATTAAATAGAAATGGGGACAGTGGGCATCTACATATCTCGCTCCATATGAGCAAGTGAATTAGTAGTAGACACACATAGAAGTGGTAAATAGTGAAAGTTTATCTTTAGAGTTATTGCATAATATTGAGCGACAAGAGAATACCGATGTCACTGTAGAAGTAGACAACATGTCTCTTTCAGGGTGTTTGATATTCTCTCCTCCAGGATGTTGGTCATTGATTTTAAATTGAATAACATTCAGCTGTGGATGGTATTCCATTTAAAAGTGTTCTTTCATTTCATTTTTTTAATAACCAATATTGATTGAATTTGTCTAATATTAAATATTATACATTTCAAGGCTACGCGTAACACTGATGATGTCGGTGACGAAATAAACGACCAAACGGATAGACATCAAAGATTCATAAATAATTTCTCCAGCTTTCTTGATGAGTATCACGGGTAAGGCAAAAAATTCTCTTGGTTTATTTTCCTTTCTTATATTTATGGTCATTGTTTATGTTTATATTTGCGAGAGACTAACAGGAAGAAGGGGATAACTGATTAAGTTATCTAGTCTAGATGACGAAACGTCTACCGCTGGATATCAAATCTATGGAAAGAATATAGCTAGAGAATTTTTACTACTCTCTTGAACTGATTCACCTCTCTGAGCTTATGTTAAACTGCGTACACCACCACCACGCTGATGAGCTCAGCCGTAAACGAGTGAAACAGCTGTCCAGTGTCTATGCCTGGCTTTGACGGGGCTAGCCAGGAAGCACTACTGATTGATGTGAGGCATATTCATACTACTCATGTCAATCACTCAGTAGTAGATGGCGTTATGCATCTCTCTTTCAGTTGCCTTTTTTTGTATCTATTATTACTGTAGGATAATTAAAGGCTGACGTATGATTTTTATTTCGTTTCTCTGCTATCATCTCGAATTATTTCAAACGACTGTGAATGGATGGTACACAGCATGCATAGCTTCCAGATTTCTAGTCAGCTGACCTGCCCACTTGCTTCGATTCTACCATTCTGAAGATTTTTATATCACCTCCGGTTATCGCCCTCATCATTGGATCAGAGATGAGATTGGAAAGCCATACAGACATTCAATAATCTAAAATCGGTGTTAGGGAGGAACAAGATTCGGATTTTCAACACTATAATGTCAAGCTAGCCGGTGTTTCTATTTGGTTCAGAGAAACGGGCGTGCTTGTCAGAGAAAGTGTTAGGAAGAGGCAAAACACATGCAATTATCAGGTCATTATCATGTCTTAGTCAAGTTATTATCGCGTTATTAACATGCAATTGTTCCTGCTTCTGATTGGACGCTTGCACAATTCCAACTCTCAACCGGATTGGTTGATTTCCAGTCTACCTTATTTTCTGTATAAATACAGTCAATTTTGTCATAATAACTGAACCTGGTTTTACCGCTGATTCTCTTCGTGTTCTGCTTTACCAGTTAAGTGGGCACTGGTCAGTAGTTAAGCAATGACCTCGTGACTAAAGATCTAGCATCATAACAGAAAGTATTTTCCCAAGCAGGCTTCCATCAACAGTTGCCTCCTTTTCTACCTATTGAGATTCAGATGGTCGACCTATTAGAAAGAATTTGCAGTGCAAAGAACCAACCAAGAACCTGTCATTGAACAAGTATGTAGGAAAAAATGGGGATGGATTGGACATACAAAAAATACATCACTGAGGAGACCGTTGAGTGTGACATCACATGTGTCAGGCCACTCGATGGGAAGAGGTGGTGGATAGATAGTAAATGATGATGATGATGATAGGTAGGGCGTTAGAAATTGTCACGGAGGAGACTGTCTGAGAAGGAAACAAAAGCTTGTCATCAATCATGGAGCCTACTAAAAGGCGTTTCGTCTCATCATTAGATACAGGTGCCAAATACGTCCGCTGCACGTTTCTTGATTTCACTTCAGCTTTCGACTCTGTTCCTAGATGTTTCCTGCTAAATAAGCTCTCTTTGACAAAAACCGAGTCCTGGGTTACTAACTGGCTGCATTCCTACTTCTCTGACAGAATGCAGTACACCGTATACAAAGGTAAATCATCCTCTGCCGTACTCACTGAAGCCGGTGTCCCCCAAGGCGCTGTACTCTCCCCACTTCTCTTTTCTTTCTTTCTACATGACTTACCATCTTCAAATGACATTAATTTTGTCAAATATTGCTGACGATCTGACTGTATCTTTGCCTGTCAAATGTCAAAGCGACTGCTCTAAACTTAATGGCTTTCTGTCAGAAATCAGCCAGTGGTCCAAGGAAAATGGTCTTACCCTAAACCCCTCTAAATGCCAAACAGTCAATTTCACCTTTAGGCATAAATCCGACCTAAATAAACTGGTTGGCTCTCACGAGGTATGCAACATAGACGGCACTGAAATAGAAACCAAATCGGAAATTAAATACCTAGGCGTCATTCTATCTGCTGATCTCTCCTGGTCGTCTCATATCCTAGCAATTTCTAAGAAAATATTCCGTCTTACCTTCTACATTAAGAAGTTAAAACATTCTGGTATAACCCAACCCTTACTCCTACAATTCGTCAATTCTCACATTCTGCCTATTATTCTCTATTGTTCCCCCTTAGTTTTTCCCGGGCTACTGAAGAAAGACTATAACATATTACGCAGGATGTTAAAGGTTTTCAGCTGGGTAAGCAACGTTCCACTTAGCCAGCTTGTTAATACTCTGGTCGACAGGCACATGGACTCATGTGAAAAATCGGCCAAATCCATTTTATCTAACTCACACCACCCTCTTCATTCACAACTCTCCCCCTGCATCTCATCAGGTAAAACCAGAAGCCTATATAGAAACCTATATGCTCGCACCAGAAAGTACAAAAACTCAACCATACCCTACTTAGCTCGTGTTCTGTGCGATAAAGAAAGCATTAGGCGTGCCACCTATAATTCATTAAATAGTCAGTAGTACAACTGGACCTCGTCTTTCCAACTCACATCATTTATAGGTACAACATTTTCTTTCTTTCTTTTCCTTTTCTCTCTCTTTTTTTCCGTTATGTGCTGCTTTGTTTCTTTCTCTCGCTAACACCAGTAAATATGACAGCTCCCACTTTCCTAACACCTTCAAACACTGTTCACCTTTGGCTTTGCTACCGACATGCTAATGTGTTGTTGTAATAATGAACTGTGGTTTCCTTAATCTTTGTAGAATTCTATTTATTGATAATGTACTAACTGGATGCAATACTGTAGTAAAAATGCTGAGAATTCCATTCTGTATCGCTTGTACTGTTTTGGAATAAAGCAAATTATTATTATTATTAGGGAAAAAACAGCGTGTCTCTTCATTTATTATTTAAAAGTAATTTATAATTTCTGTCTCCTTTAATTTTTCATTTGTAGATCTGTTATGGAGAATAAAACTGGCGGAAATATTGATGAAGAGCTTCCGCTTTGTAATACTGATTTGAATTCTACCTCACAGAGATTATCCACTGTTCCACTATATCTGAACAGATTTCATGAAAATGCTTTATTACATGAATCAGTGACAAAATCATACAAAGTAAGTCGTAAATCTTAGTCTATTAAAAGGACAAATATTTGCAGTACACCCCCCCCCCGTCCAATACACCAAAATAAACATAGGCCTGAAATGAAAAGATCGAACCGAATTTAATTACAATTGGATGAGGAATTTCATCATGAGCTGACATCAGTTAGAGAACCACTGGAAAATTGGCAAGGAGTACTGGACAGCTGTTTCGTCCTAGTTTGGGACTCTTCAGCAATACGCACCCACCGTTACGGTTCGAACCCAGGGCCCTCTGGGCCATTGGATCGGTTCCCAGTGGCTCAATGGTCTACGAGCTCGCCTTGTAACCAGAAGGTCCTGGGTTTCGAGCCCTGGCGGTGGGTGCGTACTGATGAAGAGTCCCAAACTAGGACGAAACAGCTGTCCAGTACTCCCAGCTTGTTTTCCAGTGGTTCTCTAGCCGATGTCAGCTCATGATGAAATCCTCCATGCAATCAAACAAAATCCCTACAAAACCAATACTTGAAAATTAATTTAAGCTAACTAAATAAACGTCTAACCAGCCTGCTATGGATGCTTTTGGGTGTTTTAAGTTTTGTTTAATTAGTTAGGCATGCATCTGACCAGGCTTGGAAGGCTATTTTGCGCTGGTAACACGTGCATACTCAGACATTTCCGTAGTTTAGGCACATACTAGTCAGATAAGGTCTAATGTTATTTGTTTTTGTAAAGTCAATTTTTGATTTTTCCCCTTAATTGATTGGAGGGAAATTTTCGGCGTCTGAGCTATTGGGCCTCACGATTGACCTGCTGTAGGACTGTATTGGATAGTCTGATTGAATGCTGCCTAGTAAGTAACTCGTTTCATGCTTCTAGTCCTTTGTGTTGATGCAGACTGGATTTGCAATGTAGCCACGATTCTAGGTGGAATAGCCATCTCAATGCACTCTGAATTGTTGTTATTAATTAGATAGTTGGAGGCGATCGGCAGATATGCCTTGCTGATTGACTGATAAGTGCCAATAAGCACGAAACTTAGGTCTAGGTCGAAAGCTTCCTGCTGATTGCCTCCAACCATCTAGTAATAATGACATTTCAAAGTGCACTGTGGCATAGCGAACCACCTAGTATGATGGTCACATTGTAGACTTTACCGACACAATTCAGTCTGCAATAAACTTGATGCAGGACTTGATTCAAGACACTAGTCACTCACACACAATGACTCAGTCATTTTGATTTATTACAGGATTTCATCATGAACTGACATTGGTTAGAGAACTATTGGAAAACCAACTGGGAGTACTGGACAGCTGTTTCGTCAGCCCAGTTTGGGACTCTTCATCAGTACGCACCCACAGGGGTTCGAACCCAGGATCTTCTGGTTACAAGGCAAGCTCGTAAGCCATTGGGACCCGATCCAATGGTCCATGAATTCTAACTTCTGCCAATTCTGCCAAATCCCTACAAACCAACACTTAAATATCGATGAGATGCTCACTAGCGACTTGCCCTATTCAGGTAGGTAGTTACCTGGGGTTCTAGTGAGACATCGTGATCAGTAGGGTGCAGCACGTTGGATGTGAGGACAAATAGTTGCCGAAGACATTGGCTAGGGGTCGCGCTATGTCGTGAATTGGCAGAAGTTAGAATTCATGCGCTGGCCATTGGATCGGGTCCCAGTAGTGGCTTAATAGTATACGAGCTCGCCGTGTAACCAGAAGGTCCTGGGTTCGAACACCGAAGTAGGACGAAACAGCTGTTCAGTACTCCCAGTTGGTTTTCCAATGGTTCTTTAACCAATGTCAGCTCATTATGAAATCCTCTAACTAACCAATCAAATCCTTACAAACAAACACTTGAACATTTTGATTTTTGTTTTGTTTTCAGTACTTATGGATCAGGTAGTGTGTACTGATTAAAGTGGGTAGTTGGGCATATTGTGTCTAGTATGGCTGGTTTAGTGTAGTGTATCAACAATACAACGTTAAATATTTATGAGTCATAATATTTCACTGACTTTAATTCCTCCAAATATCGTGTGAGAGGGGACATGAAAGCATTACAAAGAAGATAAAACGACACAAGTTAACATAAATGATAGTAGAGTGTGGTGAGTCGGTGGCACAGCGGTTAGGACGCTCCCTAGCCGACGTAGGCCTGATATCAATGGTCGGCCTGGTAAATATCACATTTCCATAAATTTCATAATTCTACCAAAATACTTTGTTGAATCAAGCTATAATAAAAAAAAGTTATTTCAGGTTAGGTGTTATCACGAGTCACCGACATTATGTTGGAGAACCATTGAAAATCAGGCAGAGCTATTGGAGAGCTGCCTCGTCCTAGTCTGGGACTCTTCAGCATTACGTAACCACGACCTTACCAAGGATGATCAAACCTGGGACTCGTCAGCCACTCAACTACTTCAGCTGGAATTCAATAATAACTTTTGAATTCTTATCTTATACTAGAGTCAACTAATCTATATTTTGCTGGATTTTTTTGTGTCCCACTGACCCCTAATTGACCCTGTCCTACAACTCTGGTCTATGTATTTGACCTCAAAGTCATTGCAAAGTAATAAATAAACTAAATTATATTGTTTAGAGGACTCCACAGAATTTTTCAATCAATATAACTTGTTTCTAAGTGGGTTTGCGAGTTTGAATGCCATCTTGATTCTTGCTTTGTTAAGTTTGAATTCAAGTTTGACCAGATCTCAGGGGCTGAATGGTCTATGAGTTTGCCTTGGGTTCGAACCCAGGGAGGGGATAGGTACTGCTAGGGAGTTTCAAACTAGCACGAAACAGCTGTCTAGTACTCCCTGCCTTTTTCCAATAGTTCTCTAACTGGTGTCAGCTCCTGATGAAACTTGTAATTCTACGTAAGGTTTTAGGGGTTCCGTCTTTATGTATGGCAGGACTGCTGATGTTTTAAATTCCTTATTTCATACATTTATTCCCCTTAATGAATTTGAACAAAGCAACAACTACAGTTTTAGCAGAATAAAATGGTATCATCTTTTATTTCGTTGCCTTCCCGTCAGCTGCTCACAGGGCAAAGACATTATTAAATGTATCTACAAAAACAATTTTAAACATACTTGCACAGAGTTCATTTTAAACAAAAACCAATCGATCAATGTATGCACACAGTAATAATATATACATATATATATATGTAATATTAAACACTATTCTGAACAATAATAATCATACACAATGGAAACTTTTCAGCATCTGGCATTAGGATGAAAAATAGCCAGTTACCAGAGCAAAGAAAGACTGATAACAAATCAGGTTTCAGGCACTTGATGGAGATGGCTTCAGCAAACTTGAGGAGAATTGAGTTCCTTTGCCAATTGATAATTTTGAACGACTTTTCGACGTCCACCTCATGACCCGTGTCGAGGAGATGCCTGGCGATGGCACTGTTTAAAGCATTTGTTCCCTTTACATGTATCTGTGGGAGCAGTTACATTGGAAGAACAGAAAGAAGGGCATATCTACGATTTTCTGAACATGTACCGAAAAGCCTGTGTCTAAAGGGAACAAATGCTTCAAACAGTGCCATCACCAGGCATCTCCTCGACACGGGTCATGAGGTGGACGTGGAAAAGTCGTTCAAAATTATCAATAGCAAAAGAGTTCAGTTCTCGTCAAGTTTGCTGAAGCCATTTCTATCAAGCGCCTGAAACCTGATTTGTGCGTTCAGAAAGAAGCGGTTATCAGTCTTTCTTTGCCCTGGTAACTAGATATTTTTCATCCTAATGCCAGATGCTGAAAAGTTTCCATTGTGTATGATTATTATTGTTCAGAATAGTGTTTAATATTACATATATATATGTATATATTATTACTGTATGCATACATTGATCGATTGGTTTTTGTTTAAAATGAACTCTGTGCAAGTATGTTTAAAATTGTTTTTGTAGATACATTTAATAATGTCTTTGCCCTGTGAGCAGCTGACGGGAAGGCAACGAAATAAAAGATGATACCATTTTATTCTGCTAAAACTGTAGTTGTTGCTTTGTTCAAATTCCGTATTGTTGTTTGTTGTCATCCTTCTGTATGTGAATACTTTTCACTTATGTTGGCGTTATTATTGTTATTATTATTATTTCAGAAAATACTCGGTGTTGTAAAGAGATGTCAACTTGGCCTAGTCAAACTTAAAAGCGATCATGAGGAAAATCATCATCATCACCACCACCACCATGCCAACAGTAACAACAACGAAAGCCATGACGCCGACATCAATTCCCCTGATAAAGAATACATACCGTTACAAGCTGTTGATCATAATACTCTTAATGACACTTCATTGCATACCTCACCTTTAATAACACAAATCAATGTTATTTTAAAACATTTAACTGTATATAATGAAAGTCTGCCGATTGAAAATGATGATGAAATAATGTTTATTGAACAGAAGTTAACCAACCTGTGGATTGATTTCAGTGACCTTGTCAATGAAATGGTCAATAGGGATTGGGAAGAATCCAGTGGAAGTGATGTATTACCAGTTGTTATAAAAGGGATACTAAATAGGGTAAGTTAATTCGATTTTACACGATATGCTTTTTTAGGGTGGGTGCAGGGTTTAGCTGGGCTAGTAGAGAGAAATCAAAATCTGAGTCGTAGTCGATAGGGCTAGGTTAGTGTATCAGTTTTGATTGCAAATTCTTTTCAGTTAGAAAACAATTGGAAAAACAGCAGGGAACACGGGACAATTGTTTCGTCCCTTTTTGGGCTCCTCATCGGTTCTCACTAATGAGCCTACCTCCAGGAGTCAAACCCAGGACCTTCAGCTTACTACTCAGCCACGAGGAGGAAATCCAATGGTCCATCGATCCTTACTTCTGCCAAATGTTACTATACCCCAACCGCCAGCCAGTGGTGGACCTCGCAGATCGCGACTTCCCACTGGAATCACCACTGGATGGATGTGTCTCCATTTCTGTATAATTTCATCATAGATATATTAACGAAAACAACTCTAACAGACTTCAGTGACTTAAAGATTGACTTGTTACAAGGGAATACTTTTGTTCACCTAGAGTATGCAGATGATATTAACGTCCTAGCTGAAGACGCTGACAAAATGCAGAGTCTTCTGAACACCTCAAGCAGACACCTACGAATGTTTGGCATGCGATTCGCTCACTCTGTCAGGTTTAAGACGATACAGCAAGACTAGAACACACCGACCCCTGGATTAGAGGTAGGGAGTGAATTGGTTGAGTTTGTAGATACCACTAATTTAGGAACTTATATCAGCTCCAATGGACTGATTAATAATTGCTGATGAAATCTCAGCATATACAGATAAAAGGCCCTTATGGCATTCACCAGCCTACTTCATCTCTGGTGTACACATGACATCCGGATCTATCGATCAAAGGAATGTTTGTATTGCTGACTGACTGATTGATTGGTTTCAACATAGAGCTTTGCATAAAAGTGTTCGAGTTCAACTTGCCACACTCCATAGAGCACACAAGGCGGAGAAAGGGAAGAAGAGACTCAAATGTGAACGATAATAAGCAGAAATGCGAGGGAGAAAGAATAGTAACATAGGAAGGTAAGAGTTTTTAGTGGATATAATAAGAGATCACAAAGAGTAAAATGTATCTTCGCCATTGTTGACAACAATCTTGAGACATATATCATCAATTGATTGAAAATGCCCATTTAAATCTTTCAAAAGAATGGTTACTGAACTAAGAATACTCTTTTCGATAACTTGCTCTTCATCAGGTAGCTTCTACAGTTATATATACACATTATAGTGAATGAATGAATTAGTGTTATCAACAACATTAATGTTGTTTAAATAACATCGAATCAATAATAATAATATCAATGGGTTACAGTTCAATAGCATCAACATAAAATAAGCTGAATGTCAGACAGGTGAATTAGGAAAGATTATAATACAAATTCATGCATTTATAGTCTCCACTGAAAGCCGGCCAGGACTTGCTTCTTTTACACACAAAGCACTGGTTGTTTCACGTGATTTACGATAGCCTCTGCTGTCTGGAGCATGCGGTAGCTGGATGTTTTTGGTAATTTATTTCGTATGCGGTAGATGATAGAGAAGGATTCTTCAATGCTGGCTGACTTTGTGAATGGTGTGGACCAGATGGTCTAATATCGAATTGTTGATGGTTTTCACTACACCTTTATTTAGTTATACTGGGAAATATTCTCGAGCATGAAAAATCAAGTTCCTAGCTAGAGCAACAGCCTATTTATGTCGCTCCACAAGCGCAGTTGAATTGATGGATACAATTAGAAGTGGCTAGTTTAGGTACTTCATCTTTCAGTCGAGGAATCAACATCGGTCGTGTAGAGAATAAGACATGTAGTTCTCCAGCTATAAAAGTTCTTTGAACTGATTGTCTTAATTTCTTCGTAATTATTTCACTTGGTGTATCGCCCTTGATTTGCAGTCGTGTGTATAAAGGCTTCTTGTTTACGGATAATGAGTGAGGAGTCCTTTTCCGCTTTCTTTGTCATGTGTTTCTTGATAAATTTGTCTGGATAGCTAGCTATTTTCAATCAAAGTATCATATACAAAGCTTAATTCATCTTCAATTACTTCTGAGTATATAGCTCTAACTCTGTGGCTGAGGGTCTTTACTAAATTTCTTTTGTACTGGAAAGGAACGAAGCTGTGAAAATCATCATCAATTTGTCTCCAACCCTTGGTTCTTGTCATCTCGACGACGCCAACGAGCCGTCAAGTAGTATTCACCTTACTACGTGACCAGCTCAAAATAACTGTTAAGGATTTCATGGATTGGTGCCATTTTTTTTATTTGACCACCACTAGCAATTTTTCCAACCTAGTCCTATGTCAGCTAACCTTTCCCATCGAGGAAAGCGACAGTTAGACTTAGATTTTCCTTCTTTGGTGGTTTGACAAGGTAGCCTTCCTTCCAAACTTTCTGTTATAGTGGTGTGAGGATATCTGCTGCGTGGTCTCTGGATCCATTTTAGGCGCTTTTTTGAGGAATTCCATCTGATTCTGCTGTTGTTTTCCTGGTTGGCTTTCTGTAGCTTTATGGCACTCAAGACTTTTACTTTCGTTAGAGGATTGGTATTCACTGAAAGTTGTTTGTATATATACTTGAACTGTTGAAGAATCACAAACTAGGACGAAACAACTAGTCTAGTGCTTTTTTCTTTTACTATTCTAATTTCCAATTTCTACTCATTTTATTTTTATTACTATTATAGAATATTTCAATTGTACAATTCACTAATAATACTTCGACGACTTCATTCGATCAACTGATCACTCTAATAAGTGAAATTGATTCAAGTATAAAAGAAATCAATGAATTTTTATTGAAATTATCCACTACAGAAGAAGAAGAGAAGATTCTATCACCCGCTGTTTGGTTGACATCAATTAAAACAAGAGAATTATTGAAAATTGAAACAATTTACTTACGCATATTAATACTTATTTTTAATGCTGCGCATACATCATTATTACTGGTTTATGATGTTATGTTGTGTAATTCTGGTGAAACAGAAAAGAAGAAGAAAATGATGAAGCAGGAGCGGATCCAGACGAATTCATGTTTATCTTCACAAGGCGGTGGTCAAGAGGTAAGACTTTTGTTTCATACTTTTGAAATATTCTTTTAATTGTTGTACCTACAAGATGGTGAATGAATGTCAACTAGACGATGGGTAAATGTTCAAATCTTCGAGAGTAAAGATGAACTGGCTTCAAAGATGCTGATTAGGTAAAAGACATGAAGTCTTGATGAAGATGAGTCTTTTATGCAGATATGTAACGACAGAAGACAAGGGCCAGACAACAGATCGTTTATTGAGGAAATCAACAGATATTTATATATTTTTATGTACATTATTATTCGTTGTTATTAGCAGAGAAACAGCGTCTTCTGATTGGTTGTTTTCTCGCTGAAAGTTATTCTGTCATCTCTTTGTGGCCGTTTCTTTGAAGGTCAGACCATATCATATATCTGCGAATCGTATCCACCCACGCTAAGTCTGCTGTGATTGGTTGTTGAGTTAGTCTTTGTTTCTGTTTTTTCTCATGACCAAGATATGGGACGTAAATATTGACGTAAATTGCTGTCTACCAATTTTGGCTTGCAGACAGCTCTCATCACAGATGAATGAAATATTCTATACAGGAAGGTGTTTTGCTCATTTTTTTTCCTTCACGTTCCCCAGTGGAACATAGGGCTTCAAGCTAGTGGCTTGAAGTTTCTTTAGCAGTGTTTATTTTACAGGATGAGGTTGCTAGCCTCATGCTCAACCTTTCTTCTTCACCAGCATTATTTCTGGCTTAGCGAGGTAAAGGAGTGCGTCGGCCGGGGATCGAACCCCGGACCATGTGCATGGTCGGCGAGCGTCATAACCGCTATGCTCATAGTTACATTATTATTATTATCATCACCCGCTTAGCCTCCAAGTGGAACATAGGATTGGAACAGAACATCTCCATTTGATCTTGTTCTCTGCAATCTTGTTCATGAGGTCTCATCTCCTCCTCAGACGAACTCATTCATTTCACTGTCGGACCCCTCCCTAACTTGTTGTTCCCCATATGGGTCACATTTGGGCGATGACCTGTCTGACGCGTGCTGTCCCTCAGTCATCCCCTCAGTGTGTGTCCTACCGTCCCCATTTCCTTTTGCATATTTGTTCGGTAATATGTTCTTGATTAATTCAGGATTTCTTATTGCTTACACATTTTCTGGCGAACCGGCCATTTGATCCTCAGATTCGAGCGAAGAGAGTTGTTGGTGAATCTCTTCGCTAGCCTGTGGGAAATGCCTTTGACGGTGGGCTTGTCAAGTCTCGGAACTCTATAGAAATACTGACTTGACACTGGTATTAGACAGAATTCGATTCCTCTTCCTCGTGCTCAGTGCTATAAACTTGCGTACTGATTTCAGAGTGATCAACACCTGTCGTACTTTCCTGATCCATTCCTAACTTTCATATTCTTATCTCTGTCACCTGTAGTAGAGACGGTCCTGCTCAGGTAAGTGGATGAGATGACTTCCTTTAGATTTCTTCCATAGATGGTCACTGGGATATCTTCATCACGTCTATCTTCCCTATGCACACTTGGAATTCTGTCTTTGCTGTCTGTGCCAAGGAAAATCTAAGACATGAAGTGAGGCATATAAGAGAAGCTTTGAAACTTAATAATTACCCTGATAAATTACTCAGAAAGTATATGTAGGGAAATCTAAAAATTAAATAAATAAATAAATAATATTAATGATGACATGCATGTCAAACATACGCAAGACAACACCAACAATAAGGAATCTAAATCATCAGTAGTAATTCCATACAAGGAAGGGACCTCGAAAACCTTACGCAGAATTCTTAACAATGCTGGCATGATTAAAAGTGGCATTCAAACCCACAAATTCAATTAGAAATAAGCTTTGTCGGTTAAAGGATCAATCCTGTGGAGCCGTTAAAACAAAACAATTTATTTTATTTAATACCCTGCCTGCGATGATTCTCAGGTCAAATACATAGGTCATAGTAGTAGAACAGAGGCAGTCAGACTAACCGAACATAAAAACCTATCAAAATCTAGACTAGTTGATCTGAATAAGATAAGAAATCTAGAGAATAGTTCAGTTATAGCACTCACTACATGCAACTACACACAATCGTACAATAGGATGGATGGGATAAGATGACAGTTTTAAAATCTAATGTAACAACAGGGTGGAGAGAGAGATTGCTAACGGAAGCTTTATTTATCGAATCAACTGCGAAGACGTGTAATAGGAATGATTCAACACCTGTCTACCCAGATATCTGGAAAATTCTACTATCCCAACGACGACAAATAGGAGAGAACAAAGAAAACTATAAAACTGAGGTTTCGAAGTTGTGTGATTATAACTGATATGATTATGAACAATAATAAATTGTGTTCGAAACCTCGTCATCCAGCAAATAATACTATTTCATCACTGTGTGATATATATCTAATAAACAAACTAATCATTGAATTGCTTATTTACTTCTTCTGCAAACTGGTTGGATTTCGTTTGTGCTCTCTCAAAACGTTTGTGTGACATGAGACGCAAATGATCTACTGAGTTTTTTATTTAACCGAGGGAAATTGCATCGATTCGACTTGAAATGTATTTTCTGTAAGTGAAGATACTTTGTCATTATTGCGGAAGGATATTATGACAAATTGTCACATACCTACTTCGTAAATAATATACTAGCTGAACATGATAACATGTTTAATTCCAGCATTCGACAGTGTGTGTGTGGCTTCGAATGTTTCTGACAGTAGTACACTACAGATTGCTGACCATCACTCTATTGAGCTGAGGGTGATAGGTGATATGTCTTGCTTACAAGGTTGATTGAAGTAAATTAAAATTACCTAACTCCATATCACTTTTCTTTTCCCCCGCTTAATTGACTGTGACAGATGCTTCTATTGAATCAATTGAATTATTTAAAGTATATATTAAATCAATTCAATGTGTCCAATGAATTTATCAGAACAGATCAAAACAACAACAACTACTACTGTTATTCCTCTTATCATCAAACATTACAATGCATAACAGAGTTTCTTCTCTACAAAGACTCGTCTTTCAATCTATCTAGTCTAATTACATCATTAAACAACTTTTTGAATCAAAGACATACTTGTCTACTGAAGATGACAACTGATGAAATGCGAAACACATCAAACAATGATAATAATTCTTCATTGATGATGATGATGAATACATCTATATCCATGAGGAATATGCCAGTTAACAAGTCAGTGTTGGACAGATCACCTGACACCACATCATCATGTCATAATCTACAAATATTTGAACACCTATTGAATACAGCTGATAAAATTATTCAAATGCCAATCTTAACTATGCATGAATTAAAAAATAGATATACTGAATATATGGTAAGTTGTTTTGTTGTTGAATATAGGCTGTTTTATTTCACTTGAGAGTTACGTCATTTACTGTTATGTAGTGTGGATTGTTTTTAAATGTCGAGTTATATATCGTACATATATATGATTCCTTCAGATTTGACCTCTGTCGCTGTGTACACTCTTAATATTCCTCTGTTAACTACATTCTAACAAGGAACACCAGTCGGTTGTTTCGTCCTAGTTTAGGATTCTTTATCAGGCATGCACCCTCGACTGTGAATATGGAATGCGTCCTATCCCTTGTGGGGTCATTGGTCCTAAACTACGGTGAAACTACTGTCCAATGCGGTGGCGTCAGTGTATTACACAGAATCTGTCTTTAAAATCTATTCCATCCTCTGACAACCTAACATTTAGAAATGTACTTAGTCTTACATGAAATTCTGTTGCATAGTGACTGATTAGCTCTGGTCATCAGTGTATGCTGGGTGAATAGGCTGAACCATTATCTGGTTGGATGATTTCATCATGAGCTGACATCAGTTAGAGAACCACTGGAAAATCTGGGAGTACTGGACAGCCTTTTCGTCCTAGTTTGAGACTCTTCATCGGTGCACGCCCACCGGGGTTCGAATCCAGGACCTCTTGGTTACAAGGTGAGCTCGTAGACCATTGAGTCACTGGGAACCGATCCAATGGCGTACCGCTGAAGAGTCCTAAACTAGGCTGACGAAACAGCTGTTTAGTACTCCCAGATTTTCCAGTGGTTCTCTAACTGATGTCAGCTCACATGATGAAATTCCCCATCCAATTTTAATTAAATTCGGTTCGATCTTTTCATTTCAGGCCTATGTTTATTTTGATGTAGTGGAGGGGGGGTGTACTGCAAATATTTATCCTTTTAATAAACTAAGAATTACGACTTACTTTGTATGGTTTTGTCACTGACTCATGTAATACTGCATTCCCATCAAATCTGTTCAGATATAGAGGATCAGTGGGTAATTTCTGTGAGGTAGAATTCAAATCAGTATTACAAACCCGAAGCTCTTCATCAATATTTCCGCCAGTTTTATTCTCCATAGCAGATCTACAAATGAAACATTAAAGGAGAGAGAAATTACTAATTACTTTTAAGTAATAAATGAAGAGAGTAGTATTGTTGATGAAACTTTCTGAGATAGTCTTGGAACTAAATTATTATCGAGAGTTCCTAGTAGAACAGAGGGCGTCATCAACGGTACATCCTCACGACACGCTGTTTTTCTCCCCAACGCCTTTTAGCAGGCTCCACGATTGATCACAAGCTTTTGTTTCCTTCTCAGACAGTCTCCTCCGTGTCAATTTCTAACGCCCTACCCATCATCACCATCATCATTTACTATCCATCCCCACCCCTTCCCATCGAGTGGCCTGACACATGTGATGTCACACTCAATGGTCTCCTCAATGATGTATTTTTTGAATGTCCAATCCACCTCCGTTACTTCCTACATACTTGTTCAATGACAGGTTCTTGGTTGGTTCTTTGCACTGCAAGTTCTTTCTAATAGGTCGGCCATCTGATCCTCGGTAGGTGGAAAAGGAGGCAGCTGTTGACGAAAGCCTGCTTGGGCAAATACTTTTGCTGGCATTTCTCTGAACTATTTAGACAAGTAATGGCTAGTTTGACATTATAGTGTTGAAAATCCGATTCTTGTTCCCCTCTAACACCGATTTTAGATTATTGAATGTCTGTATGGCTTTCCATTCCCATCTTTGATCCAATGATGAGGGCGATAACCGAAAGTGATATAGCAACCTTGATCATAGTACACTTCGAAGCAATTGGCAGGTCAGTTATGCAGACCAGAATATATGATTCGCTTCACCGCATATATGGCAATCAAGAGATCAAGTGTGAATGCATAAAAATACCGATTGACTTAGGGGTGGGTAGTTGTATACCACGTACATCAACCAGTAGTGATTCTTGGCCAGTCAGTCAGTCAGCCAGCCAGCCAGAGGCATCAAATTAGTGTAAATTCTAGACGTTTGTTTCTCTCGTTTGAGTTGGTGCTCATCAGTGCGGTTGTATGCAGTGTGATGGAGCTTAGAGAACTGAATCGATTCATACCACCTGATTTCTGGCTACTGGTTAGTGTGAATAGTATACAGCTACTCACTTCAATCAATTAGTCGTAGTGTGTAGTTTTATGCTGTTTTACAAGTGTTTTTATGTATTTTATGATACATTGATCCACTCAAATTAACTGTTTGATAAACTCAGTTGGCTGAAACACACTCTTTTTTGTGTATCAAGCTTTGGGCCGGATTTATTGTGTGACGTCTGAAGTGGAGTAGGCGTGGTGAGACTCGAACCCTGGGGCCTTTCATTGCCTATAAGTTGAGTACTGCTTAAGCTAATGAATCACATCTCTAACTCAGACTAGCTGGTTAGAGAATCAGTTCGTTTCAGAAATTTGATTCTGTTTGACTTACTTATTTTAATTATGGGTTTTATTTATGGATTTAGATTAATTTCATTTGGAGAAAGAGATTATTGGAAGCTAAAGAGCACTTGATAGCTGTTTCATCCTAATTTGGAGACTCTCTAGCAGCAAACACCTACGACTTCACCAGGGATTGCACTTGGAACTTTCAACTCTCAAGGCTCATTGAGGTGGTTAGTCATTCAGCCACCTGAGTAGGAATTTAATGACCCGTGAATTTTAGCTTTGTCAACCTCGAACAATGACTGAAGACTCAGTTTCCGATTTCTTGTTGGGTCGTGGATATTCACTGACGAAGAGTCCTGAATTAAGACGAAACATCTATGCATTGTTGCCTGGTTTCTAGTGATCTCTCTCTCTCTGAATGATGTTGGTTTGTGACGCAATCTGAATTGGAGTCTTCTTATTGGTATCCATAGGATGGTAGGTAGTTAATGAACCCTGCTTCGGTGCTTAGGGCATTGTTTTCCTTATTTGCTTAATACTCAGAGGGACTTTGACTTCCCATTTCACTTAATTGAAATAACTTGTGATACAAACTGCAATATTTTAGTTGTGTGACTCCATGGATTTTCAGTGGATAGTTTTAATTCTCAAGTATTGGTTTTGTAGGGATTTTGTTTGATTGCATGGAGGATTTCATCATCAGCTGACATCAGTTAGAGGACCACTGGAGGACCTGGAAGTACTGGACAGCTGTTTCGTCAGCACAGTTTGGGACTCGTCATCAGTACGCACCCACCGGGGTTCGAACCCAGGACTTTCTGGTTACAAGGCGAGCTCATTTTCCAGTGGTTCTCTAATTGATGTCAGCTCATGATAAAATTCTCCATCCAATCAAACAAAATCCCTACAAAACCAATACTTGAAAAAATTAATCTGATGCTCACTGGCGACTGGCTCTATTCACGCAGTGACCTGGGATTCTAGTGGGAAGCCGTGACCAGTAGGTTACAGCAGGTTGAAGATGAGGCAGTAACTCACCGAAGAGGACATTGCGAAATGGTCGCGCTATGTCGTGAATTGGCAGAAGTTAGAATTCACGGGCTGGCCATTGGATTGGGTCCCAGTGGCTCAATGGTCTACGAGCTCGCCTTGTAACCAGAAGGTCCTGGGTTCGAACCGTAATGGTGCATGCGTACTGCTGAAGGGTCCCAAACTAGGACGAAATGGTTTTAATACTCTCTTCCCCCCCTCATCACTGTATGTCACTTAATATGAGCTAGTTTAAAATCTATCTACCTGTCTATCTCTATCCAAAATGTCTACAGGAATATCTATGAGCTGAAGATAATTTGTCCTATTTAAGTGTTGTTTTACAACCATTTGATTGATTTAGAATTACAGGTTTAATCATGGGCTGATATCACTTAGAGAACCATTCGAAATCCGTAGAGTATCGGACAGATCTTTCGCTCTAGTTTGGTACTCTTCTGCAGAAGTACACACCCACCGGGGTTCGAACCCCGGACCTTTCTGTTAGAAGGCGGGTTCGTACACCATTCAGTCATCGGCAAGCGATCCAATGGTCCATGAATACCAACTTCTACCAATTCGCGCAACCACTGTCCAATGTCATAGACGAGTAACTGTCCTCCTGTTTGCCTTGGTGGACCCCACTGGTCACGACTTCTTACAAGAACTCCAGGTAACTTCCTGTATTGAGCCAGTCTCTAGTGAGCATCAGATTAATTTTCAAGCATCCACTTTCAAGTTATATCCCTTGATGGCATCAGTTAGAGGGAACTGTTGGAAACCAGAGGGTACTGGACAGCTGCTACATCACAGTTTAGTACTCTTTGGCAAAATGTAATCCAAATATTCTGATCAATAAACTTTCTAAAAACCTCGCATTTTTTCCCAATTTTCAGGAGTTATTTAGTTGTATTCACTGGAACTGCTGTCGCACAAGCTTATTCCTCCTCTTAGGAAAATCAAATACTACTGCCAAACACTTTGGATTAGGCATCAGTGATGATCATCCTGTGGATCAAGGCGAATGTAAACGAAACGATCAAGAACAGTGCACACTAGATCTTATCAATCATGGCGTAGATTTAAATCACAAACTGATGAGATGGTATGGTAACGCTTATTGTCTATTAGATCAATGGAAACGTTTAACTGATCAAGTGGATTGGTTTAATGGTATGTTGTTATTTGAACAGCAGCTTTCTGCTGTGTGTTTTTTACATTTCTTGCCCTTGAGTCCATTGTTTTTATATCATTCTAGACAGTATTGTCAATAATATGAAGTATCAACGGAAGAAACTTAATAAACATCTTTTTTTTAATAGGAACTTCAACATGTCTTATTGTTTCCTGGCTCTGATATCACTATTTTTTAGGATATGTTGGATGTTCAGCGGCAGAATGCACATCAACCACGCTTCGTGTGTTCCAGGATTCGATTTCCAGCCAGCGCATTCCTAGATCTCCTCTAACCGGTTTGTAAGCCCAATAAAGAGGAAAGGTTGGGTGTAAGTTTAACACTCCCACCTAGTAAAATAAAACACCATTGCTCCTGAAGCTTTAAAGCCCTAACCTCACAGGATCAACCTTCCCTCCCTATCGGATTTGCTGCTACCGGGAATCGAACCCCCCGACTACGGGCGTGGTTGTTGACAATTCTACCATTGAACCACTGACACATCGATCGTCTCATGGTGTGATACTACTGTAAGGAAGAAAAGACCGAGTGTTGCTGATGAGCACGAAAAAGTACAAAACACCGATTTTTCTATATTCTTGTTTAGAAACAAAAAGACTTACTCATCGAACAATTACAAAATACAATGAAGGAATCATGCAGTTGATATTTATCGAAAACTAACTCGCGTCAGTAGTCGTCCAGTGGTAGGAATACTCGTCAACCATTCCACACGTCGTGATACGAGGTTCGATCGTCGGCAGACAGATTCATAATAAACCTCGCTAATCAGGTAGTGGGCTCGGTGAAGAGGGAAGGTTGGATGTGAGGCCAGCAAACCCACCGCGTAGAAAACAATAAACACCACTACTACTGAAGCTTACAACCATATGTTCCACTGGGGACGCAAAGGAATAATCGGAAACCCCAATACACGCCATTTCATTCGATGTCAGATAATACAGGGCCAATTAAAATGCCGCAGTAGTCAAGTTAGGAGTTTAGCTAATCGTTGAGAGGAATGTTAATAAACGATTTTAAGGCATATCAAAGAGGCGCTTTAATGATTTACATTCAAAGACCGAAAGTATTCATTGAGTCATAATTGAAAGTAAAAGATGGTTTTTGATTCCTTCATTTATGGCTTAGTTTTCTGATGAATTTCCATCTCATACAGTCAATAATCAGATTTCATGGAGAATTTCATAATGAGCTGACATCAGTTAGAGAACCACTGGAGAACCTGGGAGTACTGGACAGCTGTTTCGCCCTAGTTTGGGGCTCTTCAGCAATACGCACCCACCGGGGTTCGAACCCAGGACCTTCTGGTTACAAGCTAAGGTAGCTCGTAGACCATTGAGCCACTGGGACCCGATCCAATGGTCCATGAATTCTAACTTCTGCCGATTCACAACATAGCGCGACCATTTCGCAATGTCTTCTCCGATGAGTTACTGCATCACCTTCAACCTGCTGTCTCCTACTGGTCAGGGCTTCCCATGGCTTCCTATGGGCCATTGGACTGGGTCTCAGTAGTGGCTCAATGGTCTACGAGCTACCTTAGATTGTAACCAGAAGGTCCTGGGTTCGAACCGTGGAGGTGGGTGCTTACTGATGTGGAGTCCCAAACTAGGATGAAACAGCTGTTCAGTACTCCCAGGTTTTCTAGTGGTTCTCTAATTGATGTCAGCTCATGATGAAATCCTCCATGGAATCAAACAAAATCCCTACAAAACCAATACTTGAAAAATAATCAGATTTGTTCGTTTACTTCGTTAGCTGGATGTACCTGCATTCCGCAGTGAGTGAGTCCCATATAGGACGAAATGCGCATCCTGAATTCCACCGCTAGTCACAATCCACCAATTACATGTTCAGACATCGTCGAAGTATCTGCACAAGAGGCCGACTGACATGTCAACCTGAGACCGAGCACTTTGGTCCAATCATCAATCGATGGGAAAATCTGAAAATTCAATTAAATAATTAATAAGACACGTTGCACAAGAAAGAGAGGTGGCTCTCGTGGCCCAAGTGGTCTAGTGGATAATGCTTTGGCGTTTGAAACTATGGTCACTGGGTCCGAGTTTCTGTGGGAACATCATCACTCACTGGGGAATGCAGGTACATCCAGATGACGAGTCCCAACTAGGACGAAATGCGAATCGTGGATTCCACTGCTAGTCACTATCCAGAGATTGATTACACTCTCTTTATGTATGCGTAAGGTTAATTTAAAACGTTTGGTTGCAATTGCTTCAACAGTAAATAGTGGTAAATTTACTGTCCTCTATAATATTTAATATTTTGGAAGATGAAATGCCCTGTCTCTATCTACAAGATGTGAATATCTGCTTCCTTTTAGGCATACGATTTGGGAAAATGCTCAGAAAACCGGATTATTCAGTTTATTTATTTATTTAGTTAAAATGTAGAAAGTCTTTCCAGTTTGATTGCATGGAAGATTTCATCATGAGCTGACATCAGTTAGAGATTAGAACTGGTAGGAAGGGGAGGGGGGGAGAGAGAAGAGTTAGCTAGGTAGCTATTCTGGTAATACAGCAGGGATAAGTTACACATTACCCATCTATAGAGCAGCTAGAGACAGCTACAATTGTTTTTTTTTCTCTCAAAAATTTGACGTGATGACGTAATCGTTTGTTGTTGTTGTTGCGAATTATTACGTATAATCTTTGATTTCTTATTCATTTAAGTCCGTATACAAAGTTTATGGAGTCGACTGCCTGAACCGCCAATTTCAAAAGTACCTCAAATAAAACTAGAGGAATTCTCCAATACTACTCCTACGACTACAAATCAAGTGGTATTCCTATCCCCAATTCAAGTATCCTACAATATTTTATCTTCAATCAATTCTCTAGATGCATTATTAATTCATAAAAATTGGATTGAAAATATATTGAAATCATTTCAAGGTCTAATTCCAATATGTGACACTATTCTACTTGAAGGTCGTCGTTTGACCTTTGAATTACTTCATTTAAACAAATCGATGAACAACATTGAACAAGGAGAGATTATCGTGAATCACATATATGAAAACTTTTATAATAATAATAATAATGGTGATATTCATAAAATTTGGTGGAATAAAGAATTTGAAACTCTATGGTATTTAATAATTGATTGGATATCTCAGTTGGTCATTGAATTCAACAGACAAATAATCCGCGTTCAATCATTGAATAATTATATGAACATGTTAGAATCATGGATTACAACGAAAGTGGATAAATTAAATTTTAGTATAAAGCATTATAAAAGACAATTTAAGCATAATTCAAATAATTTATATCGATTAATGAATGCTTTCAATGAAATTGATAAGATTATTAGTGAACTGTACATCAGTAAAGAGGCTGCCTATATAAATCGTGTTAAATGTCTCTTAAGTGATGACATTGGTCGGAAAGATTTTCATCGTCAACAGCATCTGTTTTATTCACACCTCAAAGAATCAGCAAAATCATTAGTTCATGTATATGACAGTTGTATTTCACAGTATGAAAAGTTATTACACCGACATCAAGATGGTATATTAGGCCATCTTTCCCACTTATTGTCGGCGATCAATGAAGAAGCATATTCATCATCAACAAGTGGTTTAAAAGTCTTGAAGTTATTTCAAAATTGGTTCCAGTTGACTTCAGACATTTCCCATCATCACCACCATCATAACAGAGAGCTACACGATGATGCAATGGATGAGGATGGAGAAGAAATCAGCTATATATTATTCTACGCAACTGTTGGTGATGTCTGTCGTCGACTAGAGGCTCGTATGCCTATTCTATCAGCTGTTTACAGCTTAGAACAGCATTGTTTAACCAAGCATAATACTACCACTAAGTCAACAGACTATTATTCTTATCATCATCATCAACGGTTAATTCAATGGAAAAATAATCTCGGCATGATGAAAAAGATTCATGTTAACTTGGCGAATGATTTATTTGAATATCGACAATTACGCCGATGTTATCATCAATTGACAATTGAAATTCAGATGTCCGCCAATAGAGAATATTCAAAGCTAGAGGTTTATACAAATGTTGAAAAGTGCTTCTTTAGTAAATATATTGTTGATGCTTTATTGAATGTAAAAATGGTGAGTAGAGAGTAGTATATATGTGTATGTATGTAGTTGTTGATGCATATTCATATATTTATTAACCCTTCTTCAGGTTACGAGACTAAGCTCTGTTGATTATTCATAGCCACTTAAGCTGGAGTTCATTGTGACCCAATAAATCCTAACTGCGTCAATTCGTGGTTATGGCGCTACACTTAACTAATATTTTGGTTGAGTATCCACTTCAATTTGACAAGGTGGACCCTATTAGTCACTGCTTTTCAGCACAACTATCTCCCGCGTGAGGTGGGGTATAATAGGGTGAGTGTTAGGTAAGGAGGGAAAATCAATCGATGAGGTTGTGTAAGTGAGTTGATTGAGAAGGTTAGGACATGTGTTGCGCATGTCTAGCCATCACCTTCCTCGACGGGAGTTGTTAGCTGACAGAAGGTTAAGGGGGGGTGGTCAAACCAAAAATTCGTATCTGCCAATGCAATCTTTGATAGTTAGTTCAAGCCACGTAGGGAGGTGTAGACTTCCCCATTGGTTTGGGTCCTCAGGATTCTAAGAACCAACGATTGGAGACAATTGGTGATATGACTAGAAATCGTTCTCACTGGGGTGCAGATGCATTCACTCTTTGTGACCTTCCATATCCATTAAACCCTATTGGTTTTTCTATGTTACTATTCTTTCTCCCTCACATTTCTGTTTATTGTCGTTCTTCCGAATCTCTTTTTCTTCTTTTCCTTTGTGTACCACATTGAATATGGCAACTTGATGTTCTGTGGGTCTCTTTTCGAAATTCCGTGTTGAAATCAGTCAACCAATCGGTTATTACAACTTCAGGACATTCGTCTGGTAGCCATCAATGGGCTGGAGATTCATATTTAGACTCTAGAATTTGTGGAGATTAGGATTAATTTCAACTGTTCGATTTTCACCACGAACCAACACATCAGTTGGAGAAAGATAGATGATTGAAAACCATCACGAAGAGTACTGGATAGCTGTTTCGTCCTACTTTGTGACTCCTCATCTGTGCGCACACCCACAATGCCACCAGGGATGGAACCCTGAGAACTTCAGATTATGAGGCTCGTTGATCATTTACATCCAGTTGAAAATTAAATCGAAATATCATACCAAATAAGTGTGACAACAAACGTAACTAAAAACCTCAGCGTCTGTTAGTGTTGTGGGGAATATTCACATCAGATCTTATAGGAAGAATTAAAAACACAGTTGCAGTGAAGAAGAAAGTATTCCTTTCAATGAAGTCATCAACTAGGCTGTATATTTGTGTGTATACACAAAGCAAAGTGGTGAGAAAGTTCCCGAATTATTTCCAGACGACAGTCAATTTATAACGAACTACAAAGGGAGATTAAAAACGTAATAACAAGAAAAATAAACACGAACTTTGAAAAAAAAGTTGTCGGATAATAAGTATTGAGGAAATTAAATGTTTATGATGGTCAAATTAGAGAAAAATTTCGGACACTTAGGTTTGGTTTGAATTGTTAGATTACTACTACTTCAACTATGCCCACATATCTTGATCTCACTCCGTTTGAGATGTTGGGTCGGATCTTGCAACAGGACTTTGAAGGACTTTTCAAATGAAGAGCTGAGTGTCTCAAGTCCACCAGATGTTCTGTTACTGATCTGTAAACAAAACATAACCACGTTATCCCTTCACTAACCAGTCGGGATAGTGACCGTGAACACTGGAACTTTCTCACCCCTTTACTAAGTATATCAAATACATGCGAATGCACAGCCTAGTTGATAACTTCTCAGGGAAGGAAATTTCCTTCTCTGCAGCCGTAGTCTTGATAATAGTAGGATTATTGTAGTGCTTCTGATTCTGAAGTTTCGTGATATAATAATACTTTCTGGCGTTAACTAACTCATAAGTGTTTTCATCACCTTATTCAGACAACAAACCATACTTCGATCGTCCGGCTTGAAATGTACCACTACTCTATTTAACCTGGTTGATCTCCAACTATGCATACTAATCAATAAATCATTTGTTTACGTTCCGATCAAAACATAGGTAACAACCTCAGTTCTGTTTTTCACAGGGTTGGGGTTACTAAACTCCCACCCAACCTTCCCTCTTTTCCAGGCCTCAACCTATCGATTATTAAGTTTGACGAGGTATGTAGGAATGCTACGGTCGACAATATAAACCGCAACTCTGAAGTGACTGACGAGAATTCAGTTACTGACACACTTATACATCGTCTCCGACAGCGACAAAGTTTCACAGTTCTTGTAATTGGATGGTAGATTTTGTGATTTTCCAGTGGAAATGAGATTTGGCCTTACGGATGTATTTGTGTATCAACAAATAGGAAAACTTTAAGACTCTGTCTGTTTATTGATTAGATCAATGGTGAAGTGTATTGCAAGCTTCATCATTTGGTTTCGGTTATTGATTGCCAGTTAGTACTGATTGTGCTTATTGCAAAGTGTGTGGGTGACTATATGACTCCCTAGCTGTCCACATCATGAAAGCTGATTTCTTCTTAGGGTACCTGGAACCTAAGGAGCATTAGTATTGTATGATCGCACTGTTTGAGGCTGGTTACATACAACCTTTTTGAGTTATCTTTGTATTAATAATCTACCACCGAGTACGGACCTCCACAAGGTAAGTTGGGGTGTACAGTTTTGGGGGTCGACTTTTCCTAAACCACCTCCTTCTCCAGAGTGGGAAGACACCATAGCTACTAATATGAGGGGAACACTTTACTGCTGATGCATCCCTATTTCTCAAGAGTACGACTTCACCCCAAGGACACTATGACAGGAACTGTTTTCCAAACGACCTTTCCAACATGCTATGACCTGCTGGAACATTAGTTCTAGCCAGTGTAGCCTACTGGGTCATTGTGATATTCAAAGTGTATCAGCTACCATTCGGAGGTGGTCTATAAGAGGTTTGTGTTGTTCTTTTACCATAGTAATCATTATCTTAAATAACTTCATGCATTTATTCCCCTTGATGAATTTGAATAAAGCAAGAACAATAGTGTGGCGGTTTGTGCAGAATAAGAAGATGGTACCATCATCGGTTATTTCGTTGGCTTCTCATTAACTCAGCTGCTGCTTACAGCCTAAATAAATTATGAGGTTTATGTACAGAAAAGTTTTAACATACTTGCAAATTGTTTTTCATGATACCAGTTGACAGAAGGTTCTGAAATCAGTGAACAGTGCTCAGAAAACTACGCCTTGATAGTTTTTACACAGGTAGTTGAAGTTTAAACAAAAGTAAATGTATGCATACATGGCAAAGGAGTTACACTCTGCGTAAGATGCAGAGTGGCTAATAAATTAGGTAACAATGTACTCAGTTCAACTCAAATCAAAGAAAAGAGAGACAAGCAAAATTACACTGTATCAAAGAGTTGAGGTTAAAGCCAAAGATTACGTAATCAGGAGAAAGAGAGAATAAAGACACCCAGTTACCAAGACAGGGAAAGACTAATAACCGCTTCTTTCTGAACACACAAATCTGGTTTCAAGCGTTTGATAGAAATTGCTTCGGCAAACTTGAGGAGAATCGAGCTCCCTTGTCTACTGATAATTTTAAAGGATTTCGCGATTACCAATACACAAGGGAGCTTGATTCTCCTCAAGTTTGCCGAAGCAATTTCTATCAAACGCTTGAAATCAGATTTATGTGTTCAGAAAGAAGCAGTTATTAGTCTTCCCTTGCCCTGGTTGGTAACTGGATGTCTTTATTCTCTGTTTCATTTGATTACGTAATCTTTGGCTTTTACCTCACCCACCCTTTGATAAAGTGTAATTTTGTTTGTTCTTGTTTTCATGATTTGAGTTGAACTCACCACATTGTTACCTAATTTATTAGTCACTCAGTATCTTACGCCTTCTGACTGGAGGGGAGGTTACCTCGTAAAACTACCAAAGAAGGGCGACTTAGGACTCTGCAAGAACTGGCGAGGAATCATGCTCCTGTCGACGCCAAGTAAAATCCTGAGTCGCATCATCCTGGAGAGAATCAAGGACGCGCTGGATACAGAACTCCGACCAGAACAAGCTGGATTCAGGAAAGGCAAATCATGTTCTGACCAAATTGCAACTCTACGCATCATCATCGAACAAAGCATGGAATGGCAATCAAACCTCTACCTCAACTTCATAGACTTTGAGAAGGCCTTCGACAGCGTTGACCGCGAAGTAATTTGGAAACTACTCGAGTACTACGGCGTACCGCAAATATTCATCAACCTCATTCAACAACTGTACGACAACGGCACATGTCAAGTGATCCACAACGGAAAACTCAGCGAAGCGTTTGGAGTAAACACAGGAGTCAGACAAGGGTGCTTATTATCACCAATGATATTCCTAATTGTGGTGGACTGGATTATGCGTCAGACAGTGGGAAACGAGGAGACAGGGATATCCTGGACCGACGTGAATAATCTAGAAGACCTGGATTTCGCGCGTGGATGATTTATGTTTGATGTCACACAAAATCGAAGACTTACAAACGAAAACCGACAAACTGGTCGAAGAAGCAGCCAGAGAAGACAGGACTCCAGGTGAACATAGACAAGACGGAGGTTATGAAAATAACCAACCAACAACAACAGCAGCAGCAACATCCACCACCAATCACCATCAACGGGATGGACTTGAAAGAGGTTACTTCTTTCACTTATCTAGGGAGCATTGTCTCAACTACAGGAGGAACGGACGAAGATGTCAAATCGAGAATCGGAAAGGCAAGAAACACATTCATCAACCTGAAACCAATCTGGAAATCTTCGTCACTCAGCATCAACAACAAAATTCGGATTTTCAATACAAACATCAAGTCGGTTTTGCTATACGGATCAGAAACTTGGCGGGTCACAAAGAATATTTCCAACAGCCTGTTGCAGACCTTTATCAACAACTGTCTTCGCTCTATACTGAATATTAGATGGCCGGAAAGAATCACCAACAAGAAACTATGGGAACAAACAAAACAAGAACCAATCGCCCAACAAATATGCAGGAGAAAGTTGAGATGGATTGGACACTCGCTGAGGAGGCCGCTGGGTGGGTGACATCGCGCTTGAGTGGAACCCGAAAGGGAAGCGGCGAGTGGGACGTCCAAGGGTGACATGGAGGAGATTGTGTGAAGAGGAGTTGAAACAGTATGGACTAACATGGATGCAGGTGAAAAGTAAAGCAGAAGACAGAAACAAGTGGAGACGTGCAGTTGAAGCCCTATGTTCCACTAGGAACCCAAGGGAACAATAATAATCGTACGCATCTCTCGTCTTTATTACGTAACTCCTTTACCATTGTGTGCATAGATTTATTTTGTTTAATCCTAAACTGCCTGTGTAAAAACTAAATAAGCGTAATTTTCTGAGCGCTGTTCACTAATTGCGAAACCTTCTGTCAGTAAGCAGCAGCTGAGCTGATGAGAAGCCAACGAAATCAACAATGATGGTGTACCATCTTCTTATTCTGCACAAACCGCCACACTGTTGTTCTTGCTTTATTCAGATCTCAAGAAGTAAAATCATAAATTGTATGAGTAAATTTTTTTTCCCCTGTACTACTCCATTTCAGCGCAATGCTGGTGCCCAACAGAATAATCTTAACTCACGTCTAGGCATTTTAATAAACAAGATTGAAGAGTTCAATACATCGACAAAATTAACTCAACAAAATGCAGTTCAGCTAATTTCTCTTGTCTATGGAATATCTGAAGGTGGTGACATTTCATCGAAATTGATCTTATCCAACAATGATGATGATGATGAACATTCCAGATGTAAAATGTTAGAAGTTTTGTTACATTTGAAGGATGAACTTCAACAATCTAAGACATTGAATGGAAATGAATATTGTCAATTATTATTGTCAAATAGAAAGTGTTCAGCAACAGTATTATCTTCTCAGATGGGCAGATTTCATCAGCTCCTATGTCAATTATTACATGTATATGGATCGATCATCTTTATGATACAATCTGCTGAAAAGTTTGATTTCTCTACAATACTATCTAGCAGTAATAATAGTCAAGCCTATTTCAATCATACCGCTTTATGTTACATGTTCAATATGATGTATGATATTGAACAATTCAAGGAATATTGGTCGAATAGTGTGAATCATCAGGAGAACAATGATGATGATGGCGCCAATCAGTCTAATCATCAAATGTACAATGATGTTAATGATTTACACAATGAGATGTTTTCTAATCAATCAATATTTAATCAATTTATAAATTGTGGTCGTACAATTTTGAATTTATTTAAACAAGGAGAAGAAGAAAAAGAAGAATGTTTTGTTTGTGAATATATTCAGGTAAATGGATTAATCAATACTTTATACAACTGGTTCCCTTGATAAATTTCGATAAAGAAAGGAAGACGAAATTTGCAGTATAAAATGATATCATTCTATTTCACAGGTTCTCATCAGCTGCAGACTACCTGAAATTACAATAGTTATATAAATGATAATAAACATTAAAGTATGTTATTATCATTTATATAACCATTGTAATTTCAGGTAGTCTGCAGCTGATGAGAACCTGTGAAATAGAATGATATCATTTTATACTGCAAATTTTGTCTTCCTTTCTTTATCGAAATCAATACTTTAATATGGTTAAAATACTTAATTAAATGTATTTATTGTATAAGTGTTATGATTGTTATTTGTTCTTTAAGTTCTGGGTGTGTGTAACACATGTCTTAGCTATCTCAATCAATGCAGCTGCTTCACAACTTCACTGATTGATTTCTCCTTCTTACTTCATTAACACTGTACGCCTAACTTCGATATTACTCATCCCCTGACACCACCCAACATGGGAGGCATAACACAGGCACCTGGCCTTTACATGTCTTCCACTTACAATAATAATAATAATAATAATAATAATAATCTGCTTTATTCCGTAAACAGTACTTATAATACAGAATGGAATTCTCAGCATTTGTCACAATATTACATCTGATTTACTCAAAATATAAATAAAATTAAAACAAAATTAACCGGAGGAATTTGTCCACCTTTACGATATAAATTCAAAAATATTCGAAGTACAAAATGAGAATAATAAATATAATAATAATAATAATAATAATAATAATAATAACAACTGAGTTTGTTTCAGACGGTTTTGTCGATTCAGTTTGAAAATTTTAGCATTTTATAGAGTATTGAGTCTAATGTTCTGTTGATATGGTATGATGAGGGGAAAGATGGAAAATAACAGTTATAACACAGTTTAAACGATGTTCACACTTAGGAAAAAAATAAACAAATAAAAACAAAAATTTGAGAGGATTATAAATATAAGAAGTACAATAAGAATAAAGGTTGGTGTTTTAAGGGTGGAGGAAATGGTTTATTTAGTAGTGGAAAGAAGGTTAGTTAATCCATGCCTAACACTATTTTCACCTCATAAAGTACGTGCCAAATATGATATAGTGGAATTTTTATACTTTGACGTACTTGCATAAAGTCTTCTGAAAAGATTTCTTGTTTTACCTGAGGAGATATAAGGTTGGAGCTGCGGGTAAAGTGGATGCTCACAGTTTGAAAAAATTCCTTTAGTAAATTTGTTGCATGACATCAAGTGACTATCAGTGACGATGTCAACAATATGGCTCAATGGGATACCACCACTCGCCCTACTGACAGTCCTCAGAGTTCTATGAAGTATGACATAGTCTTTTTTAAGCAATTCAGGAAGGAATAAGAGTGAACATTAAAGAAGAATAGGTAAGGTGCATGAGTTGACAAACTGTGTCTCATTCATAGCCATAGAGGGGAGGGGCAGAGCGAACTGGTGCGCAGTACACATGTCCTTTGATCGGTATATCTGGATATCACGTCTACACCAGAGATGATGCAAGTTGGAAAATGCCAAACGAGCCTCCTGTATGCGTTCTGAGATTTTGTTAGTGATCAACCCGTTGGCGTTGGCTGATGCAACTTCCCCCCAAATAAGTGAAGTGGTCAACACGCTCCACCCACTGACCACTTCACTCCTTATCTTCAAGCTAGTAGTCGATGTAGCCCAGTCCTGTAACATCATCTTACCTTTGACAGCAGGAGCGAATCGTATGCCAAACATTAGTAGATGTTTGCTCAAGGTGTTCAGAGGACTGCATCTTATCAGAAGTCTTCACCTGCTAGAACAATATCATCAGCGTATTCTAAGTCAACAAGAGTATTTGCTGGTAACAAGTCAATCCCTGAGTCTTTGAAGTCAGTTTGGGTTAATTCCATTAATACATTTACGATGAAATTAAACAGAAATGGGGATAGCGACCATCCGTGATGAACACCATTGGTTGTCGTCACTTCAGATGACGTCTTTCCATAAGCTGTTACATCGGTATGTGAGTTCGAGTAGTGTCTTGGTTAGTGCAATGTATTTTCACAGCTAAACATCGCCAGAGTACCTCTCGGTCGACAGAACCGAATGCCGCCTCTAGGTCAAGAAATATAACCACGGTAAGTATGTCTATGTTCCAGAATCTGTCGAAGGGTGAAGATATGATCTTTACCCCTAAAGCCTGCCTGGTTCTCTCGTATTTGTTTCTCCCATGCACTACTTAGTCTACTCACGATTATTAAGTCTAAAACTTTAGATCCCATATTATTTAGGCTAATCCCCCTATGATTATCACAGGATGACTTGTCTCTCCATGTATACTGGGACAATCAATGGCTTACACCAGTCCGACGGGACCGTCGGTGATTCCCAAACGTTACCTAATATTAAAACAATTAGTCCCTTTGATAAATTTGAATAAGGCATTTAGAAGACAGATTTCGTGAGATGATATCATTTCGTAGTTTCTTTACAATATATGTTAGTTAGCCCAGGCATCAATTTTTCACCTTCGTCTTTAAACATCTCTGGAGTAACAAAGTAATTTACACCTTCCTACCTGGCTGTTTCAAACCAACAGTTAAGGACTTCAGCCAACATTACTTGAAGAGGAAGGTGATGGATCGGAATGCACAACTCATGTCCTAGCTATCCCAATCGATTCACCTACATAACCTCATTGGTTGACTTTCCCGCCTAATCTCAATGTTACTCACTATATTTTGTTCCACTTTACTCTGGAGGTAGAACGCAAACATTCTTTGGTCAGGGTTTTTTTTCCACTTTCAGTAACCATGTCTCGAAAAAAATTAAGGGATCACACAGCACAGTTATACGTTTATGTTAGTTAGGGAAAATAATTGTTATTAGTAGCATCAACGCATTTTTTTGAATAACAGAACGAAAGTTTACACCTAAAATGGTATGAAATACTAAAGTACTGAGGGATTGATAGATTCCACAACATGTCAGGATAGTAATAGTGGCCTGAATTGTCTCGTTTATATACAAATTTTTTCTGCTGTTCGGCACCTAGTGGTTTTGGCATTGGAGGAGGAGATCCTTGAATACTGTCATGAACTTTTATATTCCACCTTAATTTATCCACATTGCTAGTTGTGGAAATCCAGGGTGTATTAGACAGGCGTTTCATCCTAGTTTGGGAGTCTTCATTAGTACGCTCCCCCCGAGGTTCGAACCTAGGACCACCCAGTTATAAGGCCACCTCGTAGACCATTCCGTCACTAGGACCTGATGACATGCCCCCAGTAAGTGTCCCAAACTAAAACGAAGCTGTTCTTCACTGTTCCCTGGTGGTTTACAATGGTCTTTTAACTGATGTCAACTTCTCATCAAACCTGCAACCAATCCAATCCCTAAAAACCAACACTATGAAATTTTAGAAATGACGAATTTTTTAGTTGTGTTATTTTTATTTTGACACTTGTAACTAGTGTGATGCGTCTAGTCCTCTCTTTGGTGCAGACTGAATTCTATAAATCAGGTTTGCAATGTGGCCATCATTCTAGGTAGCTCGCCATCACGGTGTACATTGTTTGTGATGATATCAGATGGTTGGAGGCAATCGGCCACAGGAAGCCTTGCCTGACCTAGGTTTCGTGCTAGTTGGCACTCGTCAGCAAGGCGTATCTGCAACCTTGAAGGAACTCATGTCCCTTCTGAGATTCGAACCCGCGTCACCCAGTGCTGCAGTCAGAGACGTTACCACTGAGCTATTCGGGCTCGCGATTGACCTCCTGTAGGACTGTAGTGGATATTTTGATTTGATATAAGAATAAAACTTGGGCACTGTGGTAGAGTGTAATTCCATTATGGGTAAATTTTTATTTTTTGATAGAATCTCACAGTGTTATACAGTAATATTTACTGATGACGTTTCGAGCACAAACTATTGCTCATAATCATATCAAGTTACTCACACAACTTTTTTCCTTCATTTATATACATGTGTGGAATCGACTAGATATTGGATTAAAATTCAATATGAGATAATGTACATTCAGAAATAATAGTACGAGTGTTATTAATCCATTGCAATTAGATGGGAAATACGACGAGTGTTTTTATAGTCATAATAAGTTGATTGTTAGAATGTGTTTGAATGGAAATAGATTATTTATTATCCTCTTCTGATTTGACTGGTGGCAATAATACGAGTGTTATTAATCCATTGCAATTAGATGGGAAATACGACGAGTGTTTTTTACAGTCATAATAAGTTGATTGTTAGAATGTTATGATGTGCTTGAATGGAAATAGAATTTTAAGACTATTTATCATCTTCTTCTGATTTGACTGGCGGCAATAATATCTTCCATATTTCTGGTATTTGCATTGAGTCACTTCTGTTGCATGTGTTGGGTGTAGATTCGATGAACAAAGATTCAGTAATCAACCTCTCTCTCCACCTACCTAGATTACTTTTTAGAATTTTTCTTATAAATGTTAACTACTTACAAGTAGTTTAAGTGAGAATAGTAAATTTCCAATGCTATCTTCATATTTCTCAATTTTATTTCAGAATTCTGTACGAATATTATTGAATGAACTTACGACAATGCGCCTTGATGTAACAAATAAGTTAGACGAACTGCATAGACGTCTTTATAATCATATCAATTATTTATGGAGAGCACAGATACACTCTACAGGCATAATGCATCAATTACAATATTCAAAAGATAGATGTAGACAAATTGTCATGGACCTCATAAACAATGATGACGACGAGGTATGCATTACTTCAGAAATGACCAGCACTACGTTCAGTGAATCTCATCAAGATTCTGTGCCATCAACTTTATCATTATTCAACCTTGCTAGATTTGCATATCAACACAGTTTATTGTCAAGTTTGAAAGACGTTAACCAATCAAATTTATCTGAACATCACAAGACGACAAACTTCTCATTGAATAGTGAGATTTCAAATTTTATCAAATTAATTGAAATATGTTTGTGTCGTATAAAACATCAACGTATCTACTGTCTAAAATCAATACAACAATTGTTATCAAGTGATTTGTACTCACCCATATTAGATATATTATCCACTGTATCAGAAAATCAGAGAGAATTGACGAATTTCTCCTTTAAATGGATCAATACCGGAAATCTAATGAACAGAATTAACCATGCCATTGAGGTTATGATAATACATACTAAGCATAATATTCTATCTAATATGTTCAATTTTCAATTGGATAATATTGACAATTTAACTAATGTCAATGATAAAGGTATAATTTACTCTAGAGATTGTTTAAATGCATATCTTCAGCAGCGGTTTATTCAATTTGAACAAAATATAGCCAGTGCTCTGAATAGTTTAACAGAAAATAATCAATTAAAAGTATTCGAATTGGATGATATTATCAACAAGTATATTGATGTAAATGTAAGTTATTATTTAATGCATAAATAGTCTAAATATTTCATTTCTCTCTCTCTCTCTCCTAGCCATTCTGTGACAATTCATTGATTTCTATTTCCACAGAGATGTCGAACTCCCACTTTGTGTTTAGTTTCCTCCAGTCGAGTTATCTTGAAAAATAAGCCTTGAATACTAATGTTGATTGTGAACCTTCAAATTACGCGTAGTCTTTGACTAATAGTGACAAGTGCCTCCCTGTTCAAATAATCGCGAAAATTCTTGGTAACCAATCAACCAATTTGTTGTAATGAATTAAAAATGACTCCTATTCAAACATTTTACAGATGAAATTCTGACGATAGAAGAGAAAACACCAATTTTCTCTTTGCAGACATTTCAGTGAGAAGTTAAGATTCTCTTTATATATGAAGGTGGCGTACAAAAATGTACAAAAATGACAAGGTCGCACTGACCTTGACTGACTCAAATAATATCTCAGTATCATCACACAACCACAAAGAGAAGAATTAAAATTAGAGATTAAACAGGGGTTTACAAAGACAAATAGGAAGGATCAAGTCAACATATGATATGTAAACGTCACGATGATCATAATATAGCCTAGGAGAAAAAAGGGAAATAATTACAAAGTTAATTTAATTAAATTTTAGATTTTCCTGTCGATTGATTGGACCTAAGTGCTCGGTCTCAGGTGGCTCTCTCGCCTCAAGTGGTCTAGTGGATAACGCTTTGGCGTTTGAAACCATGGGCACTGGGTTCGAGCCTCGGTGGGAACATCAACACTTACTGGGGGATGCAGGTACATCCAATGACTGACGAGCCCCAATTGGGACGAAATGCGCCCATCCTGGATTCCACTGCTAGTCACCATTCACCAATTAAATTCTAATTACAAAGTTAGTTGAAACACGCAAAATAAGTGTGAATATTGTAATTAGATCGTTCAAGAGGGATTTTCTAAACAATTATTCTTTCACAGTGATCACTGGATGGAGATTGTGAAGTTACAATGATAAAACCATAGCCGATGTAGTCCACCGTATCACGGCGAATCGGATGCTCATTGATGGCAGTCGTCGACAGTACTGCTGTATCACGGATTGGCATAATTCATGGTTTATTGAATTCTGACCCAAGTGGTTAGATGGTCAACGAGTTGGAGTGGATGTGCACTGCTGAAGAGTCTCAAATTAGGGCGCAACATCTTTTCAGTACTCCTCACAAAACCCATAATCTAATTCTTAATTTTTGAACTGCTTTTGCTATATAAACCATATCAAATATGATTTCAGTTCATTGTTCATTTCCTCTTTGTTTTAATTTTACAGTCATGGGATATTGAATATCATCAGCATCTTCAACCACTATTCAATTCTCTTTGCATATTGGAATATTCAACTAGAACTCATCACAACAGCACTCCTTATTATTCATCTACAACAACAACAACCGCTGTAATCAAAGATTGGCTTATTCTTGGTATCTCTTTACGTCAACTGAAAGGTTTACTACACGTGTTAATCAGCAATTGGATGTGTTTTGTGTCATTATACAATAATGTGAACAATTTTGTTAGTAATTTAGAATTAATAGATTCTGCAAAGCAGGTATATCATCTGGAATATTCATCTACACTTAAAGGTAAAAGGAGAAAAACATTTTGTTTATTTGATTTAGTTACTTATAAGTAGTATGAAATTTCGATTATCAAAAGTCTAGTTTATCTTTCATATTTTTTAATTTTTATTTGATTCCTTTGCGTTCCCAGTGGTATATAGGGCTTCAAGCTTTGAGGTTTTTGAAGTTTCTGTAGTAATGATGTTTATTTTTTGCACGGGGTGGGGTTGCTTCCTAATGGCTAAGCAAAGCTTAGGAGTGCGTCGGCGGCCAGGAGTCGAACACCGGACCACGTGAGGGGTGGTTGGTGGACATCCAACCATTGGACCATCGATGCACTATTTAAAACCAAGACGCTCAGAATAATTGTTTTGTCCTCGCTTGTGGCTGTTCATCAGCATGCACTTATGGCTACACCAGGGAACTGGGACAACTGTTTCATCCTTGTTTGGGTCTCCACATCGGCCTATGCCCTGTTGGGTTTAATATTTTCTCCTGATCCTGAATAAACCTAATCTAAAGTAAAATATAAGTTATGTTATAATTATTATTATTCGCCTCCTCTATTTCGAGGGGTCTCAGAAGCATACCTCCTTTTCACTTTAGTCTCTTCTGCCTTATTAAGTTGGTTCTATGACTACTTACCATAAAACTCTCATTTGATTTTCACACAATCTCCCTCACATCACCGTCGGACACCCAACTTGACGTTTGCCTTTCAAGTTCTACTCGAGATGTTGTCTGTTTAGCATGTGATGTCGTTCTGTGGTCTTCTCAGTATGCGTTCAATCCATCTTCATTTCCTTCTACATGTTTGTTGGTCAAAAAGTTCTTGTTGCTTATCCTTTCTGTCTGACCGCCAATCTGATCTTCACTATGCGGTTAGCGAAGGCAGTTGGAAGTGCTTGTATGGGATTCTCCAAATCTCTGAACCATATAGAAGCAGTAGTGGCTAACTTGACATCAGCGTTGAAAATCTGGAAAATCTTGTTGTTCATGCTTAGTAGAGTAGATTTCTACACTGATTTTGGAGTAATGTGAAGGTCATTCAAATCCTGGTTCATTTTAACATCCTCATTCGTGTCATCTACCCGTAGTTGAAAAGAAGCTGATCACGTAAGTGAAGCAAGCTACTTTCTTGAGATTTCTCCTGTTGATGATGATTGGTGTTTGTCGTTGGTGCTTGTTGTCGGATACCTTCATCACCTTTGTCTTCTCTAGGTTCACTTGAAGTCCTGTCTTCCCTGTCTACCTGCCTCTTCTGTTAACTGTGTTGTTGGTTTTCGCTTGTTAATCTTCGACACTGTGAGACACGAAAAATAAGTCCATCTGTGAAGTCCGAAAATAACTCTGATACTCCCCAGTGACTTGCTACAGGACGGAGTTTCCTGGAGTTCTAGTGAGGAAGTCGTGACCAGTGAGGTCCATCCAATCAAAAGTGAGGATGGAGTTCCCACCCATGACATTGGTTGAGGTCGCGCTAAATCACGAATTGGTAGAAGTTAGAATTCATGGGCTGGTCGTTGAGTTGGGTCCCAGTGGCTGAATGGTATACTAGCTTGCCTCACTAAAACTCCAGGAAACTTCATCCTGTAGCAAGTCACTAGTGAGCAACAGAATAATTTTCAAGAGTTGATCTGTAAGGATTTGGTTTGTTTTTCGAGTTTGACCACGGAAGGTCCTGGGTTCGAACCCCAGTGGGTGCATACTGCCAGTGATTCCCAAACTAGGATTAAACAGCTGTCCAGTACTCCCTGTGGCTGGTTTTCCAATGGTTCTCTAACTGATATCAATCCGTGATCAGCTCGTAAAAACAAAACTAATCCTTACAAACCAATCATAGGAGATGTGTTATGTCGAAGCCATATGTTCCACTCGGAGCTTAAGGCGTCTGTCAATAAACTGAAGTGTTTGTTTGTATAGCTAACTACTGTATATTATTATTATTATTGTTTTACTGGATAAACAACCAACTAACAGAATTAATTATTTCACCTATTTCAGATATTCATCAATCTCCAATAGAATCCATTTATCAAACATTAGAAAGTGAATTAAAACGTCAACAAGCTTCAGTGAGCAGTTTATTGCTTCTCGACACAAATAACAACGACGATGACCATGGTTGTAGGGATGAGAATCAAGTGAATGCTGTAATGGATTCTATTCATGATGTTGACGTGAATACTGAGAATCTCTCAGATAATAATGTCTTAACTGATATAACTATGCTATCAGACTATCAACTACATTGTACTATATGTCATAAAAATCCATTTAAACAGAAATTATTCTACAGTAATGCTGTATTAAATCAATTAATGAAACGCCTTAAAGACAGTTTGCTTAAACACAACCATAATGTATTGATTTATAAACAATATGAAAATTGTTTAAATAACCTAATGCATCGTATACAATGTATTTCAATGTGGGCAATTCAATTTAAACAAGAGGTGGTCATTCAATGTTCAATGGAAGAAATTCACCTCAATCAAGAAGTAAGTTTTTAATCCATAGGATATTCAACCTCGTTTTATATTATTTCTAAGGTAAAAGTAATATTGATTAATGGAGATGGAGAGAGAGAGATGTTGTTCAATCACCCCTGATCTTTGTTCTTCAAATCAATGGCAAATAAGTCCAATAGGTATGACACAACTCCTGTCCCGGATAAATATATACAGAAAATTTCAGTAAAACAAATTATGAATAAAACTCTATACTACTGATTGGTTGAGATGAGTAGTGGTTGTACACCAACACTTGTATCAACCAGTGATAGTGATAGTGCTCGCTAACCAGCCAGAATCGAAGTGATTCAAACACCGTTTGACGACTTTTTGCTTCGTTTGGGGACTCGGTTTGATTTAGTTCAGAGAGGCATACTGACTCCGAGAAACGGCCGCCTGGTGTTTAGGTTAGTTTGATCTGGTTGGCTGGCTGGTTAGCTAACAAGCACTACTGGTTGATGATGTGAGTGGTATACTACTAACTACTCATCTTAATCAGTCAGTAGCATATAGCTTTATGCATTCCCCTCAGATCACATATTGTAATCTAAAAAAACCTTTTCTAAAGGAGAGGTTGCCTAATCTCTCTATTAGTCTGTAACTTTGCCACCGATGACACTCTAGAGTCAGCTCAGAAGGGCGTACTTGGTGGTTGTGGGGGTGTAGATCTGCTTACTGTAGGAAGATTTTTTGATCTCGAGTATGCTGACGATATTGTCTTACTGCACGATAGAATGCAGGTTGTACAAATCGCACTTAATCAGTTGGCGATCAGTGTCTCTAAGTATGTTATGTGCTTTGTGACGTCTAGGTGCAAAGTACTCTTGCAAGCTTGACAGGAGCCTGTACCTCCACTCACCCAGGTGAACTGCTTGACAAGTTTGTGTATCTAGGTAGCTAATTGTGTGAATGCTAGCAGAGATGTGAGGGACTTGGTCTTTAACCGTATACTGAGAGCTAGGGTAGCATACACCAATTTGAGCTACCTTTACCTTTGGCATCGCCTCAACATCAACCTGCCTGCCAGAGGTCGGGTTTACAATGCTTTGGTGCTTATTACCTTGTCCTTCGCCTGTGAAACCTGGCCTCTCCGAGATAAGAATGTGCAGCGACTCTACATATTGGATCATCGCTATCTCTGTAGAATTGCTTGCATCCAGTAGCATAATCGTGTGAACAATTCTCTGGTTCGGTGGCGTGTATTTGGTCACGGTGGAGGAGGGGTCGTATTTCAGCTTCGATGCCTTCGAGATTTAGTGTGAATGTCATCTCAGAGGATTATGTACCGACCTCTGTTCGCTAGCCCTGGGACTGTTTGAATAAGTGAATAGGTGGTAAACCTAGGATGTGGCGCCATGGGATGAAGGATACTTGTGTTGGATTAGCATTAGTTGGTACATCACAACTCTTTGGTTCTAATCGGTGATGACTCGAAACGTTATCACAAATATGTCCAAGGATCACAATCAATGGCGAGTAACATGAAGTATTGAATGTTCAGTGATCTTGACAAGCGTACTTGTTCTCTTTCTAGATGATTTCCAACATTCATTCTACCCATACTTTCTCTATATACTGTCGTTCTATTATGTTTGTATGGCACATCTCTTGGTGTCCATGATGTATACCAAGTTTGTGCTTTGAAACAAATAGTAAAAATAAGGATCACAGGAGAACTGCTTCATCCGAACTTACTTCTTTCTTCAGTTGTAATCCATCAATAGTGTTCGAGAGGGCTGGAAACCAAGTCAACAAGGAGGCTAACATTTTATTAATTGTTTGACATTCCCTCACCCCCTCACCCCAAGGATTTCAATGCTTTTTAGATTTGGGTATAGTAGTAAGACTCACTGGTTCTGTAACTGATATCTGTTTGTTGTACACACATACAGTTTGCATTTACTACGGTCATATTGTACGTTAAAGTGATATTACACATTAGATTGACTGGCTCTCTCAAGTGGAACCTAGATGGGAAGTGCTAAGTTGGGCGTCTGATGGTGAACAATATAAAGACGAAATAAAATTTTGGTAGGCAGCTATCGAGTCAACTGAGAAAATGATGGCAGAGAAGTTCTACATAAGGAGTGAATGGTTGCACACTTTATGGATCTGTGTAGTTTCCGTTCATAAGATGCTTGTGGAGTATAGATGGCATTGAAGGCACCAGTCGATGAAATCTACAATAGTTAGTTTAAGCCATCCACGTAGGAAACTGTAGACTTCCTGACAGTTTGGGGTCTTCGGACGGTAGAAACCAATGAAGGCTGGAGACAATTGGTGATATGGCTCAAAACCGTTCTCAATGGCTGGCTGGCGCAGATGCATCCACTTCTTGTGACATATAATACCCAATGAAACTATAATGTTCTTCGTTATTACTATTCCTTTTGTCTCATATCCCTGTTTACTGTCCCTATTTTGCATTTCTTCTACTTTCTTATCTTGTTTTGTGTGCTACATGGAGGGAGTGTGGCGACTTGAACTGCTGCACATTGGTGCAAAGTTCTCTGTTGAAAACAGATAGACACACAGATGGTACTGAAATAGAAATTAAGTCAAGCATAAAATACCTTGGAATGGATCTATCCTCCAACCCTTCCTGGTCATTCCATATCATGTCGATTTCTAAGAAAAAGTTCCATCTATCTCTTACCTATTGTCCTTTATTGCTCCTCCATAGTCTTTCCTGGGCTACCGAAAAAGAACTATGCCATTATTGTGCAGGGTATTGAAGGTTGTCAGTAGGGCAAGTCGTGTACTACCTTTAAGTCACCTCGTAACTACTACTGTAGTCAACAGACACCTGAACTCATATGAGAAATGATCCAAAGCAATACTGTCTGACTCTCTCAACACCGTCTATATTTACAACTCTCTCTACTTAAATCTCATCCGGTAGGAGAACCAGAAATCATTGTAGAAGATTATATACTCGCTGGCATAACCAAGTAAAAAACCTCAACGATACCCTATTTGGTTCCCCCCGCGTTCTGGTTACATATACCCTGTAATATTGTTTCTTATTTTGCTGTTGTCGAGTAAATTAGATGCAATGACGCTGTATTATAAGTACCATGATGACGAGCTACCTAGTGACATGGTGGCCACATTGCAAACCTGACTGATAGAATTCAGTCTGCATCAGAGGCAAGGACTAGACACATCACACCTAGTTACTGACTAGTGTCCAATCAAAGTGGTGTTTCGGAATAAAGCATATTATTATTATTACTATTATTATTACCGTAACCCCGTTGTGTTTGACCTACTCTTGTTTTACAGCTCTTAATCAATCAATTAAATAAAGTTGAAGCCTTGCTGAAATCTACTCATGAAGAATATGAAAGTATGATGTCACATCATATTGAAAATGAGCCTCCCTTAAGATGGCATAATAATCAATTCTTACAACTAGAATTCTTGAATGTACTACTGAATTATTTAAAAGTATACATTAAACAAATTTGTCAAGAAAATAAACAATTAGACGATGAAGAAGGAAACATTTTTATGCTAATCATGACAAATATTAAGAATTTAATTGAACAAATAAAGCGCTTTAAAACCGTTATGACCAAAGATCATGAGTCATGGAAATATTCGAATATTGTTCAATATGAATTTAATCGGAATCAGGTAAGTTGGGGTGGAGGGGTTAATTCTTGAAATAATAATAATAATAACCATTTATGAATGTTTATGACGTTAATTAATGCGAAAGCGAGTTCTTAAGCACTTGTAGACTTTAGTGTCATCATGGTGGTCTAATCGGAAAGTAGGCATTTCGGTCTGTTGAAGTTGAACTCACCAACAACGACTTTTCAGACTATAGATCTGTTGAAAGCCGCCAGCACAATGTGTTTTGGATGAAGTGTGATATTGTGTTGTGGATTCATCTGTGACTTGACTAGAACCCACTTCCAGAACATGGGGCGCTATATCCAACTAATTACTTGAATTCCATCTCTTACACTGAAATAGATACAAAAGTCAGACTTCGATTATTGACGACCTGAACGACACCAACCTTTATTAGATAAAGCAATAAGAAGATGTAATTGGTCTGAATCGTGTTGCAGTGTATTTGTGCAACACATTTCGAACAATCTCATCATCACACATGGGCTTGTCATAGGAATGTGCATATATGAAATTAGTAAAGAGTTGAGAGGTGAGAAAATAGACCACTTAGGTAAAGCTAAAAGGACATATTGAAGGTCAAAATAACAATGAAGACCACTAAACCAAGTAACAGAGGTAATAGTACATCTACCCTGGCTGGTATCAAAACAACGTTTACCAAACTAGGTTTAGTGTGATGACAAATTGTTGATTTGAACGTATAAAGGTGGTTTAGACTTTCTAATTGCCAGCTAGGGCTTCCACAAACTTAAGGATACGCCCCAAACACGTTTTATAGATCTATCTGTCTGGATTCAACATGGAACTTGGCACCGAAGTGCAGCAGTTCGAGTTGCCACGTTCCAAATAGCACACCAAGGTAGACAAGAAAATGAGTGAAGGGAATCAGTAGAGTTTTGACAAGTATAATGGTGAAACAGAATGATTAATGGTAGAAAGGAATATGAAAGATTACAGAGACTAAATACATCTGCGCCATTGACAACGATTTTGAGCCATGTCACCTATTGTCTCCAGCCATTGATTCTTAGAGTCCCGAGGGCGGGCCCCAACCCGGAAGTATGCATCTTCCTACCTGACTCAGTTTAACTGTCAAGGATTTCATGGATTGATTGATACGATGTTTTTTTTTGGCCACCACTTACTCTTTTCCAACCTCCACCTATATCAGCTAGTAATGCCCGTCGGGGGAGACGATGGTTAGGCATGCGCAGCACGTGACCTAACCATCTCAATCTATGTAATTTTATAGCCTCTTCGATTGATTTTCCCTCCTTGCCCAACACTCTACGCCTAACGTCAACATTACTTACCTTATTATACCACCTAAGGTGAGAAAGAGATTGTAAACAACTATGATCAAAAACAGACAACCTTTTCATGTCTTCAACTCGTATTGGCCATGTTTCAGAGCCATAGAGAAGGACGGAGCGAACTGTTGAGCAGTACACAAGTCCCTTGGTTGATAGCCGGATGTCACGCCTACTCCAGAGATGGTGTAAGTTAGCGAAAGCAGCCCGAGCATTTTGGATCCGTGCTGAGATTTCGTCACCAATCAATCCGTTGGTGTGCTGATACAACTTCCCAAATAGGTGAAGTGGTCAACATGTTCTGTCACTTCACTCCCTATCACTAAGCTAAGAGTTGACGTGGTCCAGTCCTGTAGCAACATCTTACATTTTACAGGGGCGAATCGCATGCCAAACATACGAAGATTGCTGCTCAAGGTGTTCAGAACACTCTGCTGTATTTTGTCAGCATCCTCCCCTAACAGGACTATGTCATCTGCACATTCTAAGTCCATAATTCCGTTTTATAGATAGGTTTAAAAGATGTGTTAACGTCAATTTTATGTCCTGTCTATATAATATGATGTTTCACAATAAAGGAGCTAGGTCTTGTTCTTGTTCTCACCAATAATATAGGTTCTGAAGATTCTATTTGTTTCTGGAGCCATTTAGGAATATGCTCTGAAGCCCTTACTTGCAGAGATCGATGAGTCGTCCCTATGTATGTCTGTCCACACGTACATTCATATTAGTAAATACGGTGGGATGAGACATCATTTTTCGCATGTTCGAAGGGCTTAGATAGATACATTGGCTTCACATACTCAATTATAATGATATTAGCTGCATAAAAATTCGTATTTTTAACAACAGCGTTCAGTCTCTGTCAAATTGACAAATTACGTCTTCTTATTTTGCTTTATCTAAATTCATAAAGGGAATTAATTATTTTAAATCATTTATCATTCTTTGTTTGTTTCTTTGCTTTTTTTTGAAATTTGTTTTAATAAAAACTTTTGTAACAGGTTCAACTTCAATTTAAACACATCATATGTGTTTACAATCAACTTGTGGAATTCTGTGAATGCAACTGGTACAAGAAGAAGAATATTCACATTGGGAATAAGGAGAAAATTTCAATCCTACGTCAACTTCAGCATTTATTCACTTCACTAAAACAAATGCAGGAATGTATTCAACACGATTATGTGTATGTTACTTACTGATTCTTTTTCCGGTCATACCTTTTTCGGGAAATTAACACATTAAGGTTGTCTAGAAACCTTGTTATGTTCACATATCAATAATTTAATAATTCCCATTGTAGCATTAAGAACACAATATTCAGCGAAGAGACTCTTTTCAGCGAATTTATTATCAAGCTGTACAATCGTATATATATATTGTTTTTAAAAAATTATATCCGGTGAGGGAATTAGGTCAAAGGTGTGAATACATGAAATAATAATAGTATGAAATGCAATTAAAATATTTGTGATTATAATCATAGTTTAATGTCAAGTGGCAAAATAATTAATGTCGTATATAGAATAATACATAAGGTGTATAGAATTTTGGAAAGAGGTACATAATTATAAGATTAGTAGGCGAATATAAAATGTTACACAACATGGTATGAAATTTGATAAGACAGAATTCAATATTGTAAAAATAAAAGTATAAAAATAATAATTTTTGGTTTAAAATGTCAAGTGGGTCAGGTGGAAAAGATTCAAAGTGAGAATAGTAATAATAATAATGATAATAATCGTAGTAATAAGGGAAGAGTACATAGAATAACTAAATAAACAAAATAAATGTCTATCCCTCTACGGCCAAGGCATAAGTAGGGATTGTACATACTTCTTTTGTACACAAAGGTCTGGCTTAAAGTCATGAATTGTCAAGGCCTCAGCTGTCTTTAGAAGTCTGTAACGAAGAAAACACGGGAAGTTAGCATGGATTCTATATATGATCTTAAAATCATGGTCAGGGTTGTCAGAGTGGTAGAAGCAGTTCAGGCTTTCTAGAATTGAGCTTCGCACACACTTCCTTTCTCCCTTGTAAAACCATGCTGGAATATGTTCTCGTATCCGTGTGGAAAGCGTCCTCTGACTACGAGCAATGTACCTTGCTCCACAAGAGCAGGTGAACTGATAGATGCACATGGAGGCGGCCAGACGGGGGAGCTTATCTTTTACAGAGGTAGAGAACAACCTTCGGCTAGTGAACGTCATATGTAATTTTGCTGCATAGAACGTCTTACCGACTGATTTAGAGAGACGATTTTTGAGCATATCTGAGGCTTGATCACCTTTGAATTCCAAGTTCATGAATACGTTTTTCTTTGGAACTGTGTCGGCGACCAGTTTAGACTGCTTATCTTTCATGTTGCTGTCAATAAATCGGTTAGGGTAACCGTTTTCTGCAAGAGTGGCTTTTAAGAAGTCAAGTTCCGAGTCAACGGAATCAGAACTACAAATTTTCCTTATCCTAGAGCAGAGCGAATGAATTAAGTTCCTTTTCCTGGAAATAGGCACATATCAGTAAACGGACTCCCGTTTAGGCAATCCTTAGAAAGTTTTTGATGATTAGAGAACTATCGCATCCTACTTTTGGGACTTCAGCAGTGTACACCCACAACCCTATTAGGTATGAAATCCAGGACTTTTAGGGTCACCAGACCAACCTCATTGAGCATCATTCAACCACTTGGGCTGGAATTCTGACTTTGTCAATTCGCGATATAGTGCTACCCTCAACAAACGTTGAATGGTCAACGATCTTTTTCTCGTAACCTAAAGATCATAGATTAGAATCCTGGTGGGATGGTTAGGAAGGGAAGCCAGTAGTTGACTATTGGTTAAACCACCAGGCTGGAATCGAATGACCCCAGAATTTTAACTTATTTTCAGTTTGTAATATATCACTGTTATTGTTACTATTAATCCTTTGGGTCCCGAGTTTTTTATATAGGGCATTAAAGGGCATGTCTTTATTTCGTCGTCTCAACGATCGCCTTTCTGCGTATTTGTTAAGCGATGGGTTGTTTTTGATTGGTTGGTTCTTTGACAGAATTCCTTATTTCTACTCATCTAGTTTGTGATCTAGTTAGCTAAAACAGGTCTTGTGAACAGCTTGCAATCTCTTGGAAATATTTTTAGAGACGCGTGTGTCAAGCCTCTGAACCATATAGAAGCACCGATTCAATTGAAGACCCGAATCTCTTTTTCCTTATACTGAGTGTTGAGGATAATGAAGGCTTGTCTTAATTTTCCGAGCAGAATCTGAGTGATTTTCACAGCCTCATCTGTTCCGCCTGTAGTTGAAATGATGCTTCCTAGATAAGTGAACGAGAGGTGTTCACTTGAGATCCTTCCTTTCTTTTCTGCCTACCCTTGCCTCTTCTGTCAACTTGTATTGGTTTTCACCTTCAGGTCTTCGAGTTTGTGTGACATCAGAGATTAGTTGTCCCTACGAAGTTCACATGTGGTGAGAGATATCTTCTAGCCAAATCGGTAGACAGCAATTTACAAAGACTAGCTCAACAACCAATCACAGCAGAATTTGCGTGGTTGGATAGGATTTGCAGATATATGGTCTAACCTTCAAAGAAATGGCCACAAAGAGATGACAATAACTTTAAGCGAGGAAACAACCAATCAGAAGACACTGTTACTCTGCTAATAATAACGAATAATAATGTACATAAAAATTTACAAATATCTTCAAGTATTGGTTTGTAGGGATTTGATTGATTGGTTACAGGATTTCATCATTAGCTGACATTAGTTAGAGAACCACTAGAACACGTGGGAGTACTGGATAACCAGTTGTTTCGTACTAGTTTTGGGCTCTTCAACAGTATGCACCCATCGGGTTTCGAACCCAAGACCTTCTGGTTACAAGGCGAGCTCGTAGGCCATTAAGCCACCTGGACTTGATCCAGTGGCCCATGAATTTGCCATTTGCCAATTCACGACATAGCGCGACCGCTAGCCAATGTCCTTGGCGAGTATTTTTCCTCACACCCGACCTGGTCTACGAGCTCTCCTTGTAACCAGATGGCCCTGCGTTCGAAACCCGATGGGTGCGTACTGATTAAGAGTCCCAAACTAGGACGAAACAACTGGTTATCCAGTACTCCCACGTTTTCTAATGGTTCTCTAACTAATGTCAGCTCATGATGAAATCTTGTAACCTATAAATATCTGTTGATTTTCTCAGCAAACAATCTGTTGCCTGGCCCTTGTCTTCTGTCATTACACAAATCTCCTGGAGTCTTGTTGTTGACTTAAGGTATTTCTGTTTTCTCGCCCTCCATGGCCTCCCACATAATCCAGTCTGCCACAGTCAAGAATATTGTCATAGGTAATAGTATCACTAACTTACACACAATACTAAATTGGGTGTGGTGGCACGTTTCTAACTGTGCATAGAATTACAATTGGTTGTCGAATAACATTATTCCGATTGTAATGGTATATTCATTAGTTTCAAACTCATTATTCAATAAACAATATGTCCGAAGTGTGGTTCATTTCAAGGGAATTAAATTCTTCGAATTATTATTAATATCAACCATTGTCATGTGGATTGCACAGCCATTGTGCTCACAGTCTTGAAATCTAAAGAAAGCCATGGCAAAATAGCTTGAGTATGAACCTCATCTAAATGACGTCATTATAACATTGAACTATGGTTCAATTGTTTGTTTACGGGAATTCGATTGATTTCAAGTTTTAATGACATAGTGATTTCACTTGGAGGACCATTTGGAAATAAGGGAGTATTAGATAGCCATTTCGCCCTAGTTTGTGACTGTTCATCAGAAAACACACTCTCACTGGGGTTGGAACCCGGGAAATCCAGTTACACTGGACGCCGATCCAATGGCCTATGAATCCCAACTTCTATCAATTCGCGACATATATAGCACAACCTCTAGCCGGTGTCGTCGGTGAGTGACTGTCCTCATCCCTGTCTTGGTGAACCCTGTTGGTCACGACTTCTCAATAGAACTCAAGGTTTCCTCCTGTACACAGCCAGTTGCTAGTGGGTACCTTATTAATTATCAAGTGATGGTTAGCAGGGACTTGATTGGTTACAGGTTTGATTAAGAGTTGAACCCTGATGGGTGTGTACTACTGAAGAGTTGCAAACCAGCGCGAAACAGCTGTCCAGTACTCCCTGCTGACTTTCAAGTAGTTTGCCAACCTGTTGAAGGAATTTCATCATGAGCTGACATCGGTCAGAGAACCATTGGAAAACCTACTGGCAGTACTGGACATCTGTTTCGTCCTAGTACTCGAGACTCTTCTACAACACGCACCCACCGCCAGGGTCCGAAGCTAAGACCTTCTGGTTACAAGGCGAGCCAACCCGTGAATTCTAACTTCTGCCATTTCATGACATAGTGCGACCACTTCGCAATGTCTCCTTCAATGAGTTACTACCCCACCTTCAACCTGCAGTTACCCTACTGATCATGGCTTCCTACTAGGATCCCAGGTAACTGCGTACCTGAATAGGGCCAGTCGCTAATGAGCATCAGATCACTTCTGAAGTATTGATTCACTAATTGTAATGCCAGCTCATGATTAAACGTATTAGATAAGTTTTCAAAATTTGATTGATTATTTTTAGCGAAAGCAATCGCTGTTGTTAACCAACCTCTTCAATATTTATTTTTACATTTTTTGCAGAAATGGTCTAGACGAAAATATTAAACCCGTTGAAGCAGGAAATCCTTACAAAGCTACTAGAAATTCGTGTCAAGAAGAATTAGCGTCAAACAAGAACATGGTAGGAATTTTCAATTATGTGTATCTTTTTAAGGCTTCTCCATTACGATAACGTTTTTTAATTCTATTTTTATTCTCTTGGGTGATACAGTTGTTATTTCCAACGCGATAGGGAAGTCTGACAACAAGTCATGGTTTTATTGATTGATCTTTCTTTTTGAGATATTCTAGGTATATCAAGAGAGATAGATGCATCACACAGAGCCTTCTAGTTTGTACGAGGGCTGGAGTACTGCACGGATGTCTGGATCAAAGCAGATGGTTGGATTTTGAGGCGATCCATTGAAGAGTAGCATTGTCAGCAGCTGTTTTCGCATGGTGGTTGGTGGTGACCGAAACAGGCTTATACGCCATTCGATCCCTTTGGATTCTGGAGCCGATGTGCACAATATGTTTTGAATCAGGGCTTTTCAGCTGCCTTAGGTAAACCAGTATGGTCCATAAGTGCCAGACATACACATTCACCGTTTGGCTTTTATACGAAACACCACCGGTCGCATGAAGGCAGGGAATAGGACCTATTTGACCAGAGGCTGTGAACGCATAGCGACATGAGAGCATCTCGAAAGGAAGGGAGGTCGAAGCCTACTCACCGTCAGTCTTGAACCAGGTCGTTTATGGCGAGGGGCATTTTCGAGGTCGATATTTCACTTTTTCTTCTTTACAGCATTACGCTACATTTATTCCATTTAAATTGAACAACGAAAGATAATAAACAACAAAGAACTCTTCAGTGCAACGGAAACATCAGCTAAAGAATGTATTCAAAAAGAAATGGAGCTGGATTATGGACATACACGTTGTAGAGATAGACCATGGCAAGCTCTCCAGAGGGAAACCCGAATGGGCGATGATGAGATGGGCGTTGGTTTGAAGTTGACATGGATGAGATCTTTTGAAGAGAAAATTAAAGGCTTATGGGCAATCGTAGGTAGAGTCAGCCAAAAATGATTGCCAAGAACAAGGTGAAATGGAGAGGTGTACTGATGACTAACTTACTGGTTTCAACGTAGAACTATGCGCAGATGTTCAGCAGTTCCAGTTGCCAAACTCCTTCCACGTACCACACAAACCAACAGAAGAGAGTAAAGACAGATTCATAAGAGAGATAATAAACAGAAGTGTGAGGGAAAAACAATAGAATTTTATTGGATATTATAAATCACAAAGAGTGAATGCGTCTTCGCTGTCATTGAAAACGATTTTGAGTCATATCACCAATTGTCTCCAGTCTTCATTGAATTTTACCATCCCAAGGACTCCAACCAGTCTACATCTCCATACGTAACCAGCTGGCTGGCATAAACGAACTGTTGTGGACTTCATTGACTGCTGAAGCCATGTTTTGGTTTGACCACCGCCAAATCGTCTCCAACTTGATCCTATATCAGTCAGCTAACATTCCCCTTTGAGGAAGGCGATAGCTAGACATGAGTAACACATATCCCAGCCATCTCGATGCAGCTGCTTCACAACCTTGTCGATTGATTTACCCTCCTTACCAACTACTCGACCGATTTGTTTTTCCTTCACGTTCCCCAGTGGAACATAGGGCTTCAAGCTACTGGCTTGAAGTTTCTGTAGCAGTTTTTATTTTACAGGATGGGGTTGCTAGACTCATGCCCAACCTAGCCTCTTCACCAACATTAATTTTGGCTTAGCGAGGTAAAGGAGTGCGTCGGCCGGGAATCGAACCCCGGACCATGTGCATGGTCGGCGAGCGTCTTAACCGCTATGCCACCGACGCACACACTCGACCGATACCTAACCTCAATATTACTCACCCTAATATACCACCTAACACGGGAAATAGAACGCAGACACCTGTGGTCATAGACGGCTAGCCAAGCTTTTCATGGCTTCCAATTGCAATGGCCATGTCTCAGTGACAGCCATAAAGTAGGGAAGAGTGAACTACTGGGCAGTATACACGTTCTTTGATCAATAGCCAGCCGGATATCACGTCTACTAAGCCAGAGACGACGTAATTCGGCATATGTCAAACGAGCTTTATGTATGTAATGATGAAGCCTTATGTTTTCACTCAAAATCAAAGAGGATATAGTAATACTAATAAGAATATAGAATAAAAAGAATTAACTAATGACAATGACATCACACTAGTTACTAGTGTCCAATCAAAATATCCACTACAGTCCTACAGGAGGTCAATTGCGAGCCAGCCCGAATAGCTCAGTGGTAACGTCTCTGACTGCAGCACTCACTGGTTGACGTGGGTTCGAATCTCAGATAGGACATGAGTTCCTTCAAGGTTGCAGATACGCCTTGCTGACGAGTGCCAACTAGCACGAAAAACCTAGGTGTAGCCAAAGCTTTCTGTGGCCGATTGCCTCCAACTATCTAACATCATCAGATGACAATTTAGTTATATTAATATAGAAAATATCCCCATTTAGATATTTGGAAAACAGAAAGATTGAGCGAAGAAATATTTACTTTTCATCTCTGGCTCTACTCTAATATACACGTATGGCATTTTTATTACAGTACACAACAGTTTACCAAACAAGTGGTGATATGTTTGTTAACAATAATTAGTCAGCCAGTGTCAACATGTCAATGGGTTGATAATTAACGAAGAAAATCAATACAAATTTAAGAGGTAGAAGTGGATAGAATAAATTAATTTTACAAGGATAACACTTAATTAAAGATGAAGTGGTCAAAATAAAAATAAAATAATTTGGACAATTATAATTTAATAGGTTTAGGGGGGGGGGGCGACGTAGTCCTGTTTATGCATTCTTGTAACGATGGCCACGGTAAGCAAAGTGGCTGTGCAAATTTCTTCTGTACACATATGCTTGGCTTGGATTCCGATTACTTCAGCTGTCTGTAGAAGACGAACTCGTAGAGCAAAGTTGAGATTAGTCGGAATGCGATAAACAATTTTAAATTTTCACATCAACCATATGCTCAGTATCAACAAGGTGTGCTAAAATAGAGCTACGAATAGATCTTGTTTATACCTTGCTTAACCATGCTGGATGATGTTCGGAAATACGACGATGAAACTGCCTAATTGTACGCCCAATGTTACATATTACATATGAGTTATTTGCTGAAGATGTTGTCCAGAAGGACGACGAAAGCTTCGCAACTAAACCAACCAGCTCAGAGAACACTTTTAATTGCAAATCATCCACCTGAGCTACAAATCTTCTCTATTATTTCAATATGAGTTATTTTTATAGATTATTTATTCTTATCGATCGGAATTTAAAGTCAACATGTCAAACACCTGATCCACGTGACTCATATATGAATGTATATGAACGAATGATCGAGAAGTGTCATAAATAGAAGTGTGGTTAAAGACTCTTTTGAATTCAGTTAAACGCGCTTAGAATTATTAGTATTATTATTATTATTATTACTATTTCAGTTCAACATTCATTTCCTATTTATATGTGAATAACATTGAACAATGAACAATAATTTACAAAAGAATCATTTTACTGATGATAACAAAAATGCGCCTGGCGATAAAATATCAAAATATTTTATTCTAAAATTACAATGTGTTAAAAAGCCTAAATTTTCTCGGGACACTACTACTTGTACTACCGCCAATAACAAAAATAATAATAATGACAAAGATCGTTATCATTACTATATGTTTATAAGTAGATTTCATAATAATAATAATAAAGAATTTTCAAGAAAACCTCGGTTATTTTCATCTCCCGTAGAATCTGAATTCAAATCGCGCGGTAATAATAATAATAATGGCAGTTGTACATTGAACAATTTACCTACTGTGATACTTGAAAAAGATAATGAGGAGGCGAGGAACAGACACTTTCATGTAGACTATACAAATTTTAAACATATTCTCACTATAAATAATGTGGAAATTTATTTTCCAACAATTTTATTAACACCTAATTTAGTGAATTATCGTCAGAATTTTAAAAATAGCCTAATGCAACATTTCACATCTTCTTATAACAACAGTCTGTTAAGTAAAAAACATTTGAAAGTTAAGAATTTCAATAATAATAATAACAATAATATTTTAAGTAATAATATCAAATATTGGTGTTTATCAGAGAAATATTTTGAATTCCCGCATAAATACAGATTAAAACAAAACAAATTGATTGATTTTTATGATTTTAAAGAAGACGACATAACTAGTAGCGATAATAGTAGTAATAACCTTGATGATAATAATTACAATTCAGTGATTATTAATTCTTGTTTATGTGCAACTAATAATAATGGTTTAACCTCTGATGAAATGATGATGAATTCAGTACATGATCGGGATCAATACAAAGCTCAAAGAAGACACCAACACCACCAAAAACAGCACGATGAACAACAGCGACAACAGAGTGATAGTAATAATAATAGTAGTAATAGTCGTAATGACAACACAAAGTTAATTCTACCTATTAAACCAAGATGTTTACGTCATCGTGTTGATTCATCGAAATCTTCTCTGTCACCTATAAATGAATTAACTAAAGACAATAGGAACATTAATAGTAATAGTAATAGCAGTAGTAATATTGACCTGTTCTCCCCATTGTCTACTACAACAACACTGTCAAATATTCATAGAGCTAAAAGTGTATTAGATCATATTTTCTATGCGATGAATGATCCTTGATGGTGATGGTGAGGGAGATGATGAAAGTATTCCATCGAATTCTGAGACGAATAACAGTGAACCAATAAATTGTTATACACCATCGATGCTGACATCGACTCCTCCAGCAATCACAACAAGAAGAGCTTTAAAACCTCCATTATCCCCCAGAAAGTTAATGAATCCTCCCCATAGGTCAACAAGTAAGACACGTCGTAGTAAGAGAAACTCGATACTACATATTGATGATGGCATCGATAATGGTGATGACAATGATGATAATGATGATGATGGCAGCGATGTGAAGTTGAAATATTCGTATATGCAACCAGATCATTCAATGGATTTACATGATTTCCGAGGTAATGATGAATCGCCTAGACCTCGATCTAGACGACAACGTCCAACGGGTGTATTGTCAACTTCTCTGTCTCCGTCTTCTACGGATAATGATTCTTTACTAGGTGAAAAGTACTCTCAACTGACACTGCAACCTTTGACAATAAAACCTCGCACTACTAGCTCCTTTTCTTCTTTACAACAAGTATACTCAAAAGTTACGAAACAAACTTATTGTGTAGACGCTTATTATTTATGCCCAACTGATTACATCATCATTATTGAAGATTATTCCCTGAATTTATCTATGATAAATTATTTCTGTGAATACATTCCAATTGATATGCATAATGATGAATTGTATACAAGTATACTGGGCATATTTTATGATTCTGTAAAGTCTACTACTCCTGTCCATGTGTTTGAAGCAATTCCTGTCATAATTCAATATATAATGATGACTACCAAGCTATCAGGGCTCACTGATGCTCATAACTCTTATTTGAATTCTGTTTTGAAACAGGATCTAGCGATTCCTAAAATTGATGTCAAGCATGTAGCACCGCCACCACTAACACAACTAAAAACACAACCACCTATCCAACAGAAGAGGAGTTCATCACTGAAAAGATTACAACAGTTGAATAAAGGTAAATTTTGTTTCATTGTGCTTGTGTGTGTTTATATATATGTGTGAAATCTTAGTTTTGATAAAGAAAGAAAGAAAGACCAGATTGGCTACAAACTGCCATCTCAAGTTACAATGGTTATATGAAAGCATGATTGACAATAACATACTTCAATATTAGATAGTTGGAGGCAATCGGCCACAGGAAGCCTCGGCTACATCTAGGCTTCGTGCTAGTTGGCACTCACTCACTAGTGAGTCAGCAAGGCGTACCTGCAACCTTGAAGGAACTCATGTCCCTTCTGAGATTCGAACCCGCGTCACCCAGTACTGACGAGTGCCAACTAGCACTAAACCTAGGTGTAGCCAAGGCTTCCTGTGGCCGATTACCTCCAACTATTTAATATCATCAAATCAATGTCCGCCGTGATGGCGACCTACCTAGAATGGTGGCGACATTGCAAACCAAGCCTGACTGATAGAATTCAGTCTGCAGCAAAGAAAGGACTAGATACACATCGCACTAGTTAATAGTGTCCAATCAAACATACTTCAATGTTTCAATCGCAGTAGTAGAGAAAGTGTTATAAAAATGATGGCATTTGAAATGTAAGCATCAATTTATATGCCTTTCAAAGTAAAAAAAAGCCGGGGGTTGGGATGGATAGAAAAGACAGAAAACAGGAAAGTTTAACAAACACTATTAGCTCATAAGTTTAAATAACAACTCAAGAAGGTTATATAGTAGTTCAGAAGGTAGGTTGGAAACATGCTCAGTGAGCTGAAATCACTAATATGGATAAATCATCAATGTAATCAAAATACAGTTACCAAGGAGATGAGTGATTGATTACGCACACACTCTCTCTGTGTATGCGGAAGTTTAGTCTGGAACGTCTGACTGTAATCACTTCAGCAGTAAATCCTCTGTTGTATTTCATATTTTGAAGGATTTGGAAATTGTGACGAAATGACCCGTATCCATCCACAAAGTGTCTGGTGTTTGCACTTTGCGAATACTTGCTTCTCTTTAGGCATAGTTTTCTTGGATATAATGGAGAAGAATTGTAGCTCAGATGGTTGATTTCGATGTAGTTGTGTTTTCTGAGCTAGATGGATGGTTTATTTGCGAAGCTTTCATTGCCCTACTTCAAATTGAAGTATGCACTGAAGATGTTGCCTAGTAGGATAATGAAAGCTTCGCAAATAAACCATCCATCTAGCTCAGAAAACACAACTGCATCAAAATAGTTTTCTTGGGATATACTCTAAAAGATACCTACCACTTGTCTAAGGAAGTAGACCATGTTGATATATTAAATAAACTAAGGTTACTGTACAACGTGACCACCCTATTTACAAATGTACTAGTGATAGAAACACTCAACATCATTTGTAAACAAACAGAGATGAAGCGTCTACTACTTCTCTGCACAAAAGACAACCAATTCAAATTTAACAACCAATTTTACCGACAAATTGATATTGGGTCGCGATGGGTTCACCTCTAGGACCTATTCTGGCGGATATATGCATGAGTTATCTTGAACGGACGCGAGCGAGTTCTGCTATCAATGAAATATTAATCTACTATCACCGATATGCCGATGATACGTTTATTGTTTGTAACGATATGAGTCATGCATTTGTATTATTTGACCGTCTCTATAAGATCCACCCAAACATTAAAATCATCATGGAGTATGAACCCAAAGATGAGTTCAATTTCCTGGACGTTTATATAAAAGGTAGAAAAGATGGTACGGTCTAAAGGTCCATCGATAGAAAAGAAACTTGGATAGGAAAATATCTTCACTAAAACAGCTTCTGCTCTATAAGGGTGGATTAGTAAGGAAACTATAAGATAGAGCCAGAAAGTTATATTCGCCCAACAAGCTGGAAGAAGATTTAAGTTTTGTTGAGAAATACATCAGGAAAAACTGGCATTCAAATGGATTTATACAAAGTATATCAGAGAAAAAGATAAGAAAGCAAAACACCCAACTGTTGAAAAGAAGAAAACGTTTCTTTCATAGGAGAAACAGTATCACAAAAGATTGGCAAAAGAGTGAAAGGAGCAATAAAAAGATGCTCCCCTGCAGTTAAGCTCGCAATATTGTACAACACCACATGCTCTATAAGTCAATCTAAACTGGATAAGTACCCTACTGATGTTACCTCCAACTGTGTTTATAAATTTACGTGCACTTGTGGGAGCAAGTATATTGGAAGGATAGAAAGAAGGGCTTCTTTCTATCCGGTGTTTTCTGAGCATATCCCGAGGAACTTATGCCTAAGGAGAAGCAAATATTCACAACGTACAATTATCAGACACTTTATGGATACGGGTCATTTCGTGAAAATTTCCGAATCCTTCAAAATATGAAATATAACGAATGACAGCAAATTTACTACGATTTACTGCTGAAGCGATTACAGTCAAACGTTCCAGACTAAACTTCCGCATACACACAGAAAGAGTGTGTGTAGGTGCATGCCTTGCTAACTGATGGTGAGTGGCAACCGGCATGGAACCTAGGGGAGTCAAGGCTTCCTGCCGATTGCTTTCAACCATTCATAGTGCACCATGGCATGGAAGTCCACCTAGCATGGTGGCTACATTGCGAACTTGACTGATGGAATTCAGTCTGCACCAAACAAAGGACTAGAGACATTACACTAGTTACGACCAGGTGTTTAATCAAAGCTCATATATATAATCACCACTGGGGGTACAGCAGGTCGGGTGTGAGGATGAATACTCACCCATGATATTCCCTAGTGGTCGCACTACATCATGAATTGGCAGATGTTGGAATTCATGGACTGCCCATTGGATCGGGTCCCACTGGGTGAGTGGTCTACGCGCTCGCCTGTGTTCTAACCCTGGCAGTGGGTGTGTACTGTCGAATAAGTTTCCCAAACTAGGTTGAAGCATATGTCCAGTACTCCCAGTTAGTTTTCCGTTGGTTCTCTAACCGACTTCAGCTCATAGTGAAATCCTGTAACCAATCAAATCCCTTCAAACCAAAATTTGAAATTGAGACTATATACACTGTGTAGAACAAATGGAATCATTATGCTCTTTTTAAGGAATTCAATGAGCCACATTTTAATTACTACATTAGGCTAAAATTGAACGTAAATACCAGTACAGAAGGTTGTATATGTGTGTGTCTGCATTCACTAAGTATTTATTGATTTTATGTTTTACCAGTCTCAACCCAAGTAGCTGGGTAGTTATGACTCAGTTATTTAGAATAGAAGGCAGCTGCTGATGAGAGACTGCAATAGTAACCTGTTCAAAATGCTTTACGTAACAAGCTTGCGCCAAGTTTCTGACACATATAGAAGCAATGACTGACTGACTTGACATCGGTGTTGAATGTTGTTCTTCATACTGTGGAATGCAGAAGATTTCCAAACTGATTTCAGAGTGATGAAGGTCTGCTTTGCCTTTCCAATCCTGAGTTTATCTACTGCATCCGTGTCATCCGTCTGTAGTTGAAACAATGCTGCTTAGATAGGTGAAGGAAGTGATCTCTTTCGACGTTATTCCGTTGATAGTGATTAGTGCTTGTTATCTTCATTACCTGTGTGCGTCAGTGGCACAGTGGTAGAATGCTCACCAACAACGCCTCATTTGGTCCGGGGTTCGATCCCCGGCCACAGACGCACTCCTTTGCCTCGTTAAGCCAGTAATAAGACTGGCAAAGAGGGAGGGTGGGGCATGAGGCTAGCAATCCCATCCCGTAAAAAATAAACACCACTGCTACCGAAAATTCAAGCCTCTAGCTTGAAGCCCTCCCTATGTTCCACTGGGAGCGTAAAGGAATAAAAAAGTCTTCATTACCTCTGTTTTCTCTATGTTCGAGTGTAGTCTCCTGTCTTCGCTTCATCTTCTAACTGTGAGTCACACTTATTGAAGTAGGCGGAGTAAGGTTCGAATTCGGAACCCGCTGGCTACTGAAAATGGTATACCCTTAACTTAATGAGCTGCATTTCCTCCCAAGTAGATAGCCAGGAGAAATCCGGGTGGTTTGAACCGCGATTCAGCTCTCTCAGCTGAGCCAAACTGTCTGCATCACTCATTGATGACGAAACTATCGTCCCAATGTTTACACTATTTCGATCTGTCTTGCATGTGCTACTGACTTTATGAGTTAAGTTTTCAACTACTCACATCAACCAATCAGTAGTATAAAGCATCATGTTTATTTTTTTACATGTGATATCACTTTTGTGTATTTCTATCACGATAAGGAAATGGCTTCTTTTTTAAAAAGATGTTGTAATCAAAAGCACGATGACTTTGTTGTTATTAGGTAGTTGGAAGTGATCTTCAGGAAGTTCTGGTTGCACCTAGGTTTCATGCTTGTTGGTCTTGAAGGAAGTGATGTCTCATCTGAGAGTTGAACCCGTGTCACCCAGTGAAAGCTGCAGTCAGAGACGTTACCACTGAGCTATTCAATCTCGCGATTGACCTCCTGTAAGATTGTATTTGATACTTGGATTGGATTCTAACTAGTATCATGTGTGTGGTCCTTTGTTTACTGCAGACTGAATTGGCGAGCCCGAACAGCTAGCTCAGTGATAGTAACGTCTCTAACTGCAGAACTGGGTAACACGGGTTCGAATCTCAGAAGGCGCATGAGTTTCATGAAGATTGCAGATATACGCCTTGCTGACTGTGAGTGGTCAGTGCCAACAACTAGCACGAAACTTAGGCGAATCAAGGCTTCCTGTTGCCGATTGCCTCCAACCACCTAATAATGACAACAATTCGGAATTGGCTTTATATTTTTTTAAGAAAAGAAGTTGAGACCAAATACATAGTAACTTTTTTCTCCTCTCATTATTTTGTGTTTGTCAGAAGCAGTACTCCACGATAATGTTGATGGTGATGGTGATGATGATGGCCGAGACGATCTCGACAAACGGTGTATAAAGGAAACGCATAATTTATTTTATGGAACACCGAATGACTTATGCAGTGATTCTACGTCTTCTAAGAGTAAAACACAATTCAGCAGAAAGGTGAACAAGATTCAGAAGTCTGTTGGTGATTCTTCACTGAATGCTGATGATATGTCGTCATTGTCAAATGGAATTATTGAGTAAGCCCCTTGTTTTTTTTGCTTTAAAGGGATTTTAAAGTGATGCCTTTATTTTGAAGTAAATTGGTGAATGGTGACTAGTTATGGAATCCAGGACAACACTCATTTCGTCCTGTTTCGGACTCATCATCTGGATGGATTTACTTGCATTCAACAGTTAGTGGTGGTGTTCCCACTGAGGCTCGAACCCAGCACCCATAGTTTCAGTCAAATTCATCAACGGGAAAGCTCAAAATGAATGAAACCCTTACTGTTACTCGTTGCACAAGAGGTGGCTTTCGTCGTCCAAGTGATCTAGTGGATAACACTAGAGGGGGGTTGAAATGACGGGCATTGGGTTCGGGCCTCCTCAGTGGGTATACATCGTCACTCACTGGGGAATGCAGATGCATCCATTCAGACGATGAGTCCCAAATAGGACGAAACGCTCACATCCTCGATGGCACTGCTAGTCTTCAGCCACTAATTTACTTCAAGTTAAATAGTCAGACATCGTTGGAGCATCTGCATAAAGAGCCGATACGCCAACCTGAGATCGAGCACTACGGTCCGATCAGTCATCAGGAGAGTCCAAACTGAGTTAAATAATACCCTTATTGATTGATTGGTCTGTTGAAATATCAAAGATTAGTCTTTGTTTGACAGACTGGGTGTGCTTTTTAAGGATACGATAGTGACGGACATAATGTTGTCAGTTTCATCCACCAGCACTTAGTAGGGAGGGGAGGTGTGTAGACTGCCTGACTGTGGGATCCTCATGACTCAAGAGAACCAACGACTAGAGACTTTGAATAATACGCACAATATATAATGCAGTGCAAGTGTACTCATTGTTTCTGTTCCCTCGAGGTCTATCGCATTCTCATTTTTTTAAAATTCCTTTACGTTCCCAGTGGAACACAGGGCTTCAAGCTAGAGGCTTGAAGTTTCTGTAGCAGTGTTTATTTTTACAGGATGGGGTTGCTAGCCCAACCTTCCCTCTTTACCGGTCTTATTGCTGGCTTAGCGAGGTAAAGGCGTGAGTCTGTGGCCGGGGATCGAACCCCGGATCACATGAAACGTGGTTGGAGAGCATTCTACTACTGTGCCGCCGACGCACACATTCTAATAACATTCTCCAATTTAATAATTCTCTTTACCTCAGTACGTTCATATGATAGCTAAGACAATCTGTTATCACCTAATCGTCACTTTTACAGTTTGTTAATTCTTGTATGCTACCTATTCTTATTCTTTATTGCTACCCCACTCCTGCTTAATCTCCCCTGGGCTACTTAGGGAAAACTTTGTTACATTGTGATGAAGGGCACTAAAAACTGTCGGTAGGGCTAGTGAGGTATCGCCGAACCAACTCGTCAAAACTGTTGTGGACAGAAATTGCCAAGTATCATCTTGTTGTACTCTGAGCATCCTTTTTTGTACGTGCTACTATCCGCTTGCATTTCATGAGGAGTAGGACTAGAAGCAACTATAAGAGATTTTATGCTCGGATAAATAAGTATAAAAACTCTGCTATACCTTATTTGGCATACATTTTATTTTATATCATGAGAAGAGTGTATGACATGATGACACTAATTCAATTTTCCCTCCACAAATGTGATATAATTATATCTCTTGACAACCACTGTCATGACCAGTTGTTAATTTACATGACTCTATTGATCACATTTTTATTGACTTGGAATTTTCGACTTTCTTATCATGTGATGGCTTACTTTTTATTAGCCGGTAAATTTGGTCTATAATGATAATGTGTTTGTTAGTCGCTGGTTGATTCATTTGAGTACTGTGTGTAGGCACTGTAGCACTCCAGTGTTGAAGAGGATGGAGGAAAAACGCCTGCTAACCGTCTTGAAAACAAATGGATATCCTCACAATTTCATCAAAAACTGTTTAACCTCAAGTCATAACACCAACAACAACAAGCCAACATCAAAGGCCACAAGAAAATTAATCCTACCATGTATTAAAAATATCTCTGAAATAACGGCTAGAATATTAAGACCGTTTGAAATAGATAAATAGCACACAAACCAGCCAGCCAGGACTATCACTTCATCCATCGATATTGTGCAAACCAAAAGATCCGACAGAAAAAGAAGATGAATTTAATACCCTTTGCAAAATAAACTGTATGAACTGCAATAAACATTACATCAGTCAAAGTGGGCGTCCCCCTTCGAATCAGAATCCAAGAACACAAATTGGCTGTGAAAAGACATGATATATATTCTTTAATATTGATGCATGTAGATAATTATGGACACTAATTTGATGATTGGGATAATGTAGAAATTTTTTTGAAAAAGGTGGAAACGCCAAAAGCAATACCAGGGGATTCCTAGAAGCAAACACATTTGATGATACTAGATGGTTGGAGACAATCAACAGTAAGGCGTATTTGCAACCTTACTGACGAGTGACAACAAGTACGAAACCCAGGTCCGAGGATTCCTGCCGATTGCCTCCAACCATCTAAATATCATCAAATCAATGTGGGCTGTTATAATGAGCTACCTAGAATGGTGGCGACATTTCGAACCTGACTGACAGAATTCAGTCTGCAGCAAAGAAAGGACTAGACACATCACACTAGTTACTAGTGTTCAATCAAAGTAACAAACACATTATTCTAGACCAAATTTACCAGCTAATAAAAAGTAAGCCATCACATGATAAGAAAGTTCGAATTGCAAGTCAATAAAAATCATCAATAGAGACATATATATTAACAACCAGTCACGACAGTGGTTGTCAAGAGATACAATTATATCATTCATGCAGGGAAAATTGAAATAAGTCCATTTTATACTAAAACCTACACTGAGGGAAGATGTTTTCTAGAAGGGGGATGACGAAAGCTTCGCAATTAAACCATCAACCAGCTCCTCCTCAGAGAACACAACTAATTCAATACCCCCGTACTACGTACATGATAAGATGAAATGGGAAGCAATATTGTATAATATGCTGTGAATTTCACATTCTATCAGAAGTATTGTCTGGGACAAAGTCATTATTATTTTTATCATCTTTGCAACTTGAACTGTTGCACTTTAGTGTAAAGTTCTACGTTACGAATTCAGTTAGTCAGATGGTCGGTTGGTGGTGGTGTGTCGGCATAAGATATTGTTAGTTGGTGAAACGTATAGTAATCAGTCGGTGTGTTTATCACCGTATCATAAGTGAAGCTAGAAATGAGTCACGGATGTGTACTGTTGAGGAGTCCCAGCAAGGACGAAACATCTGACCAGTACAATCATTGCCTAATTGATATCGATTCATGATAAAGTCTCACTTGACATGATTCATTCAGTCAGTGTGATTATTCGTTAATTATTTAAAAAGGTGCCTAGTTGTTGAAAAAAGAATTATTCTTAAGCTAGTTAGTTTTTCGAGTGTTCTCGTTTGCAAGAAATCGGACTGGTTGCAATTTTGTTCCATTTCAAAACTTTTCACTGGCACTCATCCACTGAACCCAGGACCTTCCACTTACAAGATGAACTCGCAGAAGTTGTAATCAGCAAGGTACAGAGAACAGTTACTCACTGATGATATTGGCTGTCGGTATGTTGTGAACTTGGGTCAGGTCCCAGTGTCTGAATGGTCTTTCAGAAAACCATCAGGGAGTACTGGATAGCTGCTTTTTTCCAGTTCAAGACTCTTCACTGGCACTCACCCACTGAATCCAGGACCTTCAGGTTACGAACTGGTTGGCCAATTGAATCAGGTCGCAGTGGCTAAATGGTCCACAAGCTTGCTTTATAACCAGAATAACCTGAATTCGAACCCTGCTGGAGGATTCGCACTATTGAAGAGTTCCAGCATGCGACGAAACTGGTGTCCAGTACACTCCCTTCTGCTTTACTAATTGTTCTCTAACTGATGCCAACTCTTGTATAAACTTGCGACAAATCAACTCTTAATTAAAAGAAATGTTAACAAAGATTAAATCTTTCTCCTTTCTATGATTTGAATCAAAATGGATTAGTTTATGAAATTGATAAAATATTGATGTTACCATCATTTTTATCTCATCGCTGCCATTATTATTATTATTATTATCTATTGTCGACTGACGTAATCGATACCAAGGGAGGTAACTCTAAAGTTCAAAGGTCAATTTTATATAGATGGGGTCATATTTTAGCTTACAACATCACTAGTGGGTATTTGTTTTTACTGTCATTTTGTTTGACACGTCCATATTTTGTATTGATCGAAAATAGTTGAATTCATAGGAATTGAATTGAATTCACCGTTAGCCAATATTAAATGTGCTAACACGATCTATGATCACAGATATAATATTACGGCATATGTACCACAAAGGGTTTATATGCCAAATGCTATTGGGGGTCAGTTTAGCCTTGTAAATCAACAGTTGGAGGAGGGAGGATGATTAGATTTGGATCAATTTCAACGGTTAGATTTCGTCATGAACCACAACATCAGCTGTTAGAGAGCTCTTTGAAAACCGCCAGTGAGTACTAGATGGCTGTCGTTTTACTGTAGTTTGGGACTCTTCAACAGTGCACACCTATGAACCTACCAGGGATCGAACCCAGGGTCTTCAGGTTAGGTGTGTACTTCTGAAGAACCTCAAGCTGAGACGAAACAATTGTCCGATGCTTCCTGATGGTTTGCAGTGATCTCTCTCTAACTAATGTGCTCGTTCGTTGAAAGTGATCCAAATCCCTACAATCTCCAGCTCGTTGATATTTTTTGGATGTATGTCGTCAGGCTGTACTCAGAATTCGTAATCAGAGGAGTCCACAATGTCATGGTGAAGTGGATAACAATCGAAGACATTGGTTAAGGGTAGCGCTATATCGCGAATCGACAAAGTTAAAATGGTCAAATGTGTTGGCTTGCAGGGATTTGTTTGGTCACAGGTTTCATCATGAGTTGAAATCAGTTAGCGAATCGTTGGAAAAACCAGCAAGGAGTACTGGACGGCTGTTTCGTCATGGTTTGGAGCTCTCCATCAGTGCCTACCGCTGGGTTTTGAAACCATGAGCTTCCGGTTACAAGGCGAGCTTGTAGGCCATTAAGCCACTGGGACCCCGATCCAATGGCAAGGCTATCAGTTCCAACTTTTGCCAATTCCAATGTTTCTCTAACTGACGGCAACTCGTGAATTCCGATCCAAGTAGCTGAATGGTTAAGAAGCTTGTTTTCGTAGCCTGAAAGTTCCGGGTTCTATCCCTGTTTGTGAGGAGTCATGTGTATGCGTTACTGAAGAGTCCCGAACTGGAACGAAACAACCGTCCAGTACTCTGTGCTTGTTTCCAGTGGTCCTCTAACTGACACCCATCTGTGTTTTCAAATTTGGAAGAACCTTAAAAGCACAGCTTATGTGGCATGACAAATGGATATCAGTTAACAAAATTACTGAAAACCAGAGAGTAGTAGTGGAAGACTGTTTCGTCCTAGTCTGAGACTCTTCATAAATATACACCAGCAATCAAACTCAGGATCTTCGGGATACAAAGCGAGCATGTTACCATTCAGCCGGTGCATGACTCATGAATTTTAACTCCTCTTTATTTGTGATATATGTAGGTTGCGAGTATTTATAATCACATCCGACTTGGTGGAATCCTCACGGATTACAACTTCTCATTAGAACTTCAGGAAGAGTCCATCAATCCATCAATGAAATCCTGACAAATCAACATTTGAAAAAATATACAAAATACACTAAATGTGATAAATATTGTGCCGAATGTAATTCTTGAGACACTTATTCTTAATTTCATTTAAGGGGAATAATCCTGAAATTTAGTCACAATCAGATGATGAATCCCTAAATAGCCGACTGATACACAAACATTATTATTGTTTTGATGATATTAGATAGTTGGAGGCAATCGGCCGCAGGAAGTCTTGGCTACACTTAGGTTTCCTGCTAGTTGGCACTCACCAGTGAGTCAGCAAGGCGTATCTGAAACCTTGAAAGAACTCATGCCCCTTCTGAGATTCGAACCCACGTCACCTAGTGAGTGCTGCAGTCAGAGACGTTACCACTAAGCTATTCGGGCTGGCTCGCGATTGACCTCCTGTAGGACTGTAGTGGGTAGTTTGATTTGACACTAGTAACTAGTATGACGTGTCTAGTCCTTTCTTTGCTGCAGACTGAATTCTATCATTCAGCTGTGCAATGTGGTTACCATTCTAGGTAGCTCGCCATCACGGTGCACATTGATTTGATGATATTAGATGATTAGAGGCAATCGAAAGGAAGCCTTGGACCTTGTCATTATTATCCCCTTGGGTTCGAAGTGGAACATATGGCTTCTCACACAATCTCATCCATGCCTCTGTTGGATATCTAACTTGGTGTTTCCCATTCGCATTCCACTTGAGCGATGGTCTGAAGTGCGAAGTCACTCAAAGATCTAATAGTGTGTTTGAACAATCTCCACTTTCTTCGACATAATGGTTGGGCAACAACAACAACAACAGGTTGCTTGTTGGTTCGTTCGTTCCTAGAGTTTCCTGATCTTCACAATCCAGATACAGATGGAAGTCTGCGGTGGCCTGTTCGAAATGCTGTTGGTGAGACCCACATCTAGTCTCTGAACTATACAGAAGAACTGACTGACTTGATATTGGTGTTCGGAATCCAAATCTTCTTGTATCTGCTCATTGAAACAGATTTCCACACTGATTTCGGAATAATATATAGGTCTGTCTTGATTTTCCGATCCTATCTCGTCTGATTTTGAGATTCTCATTCTTGTCAACTCCTTGCAGTTAGCAAGAATGCTTCTTAGATAAATGAAAGAAGAGACCTCGTTTAAATTTCTTTTTCATTTGTATTAATTGGTGATTGTTACTGTTGGCCAGTTCGCAGGTGTCTTCATCACTTCGCTTTTGATGAAGTTCACTTGAAGTGCTTCTTATCTCCGCTGATTAACTCTTCTGCCAAGTCTTTGAAGCACACTGGTCTGGTGTGAGGAAAAATACTCTCCCATGACATTCGCCGGTGTTCTGGCGCCTTATCATGAATGGGTAGAAGTTGGAATTCATGGACTGGCTGGCCATTGGATTGGGTCCCAGTGGCTTAATGGTCTACGAGCGCTAGCTCGTCTTGTAACCAGAAGGTCCTGGGTTCGAACCCCTGAGGTGGGTGCATACTGATGACGAGTCCCAAACACTAGGAAGAAACAGCTGTCGAGTACTCCCAGTTGGTTCCCCAGTGGTTCTTTAGTCGAAGTCAGCTCGTGATGAAATCCTGTAACCAATCAAATATATATATATATATATATATATATTTAATACTTTTCCTAATGTTATTATATGAATGAATAACAATTATGATTTTTTTAAATTTCTACTTAAAGGAACAACTCAACGAAATGTACCGCTGAGAAATACTCAACACATTCAACCACCTCTACTAGAACTAATACTACAGCTAGTAATACTACCGCTATGAGTACAATTCAGTTGAATTCTGATATATACCATTTAATTTCACAAATAAAAGTTAGCTATATGAAGGCTGAACGTCATTTGAATGAACTGATCAACTGTAGTAGTAATGCCAAGCAGAAGGAGGACGTGGTGGACGAGAAGAAGAAGAATACCGCCATTCATGATGATGGGGATCATGATGATGCTTCTGCTGCCGCTGCTGCTGATGACGAGGATTGTGAAGATGATGATGAAAAGTTAACGTATTTAGCAACATCATGTGATCAGTTGAAACAATTTCTAGGTCATTTGAAAGCTTATCATTTTCGTGTTAATTCTATGAAATCAATATTATTGACAAGAGCTGATCCTAATTACAATTACAATTACAATAATCATAATCATGATGCTGGTGATCGTCGAGTTGGTGGAGGTAATGGCGGTGCTGGTGCTGGCGATATATTGCATCAATTGGATGATATTTGGCAGAAAACAATTATCTCTACAAAACATTGGATTAGAAAGTTACAATATGTAAGTTAATTTAAATTAAAACGTCATGTGAATCATTAAATCAAGCACTTGGTTTCGGTACAAATCCAACCCGCCCCCCTCCCACCCAACCAGTGCACTCCTAAACTTTTCTTGACTAGTAGTATCATTTTTTTCTATAAAAAAAATTTGTATTTCTTTGAGTTCTGAGTGTGGGCTTCATGCTTAAGATTTGAGGTCTCATTCACAGCGGTGTTGTCATTCTTCACATCCCCGAACTTCTCCATTTACCGGGCTTACTGCCAAACTAAGTGAGATTTAGGAGTGCATTGGTGGCCGGCCGGCAATCGAAACCTGTGTGACGTACGTGGTTGGCGAGCATTCTACCTTTGGTCTGTCAACTCCCTAACCAGTAGAAAGACTGGTAAATAGGGAATGTTTGGTATGCAGTTAGCAGCTCTTCCTCGTAAACTAAACTTTAAAGCTGAGTCTTGAAGCCCTATCTTCCATTCTGAATGCTGAAGGAATGGGGGAAGAGACGGTTGAGATCATTCGAGGGCGAGAGAGAGAGGGGGGATGTGAGCTGTGCATACAACTGATTGTGATATGGACAGTTGGGATTCTATTCCCTCCCCCACATTTTACATCAACCAGAACTGCACTTGCTAGCCAGATTGAAGTTATATAAGCACACTGGACAGCCGCTTCGCTCGTTTTAGCACGAGCTTATCAGCGGTGTACTCGATTTGATTGACTGTCACACCTCCAGGAATTCTGGCAATTCATGAAATTAAATTCCTAATTTCCTAATTGTACAATTCAATTCAATTTCATTGAAATGAGAATGGTACTTGGGCACTCACTGTAGTATAGTATAATCCCATCATGATGTAAATTTATTTCATAAAATCACTGGGTGACGTTTCGGGCACAATTTATCACTGCTCACAGTCACCATATCAGGGCGTTGTCACATAATCCCTTTCAAACTTCGCTTATATAATTCTACTATTTGGTGTGCGTGCGTGTGTGTAGATTATTCGATGAACAAAGACTCAGACGTAAACTTACAAACTCACTACTCAGGAAGGCCAAGCTCTTTGTAGTCTAAAGGACCCTATTGACCCAGTTAGACAAAACAATTTAATCTACAGAATACCTTGCAGTGACTGACTGTGAGGTCAACTACATAGGTCAGAGACCAGTAGATCAAGAGTAGTCAGATTATCGGAATACAGGAGTTTAGCTCAGTGTAGATTGACTGACCCCAAGATGATGAGTAATTCAGATTTTTTTTAAAACTCTAGAATTTCACTCCATGCATTAACATGCAGTAATACAATAGGGCGGAACAGAGTTACAATTCTAAAGAGTAATATAGGTAAGTGGTAGGAGAGAAGGGTTGATTAGTGAATCTTTACAAGATTTCATTATGAGCTGAGAACGGTTAGAGAACCATTGGCAAACCACCTGGGAGTACTGGACAGCTGTTTTGTCCTAGTTTAGGACGCTTCATCAGTTGGCTTTAAGCCAAATGGGAAATTTTCATGAGTAGATTGTGAGACCACCCAAGGACACATACTTGAATGATTAAAATTGACCATGGATTGATATTAGTTAGAGAACAATTGAAAAGCATCACTCGCGTACTGGACAGATGTTTCGTCCTAGTTCGGAACTCATTAGGCAGGCAGTAAGCACCCACCACCTGGGTCTAAAGCTAGGACCTTCCGGATAGCAAGGCAAGTGCGTAGATCATTCAGCCGATGGGACCTAACTCTTCAATGGCCATGCTAAAATCATGAACTTGTAGAAGTTTGAATTCATGGACAGGACATCGAGGAGTCGGTTCCCGGTGGCTGAATGGTCTACAAGTCTGGTTTGTAACCGGTAGGTAGGTAATTACTAGGTTCGAACACCAGTCACTTCTTGACCCCTTACCGCCCTTACACAGGCGGTATCGTTGATAAATAGAATTGGTAGGCTTCATTTCTTCGACTTATTATTACTAAGAAAGTTAACAGTCACATTTACAGATCATCACAAAATATCATTATGCTTTCATCATTGTAAATAAATTTTGAATCAAACGAGAAAAAATATCCTTATATTTATTTGTTTTTATTGTCATCTATTCCACTTCATCGTTTGTAATTTATTTTGAAATGTGTAAAGTATGCGCTTGGTGTAGGCATCATGTGTTATAAAATTGATCGATCGGTCAGTCGATCGATCGATCGATCGATTTGCTTGCATTGATTGGTCTATAAAAAAAATAAACAAACTATTATCATATTAGATTATGTGTATTTGTTCGAAGGAATTATTGATTCTTTTTTCGATAGCTTTATTAGTAGATGTGTATTAGTTTGTTGTTATATTAATTTGATAATTCATATCTTTTAGCGGGGTTATTCATCTATCTCACTTCTGGTTAATCCTATATACATATATATATATATATATATATATATATATATATATATATAAGTGACTTCAGTTAATGAACCATTGGAAGTTGTCACGGAGTACTGTTAGATATTTGTTTCGTCCTAGCTTGGACCTCTTCTTCATCAGCATGTATTTATGATCCCACCGACAGTTGTCGAATCTACGATCTTCAGGAAACAAGGCGAAACTTCTTGACCATTCTGTCAGGATATACTTGCCTGAAATGCTAGTAGGAAGTCGTGATCAGTGGAGTCCACGAGGTTGGGTTTGACGACAGATGGATACTCACCAATGACGCTGACTGGCAATGGTGCTAAATATCGCGAAGTAATAGAAGTAAGAATTTATAGGCCATTGGATTCTGTGGTCAACGAGATCGTCTCACAGTCTGAAGGTCCTAGGATCATCGATCCTTGACTTGTGGGATCATGGATACAGACTGTTGAAGATGAGATCCAAACAAAGATGAAACAGCTGTCTAGTACTCATTGCTGATTGTGAGCAAACTTGAAATAAATCAAATCCCCTCCCCTGCAAGCTAACACTTACAATTTTCACTATTAGCATGATTACCACTCAGAGTTTGGATATCGCCATAGCGTCTATACGGGGAGAGGATTTGTCAACAATGACCGAACATTTCCGTTTTTCTAATATTGTCGAAACCTTTATAAACCTCATTCAATAGCTGTATGATCATGATGATGCGAAATGTCAAGTGATCCACAGTGGAAACCTCAGTGAAGCCTTTGAAGTTGAAGACAGTAGTAAGACAAGCTGGCTGCCTACTATCACCAATGATATTTCTAATTGTGATGAACTGGATCATGCAACAGATCACAGGGAGCGATAAGACAGGAATACGTTGGTCAGATAAGAAGACTCTAGTAGGTCTGGACTTCGTGGGTGATTTATGTTCATATAAGTATAAAACTTGGGCACTGTGGTAGAGTGTAACTCCATTATGGATAAGATTTTATTTTGATAAATCACACAGTGTTATACAGTTAAATTAACTGATGACGTTTCGAGCACAAACTATTGCTCATAATCATATCAAGTCACTCACACAACTTTTTCCTTCATTTATATACATGTGTGGAATCGATTAGATATTGGAATAAAATTCAATATGAGATAATGTACATTCAGAAATAATAATACGAGTGTTATTGATCAATTACAATTAGATGGGAAATAAGACGAGTGTTTTTATAGTCATAATTAAGTAACTTGTTAGAATTTTGTGATGTGCTTGAATTGAAATAGCATTTTGAGATTATTTATTATCCTCTTCCGATTTGACTGGCGGTAATAATATCTTCCATATTTCTGGTATTTGCATTGAGTCATTTCTGTTGCATGTGTTGGGTGTAGACTCAATGAACCAGGCAGGATTCAGTAATCAATCTCTCTCTCCACCTACATAGAATACTTCTTGAAATCTTAACCCTCTTCCACCCTATTGTGTGGTTGTGTGTTAATGCACGTAGTACAACTGCTGAGCTTTTTTATCGGGGTCAATCATTCTTACCTTAGCTAAATTGTTCATTATGTTCATTGTTGGCACAAGAGGGTGGTAAGCAGCAAAGAGAGAACTTCAAGTGAACATAGAGACGACAGAGGTGATGAATATAACCACTCAGCAAAAACAACAAGCATCGAGATAAATCTGAAGGAAGTTGCTTCTTTTTTTATTATTTAAGGAGCATTGTGTCAACTACAAGTGAATAACACGGACGAAAATATTGTAAGCAGGATGGGAAAAGTAAGACAAACCTTCATCACTGTGAAATCGGTTTGGTTGGAGATCTTCTGCACTCCGCAGCATAATGAACAAGATTCGGATTTCCAACACTGACACCAAATTACAGTCACTTCTTCTATATGGTTCAGAGATCTGGTGTGTGTGTGTGTGTCACCAAAAGCGCTTCCAACAGGTTACTCCAGACTTTGATTAACAGCAGCTACACCTTCGTCTATCGCTCCATACCGAAGGTCAGATGGCCGGCCAACCAGAAAGAAGTAAGCAACAAGAAACTCTGGGAACGGACTTATAGTACAACAAATATGAAATGAAGATGGATCGGACACACATTGGGGAGGGTTGTTGAGTGATACCACGAGAAAGGTGGTAGGTCATCAGTCGAATGGGACCTGAGTTGCGACCGGCGTGTTGGGCGTTTGTCTGAGGATGACATGGAGGAGATGAAAGCTTGTGGGCAATCGAGTTGAATCGAGTTAAAGAGGACTTGCCTAAAACATGATGGTATCGAGATGTTCTGTTGTGAAGGCCTATGTTCCACTCAGAACGCGAAAGGAATGCAGAAATAATCTCTACAATTAATTTCTTTTAAACATTTCAGTAGTATTAATAGTTGGGTGTTAAAAAATAGTCAATTGGTTAGAAAGAATGTTTGAAATTAAGTTTTCATTTTGTTTTGTTTAAAAAAATGCTTGGCATGAAGCTGTTTTTGTGTTTGTATCGATCAGTTGGGTTTTCTATACTAGACGTGGTCACTATTCACTTTATACTATACAAGTGTACTGAAAATATGTGATGATGGCTAGGCTATAGTTGTATTGTCTGTTCGAGTGTGTGTGTGTGTGTATGTGTGCGCGCTCGCTCGCATGACCCATTAATTACTCAAACAGTTTAACGCCTAAACTGAATGTTTATGTTATATGAATTACAAATTAATGTACTGGACAACTGTTCTGAAATCAATTTTCGGTTTGTTGTCGTGATTTAAAAAAAATATTATTACTTAGCAGCTGTCTCATACTTCTTTGGAAATCGTTTTCACTGGGGGTTCATACCCGGGATCTGATCCAATGACCCACCAGGTCGGCGGGTAAGGACAAATACGCATCGATTGAATATTGGCTAGTAGTCATGCTAAAATCACGAGTTGCTAGAACCTGAAATTCATGGGTTGGTCGCTGGATTTTGGCCTGAGTGACTGTATGGTCGATGGGCTGAAAGAGTCTTGTAATCTGAAGGTTCTGGGTTCCATTCCTGAAGAGTCCTGATGCGGGACGAAATAGCTGTTAAGTATCCCCTGGTTCTCCAGTGGTTCTCTAACTGATATCAATCCATGGTCAAACCTGAAGTAAACAAATGCCTACAAGCTAACTCTTGAAAAGAATATTGAAAAAAAATGAATAAACTTCAGCCACTGCTTTGATTAAAACAAAGAAATCAATTACAGTGGAATATTTTGGTTTAATCATCAATAGTCAGTGTTTCGATATCTTTCTAGATAGTATAGTCAACTTAATTTCACAATCAAATTCATTACTATTTGATTATTATTCTCTTGTGTTCCGAGTGGATTTCTGTTCTGTTCTGTTCTCTACACTTCTATTTAACTGGCTCCACAATTGCCCGTAGGCTGTCATCTCCTCTTCACACGATCTCAGCCATGTTATCCTCGGGTCCAAGGCTAATTCATCGTTTCCCATTCGGATTCCACTCAACAGCCTGACGCACCGTGTCACCCAGCGGTCTCCACAGTTTGTATCCGTAATCCATCTGCAATTGTTTTTCGGAATATTTGCTGAGCAATAGGTTCTTGTTTGGTTCGTTCCTGATAGTTTCTTGCTGCTAATTCTATCCGACTGGTCATTCGATTCTCAATATGGAGCCAACGAAGACAGCTGTTGATAAATTTCTGTAGTAGCCTGTTCAAAATGCTTTTTGCGAAGCGCACTGCAAGTTTCTGACCCATATAGAAGAACTGACTGGCTGAAAGATTGATGTTGAAAATCCAAGTTTTATTTTCTATGCTGACTGCAACAGAATTCTAGACTGACATCGGAGTGAAGAAGCTCTTCATTGCCTTTCCCATTTTGATTGGTTTTATATCCTCATGCGTGTCATTCGCCAGTAGTTGAAACAATGCTACCTAGATAAGTGAAGGAATTGATTTCTTCTAAGTTTCTCCAGTTGATAGTGACTGGGGCTTGTCATTTCTGTTGATTGGTTATATACACCAACTTTATCTTCTCTGTGTTTACTTGAAGTCCTGTCTTCTTCCGACTGCTTTTCCGAACAGTTTGTTGGTTTTTGCTTGTAAGTCTTCAAGTTTGTGTTCCCAATACACATAGATCATCTGCAAAATCCAGATAGATCTCCTAGAGTCTTCTTATCGGCCCAGTGTATCTCTCTCTCTCTGTCTTCTCACTCCCATTTACAGTCTTCTGCATAATCCGGTGAGTGCCGCACGGTTAGCACTTATCATTGGTGTGATAGTAGACAGACAACCTTTCTGTTACTCCTGTCCTCACTTGCTTCGCTGAGTTATCCGTTGTGGATCAACTGGCAGGTTACACTGTCGTATAGAGCCAGCTGTTGTATGATATTGATAGAGGTTTGGGTGGCATTATTTTTATTTTTGATTATAGGTTGATTCCACACCATATTTTTGGTACAAGTATGGAATTTTCAGCATGTGATATCGGTAGCCCATTGATATCAGGTGTGTGTCGGCAGGGGATCGAACCCCGGATCATGTGCATGGTCGACAAGAGTCCTAACCTCTGTGCCACCGACGCACCATAGTGTTGAAGTAGTACTAGTAGTAGTTCCCAAATCACTTTGCAGTCAACGCTGTCTGTTAGAGGCCTTTTCAAAGCCTAGTTTACTAGTTAGCTAGTTAATTTTTCTAGCCAGTCCCCAAGCTCAGGTAAAAGAGGAGAGCGGGGGGGGTGAGGTTGAGCGTTAGGCTAGCAGCCCTACTCCCAGAAAATCAATCTAATCGCTATTAAACAAAACACTAATACTATTTTTATTCCAGGCTTTTGTCAGTTTACTTCAACAGACAGTATGTTATTATTATTATTCCCTTGGGTTCCGAGTTGAACACAGGGCTGGTTTCAACAACACATCTCCACTTTCTTCTATTCTCTGCTGTTCTCTTCAGCAGATTGCCCATAATTTTTCATCTCCTCCATGTCACCCTCGCAATGACCACCCACTGGTCGTTTCCTATTCGGATTCCACTCGAGCGATGGCCTGCATTGAGCGCGATGTCATTCGACGGCCTCCTCAACGTATGCCCCACCGATCCATCTCAATTGTCTCCTACATATTTGTTGAGCAATTGGCTCTCGCCTTCTGGTTTGTTCCCAGCCAACCTCAGTTTCTTGTTGTTAATTTTTTCTGGCTGGCCGGCTGGCTGGCTATTTGATCTTCAGTATGGATCCAGAGAAGGTAGCTTATATATATATGTATATATATATTCATTAAACTCTCCCTTTATTTTATTTTTTCTAGAATTTTGTTTACGGGAAAAGTTTGAAGTATTTAATCAACGATTTTGAAAGACATTTGGAATATGCACAAGGTCGACTGCGTCATCTGACCAGTAGAAACGATGTGTTTTGGAATAAATCATGCGTCAATGACGAAGAAGAAGGAAGATCTGTCCGTGGTAAATTGTCATTGACAACACTGTCGACAAGAGGATCCCTTTCATCATTGTCAACATCATTATTTCCCTCCGCCTCGTCATCCTTACCTCCCTTAACATCAATCTCATCCACATCGTCTCTGTCGCCTTCATCCTGTATACGTCTATTACGTACTATTAAATTACGTTTGACAAATTGGCTTGGTTATACAACTCTATTACTAATCCCTATGGAGAGTGATGATACTACTGGATCGTTCGTAGAACTATTTAAAACTTCAATCAATTCATTGGATGATGATGATGATTGGAATATACAAGATAACAATACTACTACTACTATATTAAAGATTGATCTGATCAACTTACAAGAACGCTTTTCAAGTTTACTAGAGACAAATGAACGCCTACTCACTGAATATATATTAGCGTATAATTCAATGATTAGAAATAATCGACGGTTGAAAGCTATTGATCATCATCAACCTACCGATGAATTGTACTCCTCAATGACATCGTTAAATAACACTACTACACTAAAAAGTTGTACGAATTCACTCGATTGTTCTACAGGCTCTTTACACCACTATGATGACCTTGATAATAATAGAAACAAGAAGACGACGTTGAAGATGGTGAAGAAGCAGGAGGAGGAGAAGGAGAAGGAGAAGAATGATATTCAAAATGAAAGTTATAATGATGCTAAAGATGATTCAGCGATCAAGTCGACTTCTTGTTTAAGTCTGATAGATTCGACATACTCACAGTCGACTGTGGATTCTTCTCTACACTATCCATGTTTACAGGTAAGTCACAGTTGGTAGAATTGAGAAAATAAAGTTTTTTAATGCAGAAATTAATTTCGTATTGTATTCTTATTATTATTATTCCCTTGGGTTTCGAGTGGAACATAGAGAGGATTTCAACAACACATCTCCACTTTCTTCTATTCTCCACCGTCCTCTTCAGCTGGGCCAACAAATGCCCATAAACTCTCACCTCTTCCAACTCTCATGATCTCCATATTACCCTTGTGGTGACGATCCACTCGTTAATTCTCATTTGGGTTCCACTTGAGCGATGATCTGTGTGGTGTGTAATGTCAGCTAACGGTGTCCTCATCGTGTATCCGACCTATCTCCATTTTTCTCAACATATTTGTTGAGTAATCGACCCGTTGGTTGGTTTGCTCCTAACTAGAGTTGCTTGTTGCTAATTCTTTCTGGCCGGCTGACCTGCTGACTGGCCATTTGATCTTCAGTATGGAGACAGCGAAGTTGGCAGCTGTTGATAAAAGTCTGCAGCTCCCTGTTGGAAATCCTTTTTGTGACACTCAGTGCAAGTTTCTGACCCACTTAGAAGAACTGGCTCATTGAACATTTCTGTTGAAAATTCGAATCTGGCTGTTTATGCTGACTGAGCACAGTGTAGAAGATTTCCAAACTGGTTTCAGGTTCATTGATGAAGGCATTTCTTGCCTTTCCGATTCTGGCTGGTGTTGACATCGTCATCCATGCCATCCGCTGACCAGTTGTTGAAACCGTGGTTCCTGGCCAGATAAGTGAAGGAAGTAACCTTTGTAAAGTATCGCCTGTTGATGGTAACTGGTGCTGGTTGTTGTCACTGTCAGTTGGTTAGTTATCTTCATCACCTCTGTCTTCTCTGTGCTCAGATGAAATCTGTCCTGTCTTCGCTGGTTGCTTCTTCAGCCAGTTTGTTGGTTTTCGCCTGTTAGTCTTCGAGTTTGTGTGACATTAAGCATAAATCATCTGCGAAATCCAGATCTTCTAGAATCTTCTTATCGGGCCAAAGTACATACATATATGATGTCAGTTGACAGGAGACTCAAAACTGAATAAGTACTCAGAAATTACATTTGCATAGCTTATACACAGAAAGGCGCAGGTTTAAACAAGTGTCTGCATACAATGACAAAAGAGTAGTTATGCAATAAATATAATCGATGAATAAGATGATGAGTAATTAATAGATTGAGTAACAATGTGGTAAGTTCATCTCAGATCATAAAAGCAAGAGACAAGCAGTATTATGCTTTAATGAAGGAAGTAGAGGTTAAAGCTAAAGAGAGAGCAACGACGTCGAGTTACCAGCACAAGGAGAGACTGTTGATAACTACTTCTTTCTGAATACATAAACCAGGTTTCAGACAGTAGAAAGCGATTGCTTCGGAAAACTTGAGGAGAAATGAACTATTTTGTGGACTGACCACTTTAAATGACCTAATGGTGTCCAGCTGATGTCTCGTATTGACGAGATCTCTGGCAATGACATTATTGTGAACGTCCGTTCCCTGAACATTTAGCCTTTTTGGTATATGTTCAGTGATTCGAAGGTATTCCCTTCTTTCTGTTCTCCCAACGTAATTGCTACCGCAGATGCATGCAAGTTTGTTGAGCTGTGATTGCACCAAAGAGCATGTTGTCTGACGAATGGGAACCAAATTAGTTGCTGGATGATTTCTAACTAGTGGTATATTGAGTCTTCTGCTGACTATTCTTGATATTACGTAACACTTCCAGGTATGCTAAAGTTGTTCAGTATATAAACTTAATAATTTCTGTAGGCTTTACGCAGCTAATGAGAAACCGACGAAATAAAGGATGGTACCATCTTATCCTGCACACACCGTTGTTCTTGCTCTATTCAAAACTTATAGATTACATTTTTTGTATTACTAGAGATGCAGCTAATCACCCTAATTGCTTGTCACTTCATGAAGTCGTTGATTTTTATTTTGAGCCATCCACGTAGCAATATACAAACCATCTGAGTTAGACATCTCGGGAACTTCAGGTGACAGGGCTAAAGACCTCTAGGTGAGTCGTTAAAGTGAGCCGATGTGGTTGAGAGCCATGTATCGATCGACATGGCTAAGATATGTGTTACTCACATCAAGTCATCGCTTTTCATGCTGAGTAATGTCAACTTGTGTCTTCGGGTTTATCCATGTTACTATTGTTTCTTCCCCTCACATTGCTGTCACTCGTGACCACAACTCCTTCCTTATAGAAATTCAGGACAACCATCATAAGCAGCCACTTCAGTCTTGTTGGTCATCGGTGCATACTGTTAAAGAGTCCCAAACTAGGACGAAATGGCTGTCAAGTTTTCAGTAATCTCCCTAACTGATGCATTGTTTCTTGGCGAAATCTAACAGTCGAAATAATTTCTGGTCTCATTGTTTGTTTGTTTTTATATTCTTTTCTTTTTAATGTCATCTATCTTAGCTGACTTTGTTTTTCTTCCCCCTCCCAACCCTTCTCACCTCTTTGTTTTCATTGATTTTTTCTTCTACAGGAAAGTAATCTTTCCAACGGATCGGATACTGATGACAATATAGAAGATTTGGTATGACTTGGTTTTTATTTTCACTTCATTTTTGCGTCATGAGTTGTATCTGTTGTATCTTCTTTTTATGAAAGCCAAGGTGACTTGATTGACTGTCGTTGTGTTCTACCCATATCTACCTGTCCAACGGACTAATTAATTGACCTGCCGATTGATTGATTTATTGATTGGTTGATTAAATTGATCAATGAGCAATCACATAGATGTATAGATCATCTAACCGAAGTGTATCAATGCTTGTCACTATAATTTCGTAAAATATGGAAATTAAAACTATATACTACTCATTAACTGACTGAGATGAGTAGTTGTATACCACTCATATTGTAACGACAGAAGACAAGAGTTAGGCAACAGATCGTTTATTGAGCGAATCAACAGATATTTATAGATTTTTATGTACACTATTATTCTTTATTATTAGCAGAGAAACAGCGTCTTCTGATTGGTTGTTTTCTCTTCGAAAGTTATTCTATCATCTCTTTGTGGCCGTTTCTTTGAAGGTCAGACCACATAGCTACGAATTTTATCCGCCGACGCTAAGCCTGCTGTGATTGGTTGTTGAGTTAGTCTTTGTTCTTGTTTTTTATCTGATGACCAAGATATGGGACGTAAACATTGACGTAAATTGCTGTCTACCAATTCGGCTAGCAGACGACAGCTCTCCCAACAATATCAGTCAGTACCACTTGCTAGCCAGCCACATAAAGGTGATCTAACCACCGTTTTACTGCATTTTCTCTCATTCGGGGCCGAGATTATCATCGGTGCACTGGGTTTGACTCAGATCATTTCGAATCAGCCAATTTCTGGTAGTTGGGACTGATTCGGTTCTCTAAACGCTGAGTCATACCGTGTACACACCGCTGATGAGGTCAGTCCCAAACGAGTGAAACGGTTGTCTGGTATGTGTGTTTAGATCACTTCTATCTAGCTGGCTAGCAATTACTACTACTACTAGTTGGTGTGAGTAGTATATAACTGCCCATCTCAATTACAATCAGTAGTATATGGTTTTATGCAATTATTCCTGCTTCCTTTGTTACCATTTGTGGCATCAAGGTGACCATATGGATTGTGATCTGAATAATTCTGGTTTCCAATGGAAACTGTGGTGAATTATCACCTCCTCGAACTTTGTGTAAATTACAAAATAAAAATGGCCAATTTCATTTTGTTTAAAAGAGATAGACAGACAAACAAACAGAAACACATGAAAATAAGCTTTGAGTATTACTGAATCCCAGAGAAGATGGAGATGATGAAAACAACCAGCACCAGTCATCATCAACGAGAGACATTTAACGGAGGTTGCCTCCTTCACTTATCTGGAAAGCATCGTTTCAACTACAGGCAGTCGGAACGGACGAAGATGTCAAAGTCGGAATCGGAAAGACAAGATACGCCTTCATCAACCCGAAGCCAGTTTGGATATCTTCCACACTCAGCATAAGGAACAAGATTCACATTTTCAACACAAATATGAAGTCGGTTCTTTTAAACGGGTCAGAAACTTGCACTGCGTGTCACGAAAAGGATATCCAACCGGTTGCAGATTTTCATCAACAGCTGTCAATTTCGCTGTCTCCATACTCTGAATATCAAATGGCAAGTCAGGAAGAATTATCAACAAGAAACTACCAGAACAAACCAACAAGCAAGAGCCAGTCGCTCAACAAATATGTTGGAGAAAGTGGAGATGAATCGGGCATACATTGAGGAGGCCGTCGAATGACATTGCACACCAGGCCCTCGGTCGGTCGGTCGGTTGGTCGGTTTTCGACATAGAACTTTGCACATATGTGCGGCAGTTCAAGTCGCCACACTCCATGTAGCACACAAAACAAGGGAAGGAAGCAGGAGAAATGCATAATAATGACAGTAAACAGAGGTGTGAGACAAAGGAATAGTAATAACGAAGAACAAAACAGTTTCATTGGAAATCATAAGTCACAAGGAGTGGATGTATCTGCGCCAGCCATTGAGAACGATTTTGAGCCATGTCGCCAATTGTTTCCAACCATTGGTTTTTACCGTCCCGAGGACCCCAACCAGTCAAGAAGTCTACACTTTCCTACGTGGCTTAGACTAACTGTTGTGGATTCCATTGACTGGTGCCATGTTTTGGTTTTACCGCCACTAGCTCTTTTCCAGCCTGACCCTATATCAGCTAACATTGCCCGTCGAGGAAGGCGATGACTAGGCATACGTAGCACATGTCCTAACCATCTCAGTCGAAGTAATTTCACAGTCTCGTCTATTGATTTCTCCGCCTTACCTAGCACTCGACGCCTAACCTGAATATTGGTCACCTTATTATACCACTTCCCACGGGAGATAGAACGCAGACACCTATGATCGAAGACAGCTAATCTTTTCATGTCTTCTGCTCTCAATGGCCAGGTCTCACAGCCATAAAGGAGGACGGAGCGGACTGATGAGCAGTACACACGCCCTTTGGTCGATAGCCAGTCGGATATCACGTCTACGCCAGAGACGGCGTAAACTGGCGTATGCGAACCTAGCCCTCTGTATTCGTGCTGATATTTCGTCTGAGATCAACCCGTTGGGGCCCTCGAGTGGAATTCCGTTGGGAAACGAAGAGTGGGTTGTTGGTGCAAGGGTAATATGGAGTAGATCGTGTGAAGAAGAGATGAGAGAGTTTGGTCAACGATGTGGACCCAGCTGAAGAGGACGGCATAAAACAAAACAAAGGGGAGATGTGTTGTTGAAGCCAGCCCTATATTCCACTCGGAAAGCAAGGGAATAATAATAATTATTGAATCCGCTAGTTCTTAGGCTCTCCTACACCTCATATCTATTCACATGATGTTGTTTAGCATGGAAGACATGAGCGGGGAGGGGGGAACGAAAATATCACCAAAGTTTGTAAGTTGTTAACCTCCTAAGGAAGATGGTAGATGAGGGAGTGACAAAAAAAGGGTTAAATGAAACAAAGCTCTGCGCCATTTTTTCATCCATTCGGTACATCCATGGATTGTCATATTGAACCTCAGTCAAATAAGCTACACTTCTATCTCTCTTATACATGCAATTATCATTAATCTCTCGGCTTCTGAGTGGAACATAAGACTTTAATAGCATGCTTTCATTTCGCTTTATTCTCTGCAGTTTTTTTCTTAGCTGGTTCCACAATTCCCCATCGGCTGTCAACTTCGTCCGCATACGATCTTCTCCATGTCACCCTAGTTCTGTTCTGTTCTGTTTTCGACATAGAACTTTTCATATATGTGCGGCAGTTCAAGTCGCCACACTCCATGTAGCACACAAAGCAAGAGAAGAAAGTAGGAGAAATGCATAATATAGACAATAAACAGAGATGTGAGACAAAAGAAATAATAATATTGAAGAACAGTACAGTTTCATCGGATATTATAAGTCACAAGGAGTGGATGCATCTGCGCCAGCCGTTGAGAACGATTTTGAGCCTAGACCCTCGATCGTCACACCAGCTCGTTGTTTCACATTCGGGCTCCACATTGCATCCTCAGTGTGTGTCCAATTCACCTCCACTTCCTTCTGCATATTTCTTAATTGGTTGGTACGCTGTCTACCAGAGTTCCTCCTTGTCGCTTATCCTTTCTGCCGACTGCCTGCCTGATATTCACTGCTGAGCCAGTAGTGGTGAAGGCGGTTAGCTGTTGTTGATAAATCTCTGTAGTAGAAGTAGCCCCTGTTGGAAATACTCTTCATGATGGTCTTGTCAACTCTTTGAACTATGCAGAAGTGTTGAAGATCCGGATCTTGTCTCTTAAGCAGCAGATTTCCAGTTTAACTTTTCAATTCTATGTCTCCGCTAACATACATGCACATATATACCCCGACCTCCACCCCACCCCTCTCTGTCGACTTAAGTGACATGTGTATATTACACTTTTTCATTCATTCGTAGAAAATTCCCATTAGGACATATAGAAAATGAAAACAAGGGATTCAGAGAAGAGACTCTCTCTTTTCAATGGATTTATTCTCAAGTTGTACAATCGTATAATGTGTATCGGGATAAAATATAATTGGTTCTGTTCTATACTTCATAAAATAGTGTTTATGAAGTGATCTACAGATCTCAAAGATGAGTTTAGAAATAAATGAGCAGATTAGTAGGCAGTTGAAATATTTACGCAACAAGGTGGTAATTGTGTGACGGATTAAGACCATGAAAGGACGCTTTGCTGTAAACAAAGTTCTGGCAGTACAGATAAGTCGGACAGTTTATATTTTTCGCCTTCTAGATGACTTCAGAGGAAGAGGTTGTACAACCAGTTGTTTTCAATCATTGTTTTTTTCTTATAGTCACAAACTTCCACCTCTTCGTACCCATACAGAATAGTGTTCTCGCATCCACTTGAAAAAAAACCTGCTTTGAAAGTCATTTAGCCGCCGATATCCTTAAAAGAAGGATCTTACAGTCTCTATAAAAAGCATTCACTACAGCATCGTTAAAAGTAGCTTTTTCGAGTTGATTATTTTATTGTACAGTTGACCTGTTTGCATCGATGGTTCAGCGATAGAACGCTTGTCAACCACGCATATATATATGGTCTGGGGTTCGATTCCCGGCCGGTGCACTCCTTTACCTCGCTAGGCCGGTAGTAGGATCAGCAAAGATGGAAAGTTGGACGTGAGGCACTCAACTTCACCTCGTAAAAATTAGCATCACTGCTAACGGAATTTCCAAGTTCAAGCTTGAAGCTCTATGTATCTTACTTACTTTACTTCGACTATCTCCTACGGGAGGATGAGCCGGCTTCATGAACATCTCGAATCATCGCTGCCCAGGAGCGGCGATCTGATGCAACGTTTTGCGACAGGGTTATCCAGTTAAGAGAGTTCATGAAGTTTCATGGGAATTTGGTACGAGTGATGTCCCCAGAATCGCTCGGCCTTTTGTTTGAGAGTTCAGCTCTAGCCTTTACACAACCAAGTGTGACCTACAAGGCAGTAGGAGTGGAGTAGGGAGTCCACTATCCATTGGCAGCCGGCGACCGGAGTTCGGTTCATACGCCTTTTTGAATGGGGCCAGACATCCAGGACATCCAACAAGCCCTTTGTCCATACGTCTGCCGGTGAGCTCCAGTGAGCTTCATACGCCAGTTGGAGGTTTGGAATCAGGGTTTAGCCATCTCCCCTAGACTGTCATCCAATGGACAGTCAACCCGGTGAAGAGCGCCGGGCATCCGCTTTCGCCCTCTCACTTTGGTGAGAAACATCTCCGCCACGTGAAGGCAGTGAGTAGGACTTCCTTAGGAGAGGCTATGTAAGACGCCCGGTCATATGGGAGCATTTCGAGAGGTGTGCGGAAGGGTGGCCAACCCGCAGCGCAAGGCACCCACCCCCGACCATCCTGAGGCTTTGGAGGCTATGTATCTATGTATCACTGGGAATGTAAAAGAACAAAGTTTAAAAAAAAGTACTTCTGGAACTAGGTATATTGATCGTTCAACGTTGATTTTAACCAAGAGGGATTGCATGAACACTATCCTGCGGGATAACAATGAAATGGAAGTGTAGTTACAAGAAGTGCAATAATTGAACACCTGTTTGATACTAGTCGCCATCTTATTTCTACAATCTCTTCCTTTAAAGTTACCAAGTCTTTATCATTATATGTATTAATTTATTCTAGTAAATAATTCGTCATTTACATGTATAATTTATTGATTTATTGATCGATTTCTATATGTATGCATGTATTCTTGAATAAATTTAGGTTTCAGTCACTTCACACTCTAGTGTCTCTATGGTTTCTGAGTCATCTGACGAGTTAACAAAGTAAAAATAAAATAATGATCGTCTTTCTATGGTTTCATGTTATCTGTGTTATATGTGTTCCCGTTCATCGCTTTATATGTCTTGTATGCATGTATGCGTCTTTTTTTATCATATTGGGTGTTCCTTTTGTTGTTACTGTTGTTGTTGTTCTTCCCATCGTTGTTGTTACTACGCTTTCCCAGCTTTTTTAAATGTTTTTTGTTGATATGTTTGCATTGTTATGATGTCGTGCATGGGATTTCACTGGCTGTCGTCATTGCCTGTCACACTGTAAATCTTCCTTCTCCCCATAAATATTAAACTGTCTACCTCTGTATTGTGAACGTATTACTTACGAAGTGGGTTTTGAATTCTGGCTCAGAGTGGCTGTGTGGATGATCGAGGAGATTTTTGACCTCATAACTTGTGAAGGTCCCAGGTTTGACTCCTGGAGGGTGAGTAACAGCAACCTCTTACCTGACTTGTTGTTGGACCCCTCTGGTCATGATTTCTCACTGGAATAAATGTCAGGTAACTTTCTGTATAGAGCTAGCCGCCAGTGAGTGAGCCTCAGATTGATTTTCAGGTGTTGGTTAGTAGGTTGGATCACTAGTTGACACCAGTCAGAGAACTATTGGAAAACCTGCCGGGAGTACTGGACAGCTGTTTCGCCCTAGTCCGCGACTCTTTATCAGTACTCAGCCACGACCTTCCGGTTACAAGATGAGCTCATAGACCATTCAGCCACTGGGACCTGATCCACTGGCCAGTCCATGAATTCCAACTTCTACTAATTCATGATATATGTGTAGCACAACCACCAGTCAATATCATCAGCGAGAAACAGTTGTCTTACCTGACTTAGTAGGCCCAGTTGGTGCTCAGCTCGTGGTGAAACTTGTAACCAATCAAATCCTTGCAAACCGACACTTAAAAATTAATCTGATGCCTGCTTGCGACTAGCTCTATACAAGAAGTTACCTGGAGTTCTACTGGGAAGTTGTTTATCCTTCTTGCATTGTTGAATGAATCCCACAGAAGCTACAGAATATCAGATGTGTAAGTCAGCGATATAAAAAGAGCGTTTATAATGCACTTGCATAGATGACTTTTAATAACTTTAGCAATATAGTTCTCATCACTATCTGAATGCCAAACTCATATATACATATAGTGTCTTCCTTCCTTGACACTATGATTTCGCTGTGAGAGATTTCTTTCTTCCATATTTCTTTCACAATAAACCTTCCAGGATATCTATTTATGTTTGAGTACTTTACGATGCTTTTCCAGTTGCTTGTTGGACAATATCTGTTGACTAGATTTTCAGATTTCTGGAACACAGGATGGCTAAGGTTTCTCTTTCTATCTAGAGGTACTCAACGGTTAAAGTATGCATCCTGTCCTGTAAAGGTTGGCTTTCAGTAGATCGATCTTTTTTTAGTGTACTATTCTCTCTTGTGTCTGGCATAACATCAAAGAAGTGTAATGTGGAATTCGACACTTCGATATTGAAAAGAATTTATGGACGACAACCATTTAATTTTCTGAGAAGGTCGACTTTTGAACAGGTATCTCATCACAAGTGATAAAATTGTCGTCCATATGGGGATAAATATGCAAACTTGAGATAACTGCTTTCAGTGGACCATTCTCTAAGCTCACTATAATAACATCAGCTAGGAGGAGGTCCTACAGGTGTTGGTTTACAAGGATTTCTTCGGTTACAGATTTCATCACGAGCTGACATCAACTAGAAAACCATTGGGAAATCAGGGAATTCGCAACAACTATTTCGTTCTAGCCTGCAATTATTTAGCAGTTCACACCCAGGGCGAGCTGGTACACCATTCAGCTGAGTACTATAATGAGAAGTCGTGACCAACGGGCTTCATGAAGTCAGATGATAGCATAGTTACTCTCCCATGATGTTAGCTGGCGATCGCAAAAGTTTTAATTCCTAGACTGGTTATTAGATAGGATTCCAATGGCCGATTGGTCTACGAGCTCACTTTGTAACTAGGAGATCCTAGGTTTGAAGCCTGGTGGTGGTGGATGCGTACTGCTGAAGAGTCGGACACTTCATAGTTTTACAATGCTTCTCTAACTCTTTACCAAGCAATGTTCAAATCTGTAACCAGTGAAATTCCTGCAAACCAACACTTGGAAGTGCAACTCGACATGGTATGAAGAATAAACTACCGCTTTTATGTCTACGTCTAAGTGTGCATCTGCTCTTTCACATGCTTCTGTGAAGTTGATTACATTAGACTTTGTAAGCACATGTTCTCCGGAGAACGCAACGCTAAACTGTCGGTATAATATGTACATATGGTTAAATCTATTAATAAATCTATAACTTTTAGCAACCCTCCATTTTGATTGGTTGCGTCAAGGTCAGTTTAAAGGTTATTTGTAATGGCTCTTTATAGGTAGAACTTTTTTTCAGTTTTGCTTCGTGATTTGATTTCCAAATGATTCAGGCTGGATACGTGTTATCACGGGACTTTTAACCTCACTGCTTTTGTACATATATATATCATGTGTAAAAATGTGCTTCCCTCTATTTTTGTATGTACATGTATGTCTGTAGTTGTGTATTGTGTATGTATGTCGTCTGTATATATGTGTTCTGTGTTAAAAAAATAGTGTTTTTATTCTCTGAGTTTATGTACATATACACATATCAATTTTAGTAACTAATCTTTTCAAAAGATTGACAAATGAACAGAGAAGATTCGTTTCGATAACTTCATCATTAGGTTCTACACTTATATATGACCATAATAATTCAAGAATTAGTGTGTTTAACTTCAATAATGCTGTTTGTAAACTACGCTGAATCAATAGTATTGACAGATCACCTTTAAAAAGCACCAGGAAGTATTGGATATCTGTTTCGTCCTAGTCTGGGACTCTTCATCACTAGCGTGCGTACCCATGACACCACAACTAGGCAGACATCGAACTCCAAGCTCGTTGACGAATGTAAAAAAAATTCACGAGTGATTGAATTCCAACGGCCTAAGTGGCTGAATAGGTTGGTCAACGAAGTTGGTATCATGACCTTAAGGTACGAAGTTCAATCCCTCGTTGTTGTATAGAACGAAACTGCTGTACAATGCTCCTTAGTGCTCTGTAACTGATGATACATTGATTCATAACGAAATGTATTACAATTGATAAGACGTACCAACTTTTCAGGCTATCAAATCATTAGTGGTAACGTCTCTGACTGCAGCTCTCACTGGGTGACGCGGGTTCGAATCTCAGAAGGGACATGAGTTCCTTTAAGGTTGCAGATACACCCTGCTGACTGACTGGTAAGTGCCTACTAGCACGAAAAACCTAGGTGTAGCCAAGGCTTCCTGTGGCCGATTGCCTCCAACCATCTAATATCATCAAATCATCATTTGAATGTCACCTATAGAGATCAACAAATTCTGAAATTTCTTTTGATCTTCTTCTCTTTTCTCTTTCCCTTTTGTATTGATTTTTATCTAGTGTTTATCAAACTACTGAATCTTCTTGGGCATCTGAAATCACAACAACAACAACAGCCGCAGGAGAAGCAGGAGCAACGCATAGTATTCTAGGCTCAGAAAGTACATCGATTGGTGCTAGTGAAAGTACAATTCATAGTGTACACAGTTCTACACACAATAAACGTTCTCATAGAAAATTTTATCATTTTCAAGAAGCTACTAATACTTCTAATACTACTACTTCTACTACTCCTATGACTACAATTATAAAACCATCTACTGAAGTTATATCTCATCAACATTTGAATTTAATTAAATCATCAATAAATGAATATCATCCACAACGACAACGCCGACAACACCAACAACAACCAGAAGAAGGTGGAGATGTCGACGACAATGAAATTCTTCCTTGTCTTATAAAACAATATCATGATTTATCAGAGATAACAAATACAACAACTATAATTGATGATTCTATGAATTCATCATTAACTTCTCCTATCCTGCATAATAACTCATCTTGTATAACAAGAAGAATGTATTATGATACAACATCTGCAACACTGTCCATCACATCATCTTATTCAATATATTATGAAAGAATTAAACAATTCTACGGTAATATAATGCATTTAATATTGAATAGAACAACCTTGAACATTGACAATCATTCCCCGCACAACAGTACTACTACTACTTCACTATATCAAAGTGTATTTGAACGATTCTATCAGCAGTATACGTTGTTACGTAATCGTATCAATCTGATTTATGGTAATCCATCGGAGGAGTTATTCCAGGCATCATCATCAGCAGCATTGCTTCAGACACCCTCCTCCTCCTCTTCCTCCTTCTTGTCATTGACATCGTTCTCAGATGTTATCTCTTTTAATGCAGAAGATAATCTCGCGGGAATTCAATCGTCATCATCATCATCATCACCATCATCGTTATCGTTATATCGAATAAAATATTTGCTGAATCGCGTAAAGCGTCTATTCATAAGATTTTTAGTCATTTTATTTATTTTATTTTTATTATTTTATTTTATCTGCTTATTTATCGAAGTTGCATTTCCTTTATCGCCTTCATCGCCATCATCATCATCCTCGTCATTGTCGAACTCTGTAAAGACCGACTATGACGAGTATTCAACAACAGCAACAACAACAACAACCATAACAGTGACAGATTGTAGGACAACCGCATCATTACTACAGATCTTATACTATTCTATTTTATCTTTATTTGATGAAACTACTCAAAGTGAATATTATTCACCAGGGAATTCGTTGTCCTCTTCATCTACTGATGATGTAATGACTAGAACATGGCCAGATAATGGACCACCAGTTTGATGAGAAAAAAAATAGAGACAATGTGGGAGAGAGATTTTTGAAAGTCCTACAGTGTATGTTGTGCGTGAGTGTCAGTGTGTGTATGTGGGTGTTTGTGTGGGGGGGTTGTCGGTCAAATAAAACCACACACACACACACACTCATCATTCTGCTTATTCTTGTGAATATATATGTATTATAAATACCCTATAAATCAATTATAGAGAATAAGATAGATGTATTTTTCTAAGGAAATTCCTTCTTCTGAATGTCTTATATATATGTATGTGAGTATGTCTTTATTATGTACCTATGTGCGTGTGTGTGTGTTTCTGTGTCTTCTAAATGTACATGTATCGTATTCTAATTATATAATTCAAGATAACAATAATAGTAATAAATACCTGTGAAGATAATTTGTGTCATCATTTTGTTGTTGTTGTTCTTAATACTGACTGATAGAAGAAGAGCTTCGTGTACTTTTGGAAGTGTGTGTGTGTGTGTGAGCAACAATCTTCGCGTATGTTTGGCATGCGATTCGCCCCTGTAAAATGTAAGATGATGCTGCAGGATTGGACTTCACCGACTCCTAGATTAGAAATAGGAAGTGAAGTGGTTGGTGGAGCACGTTGACCGCTTCAATTACTTGGGAAGTACCATCAGCCAGTACCAACGGGTTGATCTCTGACGAAATATCAGGGCGATGAATACAGAGGGCTAGTTTCGCATATGCCAGTTTACGCCGTCTCTGGCTTAGTAGACGTGATATCCGACTAACGACGAAAGGGCGTGTGTACTGCTCAACAGTCTGCTCCGTCCTCCTTTATGGCTGTGAGACGTGGCCATTGAGAGCGGAAGACATGAAAAGATAAGCTATCTTTGATCAAAGGTGTCTGCGTTCTATCTCCCGTGTGAAGTGGTATAATAAGGTGAGCAATATTGAGGTTAGGCGTTGAGTGCTAGGTAAGGAGGGGAAATCGACGAGGCTGTGAAATTACATCGACTGAGATGGTTAGGACATGTGCTACATATGCCTAGTCATCGCCTTCCTCGACAATGGGCAATGTCAGCTGATATAGGGCCAGGCTGGAAAAGAGCTAGCGGCGGTCAAACCAAAACACGGCAGCAGTCAATGAAATCTACAACAGTTAGTCTAAGCCACGTAGGAAGGTGTAGACTTCCTGACTGGTTGGGGTCCTCGGGACGGTAAAAACCAATGGTTGGAAACAATTGGTGACATGGCTCAAAATCGTTCTCAATGTCTGGCGCAGATGCATCCACTCCTTGTGACTTATGATTTCCAATGAAACTGTTTTGTTCTTCGTTATTACTATTCCTTTGTCTCACACCTCTGTTTACTGTCTATATTATGCATTTCTTCTACTTTCTTCTTTTGCTCTGTGTGCTACATGGAGGGAGTGTGGCGACTTGAACTGCCGCACATATATGCAAAGTTCTATGTCGAAAACCAACCGACCGACCGTGAGCGGTTGTTACTTTCCGCCTTCTATCAGTATCCGAAACACAAAGATAAATAGTGTTGCTTGACTGCTGAGTCCAAGGGACAGTTATTTGAGGTTGGTTATATACATGATCTGTGTGAATTGTTTTATTGGAATTGTTAGTGAACTACCATCGGCTAAGGATCAATGTAGGGAGGATGTATGATTTTTGGGGTCGACATTTTCTAACTCCCCACCACCACCATCACCGGTCTCCAGAGTGAAGAGGAAGCATTGTTGATATTCTGCTCACTATCTGTTGAAAACATCTTACTGCAGTTGTTACATCCCTTTTTCCAACTAGTATAACTTTAGAGGTTAATTGGTGGATGGATGGTGACTAACAGTGGAATCCAGGATGGGCGCATTTCGTCCTATTTGGGACACGTCCGCCAGCTGGATGTACTTGCATTCCCCAGTAAGTGATGTTCCCGTCGAGGGTCGAACCCAATGCCCATAGTTTCAAACGCCAAGGCATTATCCACTACCTCTCTTTCGTGTGCAACGGGTCATATTAATTATTCAGTTGAATTCTTAGATTTTCCCGTCGATTGATTGGACTTTGCTTACAGACTGCTCAAGTATAATGTAAACATCCTACACTATACCGGTAACTACTTTTAGTCTGATTGCTATTCTAATAATCTTTCTGGTATGATAGGATCTGCAAGAATATTAGTTCCAACTGTAACAACAGAAAACAAGGGACAGGCAACAGATCGTTTATTAAGGAAAATCAACACATATTTATACATTTTAATGTACATTATTGTAGATTATTGTTAGTAGAAAATACAGTCTTTTGATTGGTTGTTTCTCACAGAAAGTTAACCTTGCATCTCTTTGTGGCTGTGTCAGATCATCCATAAGCTAACTGTATCCGCCTACGCAAGGCCTTTGTTCTCATTTTCTCACCACCAATATTGGGGACATAAACATTGACGTCAATTACTGTCTACCAACTTTGGCTAGCAGCCAGCTCTCACCACACAACTAGTGTAGCTTGTTGGATCATTGAGACTCTGCAATCTAGACAACACCACGTCAAGTTGTAGCAGCTATCATTCGAATTCTGTCTTTAAGAGACACCCTTTTTTCACTACTTTGGAGTTTCAAGTTTTGAAGTCTTGAAGTTTCATTAGCGGTTATGGTATTATTGTTCTGTTTTACGGGGTAGGGTTGCTAGCCCCCCCCCTATCTCTCTCACATGCACACACACAAATGCTCAACCTTCCCCCTTTACTGTGCTTACTACCTACCGGCTAAGCGAAGTTTAGCAGTGTTCGTCACCAGTCGGGAGTCGAACCTTGGACATGGTTCATGTGAACCATATCAGCTACATTTCATGCACTAACCTAGTCAGGCAGTCTGAACTCTGCCTACCTACTTGGTTCAAACCAACAATAAAAATTTCTATGGACTGATACCAAATCTTAATTTCACCACCCCTACCTCCTTTCCAAAATAATCCTGTGTCAGATAAAATTACACGATGATGATTTGCGGTGCATAACACGTACCCTACTCATCTCAATCGATACAGTTTCACAACCACATTGAATGACTTTCGCTCCTTAGCTAACACTCTACACTTAACCTTATTATTACTCACTATATTGTATCACTGAACGCGGGAGATAAACAATTGTGGTCAAAGACAGATAACCTCTTCAGATCTTCTACTTTCAATGGTCATCTGTCACAGTCGCAAAGGAGGACGGAACGAACAAGTGCGCAGTACACATTTTCTCTGATTGATAGCCGGATAACACGTCTACACTGGAGATAGGAAATAGGTTGGCAAATGCTACGCAAACCTTTTTTGTGTGTGTTCTGAGATTTCGTCATCATTGAGTCCATTGAGAGTGATACCACTTCTCAAGTAATTGAAGTAGTGAACACGCTCTACAACTTCACTCCGCTATTTTTAAGCTAAGGAATCGAAGCAGACTAGTCCTGTAGCATCATCTTACATTCATTTGAAAGGGACGGATCACACGTTCTAGGTGTTTTGTCAACGTGACACCATCCGCTTACTCTAATTTGATGAGGCTGTACATCATTGTGTAACAAACCAATCCATAAGTCGTTAAAGTCGATTAGGTCATCACATCCATCAGTAAGTTTATGGTGTAGTTTTAAACGAAAATGGAAATGACACTGGTCATCTAGCCCTGACAACAACCACCACTGATTGCCATCACTCGAGATGACAACTCTCTGTAATCTCGTACATATGGATGTACTGTTAATCTGTTGCTTATAAACATGAGTGTTTTTTTATTTCTCATAATTGGAAAATTCTCCAACTGCTGAACATATATATATATATATTACACATGACTAGCAGACGACTTCGTCGCCGAGCAGTCTTGGCTGGTATATGAATAATTTGGGCTAGAGCTCACCAATCCACAAAGTTTTTAACTGTAAGTTTCACTCACATATGGCGATGTAGACTGGCTGGTCTGGCCTTGTTTTGCTTGTAACGACAGAAGACAAGAGCCAGGTAACAGATCAGTTATTGAGAAAATCGACAGATATTTATAGATTTTTATGTAGATTATTACAAGCGTTATTGTTAGCAGAGAAGCAACGTCTTCGGATTGGTTGTTTTCCTGCCGAAGGTTATTCTGTCATCTCTTTGTTGCCGTCTCTTAGGCAGTCCTGTGATATATCTACGGATCGTATCCGTTCACGCAAAGTCTGTGTGACTGGTTGTTGAGTTCCTCAAGGTTAGGTTTTGTTCGTGTTTTCTCTCCTGAACCCGATTCGGGACGTAAACATAGACGTAAATTGTTGTTTACAACTTTGGCTTGTATACAGCTCTCAGCACATCCTGAGATGCTATGGATCAATAATTGAAAACTTTTAGCGAAATGACTTAAAATCATTCTCCTTAATTCAGATGTGTTAAATCCTGATTACCTGCTGAATTCTGGAAACATCTACTAGCCATTTATCTCTAATAGTTCTTTCTCAAGTACATTTTCGTACATTGTTGTTTTGGTTTCAAGTCCTAGTGAGCAGTGATTTGGTCGATGATTTGAAGTTAGGTCATGAACTAACTTCATTTAGCAAAGCATCGAAAACTGGTGAGGAGTACTGGATAGCTGTTTCGTCCTTGTTTGAAACCTTTATTCAGCAGAACTCACGTATGATTCCACCGTTAGCGGTTGAACCTAAGAACTCCTGATTACCAGCCGAGCCCGTTGACCATTCAAGCATTGAAAGAGAATACAATAGTTCAGGGGATTCTAACTTGTACTAGTTCGCGATATACATAACACCATCGTCAGTTGACGTCGCCGGCGAGTATTTCTCCTCGCACTCGACTGACATGGTGAGCCCCGTTGGACAACTTCTACCCATAATCTGTTTCTAGTGAGCATTTTACTAATTTTTGAATGTTGGTTTGCAAGGATTTGATCGATTTTAAGTTAGATCACAAAATGCGATCAGTAAGAGAACTGATATGGTGCAGTGATACCGGGTTGTGGTTTCGTTTAATTTGACTAAGATGCGCCTGCAAAACATCACACTGAAGACCAGTTTACTCAATTCAGCGGAAACAATCACAAATTCTAGTAAAATTTAGTAGTATATCTAGTCATATCA